GACCATGTCCTGAGTCACGTGCCTAGACGCGTGTCAAGTCACAGTCCTAGTCGTTAATAGTTCGAGTCCGAGGAAGCACCTGACCTTCCCTTCTGTCCACGTGCTAAGCACGTGTTAGGACACGGTCCTAACAGGCTATGGAAAAGACAGTCATGTTGGTATGTAGTGCCAGAATCATATATTTGCCTGCCATGTAGGAAATATGTGCATTAAGCATATTAAGATCACCTCCAACAATCTTGTGCTTATTTATATATAGGCATGCCATACATATACTTTTGTCCCCACCCTCTACCTCACTAGTGGCTATTTGGAAAACCCCTCTCTCTTATTGGATCTTAATTATTCATAATCATGTTTTTGATCAAATTTGCAAATTCAGGTAGCATTGTCTATACTAGTAGAGTCCCATTGAATATTACACTCAATCATAGTTTTATACATTCTCAGTCCAAATTGTATAAGTGCCATAATTTATTTTTATCCTATATAAAGTGTATTATCGATTTTCCATTGGTTTATTATCTTCTTAGCTGGTGTTTAAACTGAATCCTGAAAGACCTGACTTTTTAGGTATTTATTGACTTATTTATTTATAAGAGAGAGAAAAGATAAATGTTAAATAAAATCAGAGATGTTGAGGTTGCCTATATTATGTCTACTTATTTAGATTACCAAGTTTATATCTTAGACCTTGTGGCTTAGTGGCTTAGAGCATCTGTCCTGGGTGCTTGCATACATGAGGTTGTTGGTTCAACTCTGGCAGAAGGCAAGTTTGTTATAAGGTATATTCTGTGTTTGGGTATTAAACTAGTGCTCTAATAGACATGACTCTATAAGAAGGCTATGAGAATTGTGATGCTTGATTTATTATGATTTTTCCGAAATTTCAAGTTATAATCAATCCTAATAATTCCTAATTTAGGAAAATTATGTCTAATTAGAACAGGTTTAGAGAGGGGGTAAGCTAAAAATGTCTAATCCTAATTGTTCTTAATTATGCATAAATAGAACTAATTAGAGCTTGATACAAAGGGGTGGTTTTCCAGATGTATGTAATGATGTCCGCATACTATTGCAAGCCTAAAACTACAAGGATCCTTCTCAAGAGGATATTTATGATTATGGCCTGTTTCTTTTACAAAAAATTCTCTTGGAATCCCACAAGGATCTTACAAGCTTTCCTCTAATGCCACTTCCTTAAGAAAACTGAATGATAGTAGAAAATAATCTTTTGTTTTAGGAACAGCTGAATTATGATATGCCAGAACTAGCTTTGGAGGTTGAGGAGAGAAGAGAACAGTTCAATGAGGAACAAGTGGCTGATTTTGATGGCATCATGCAATCAGCCACTCATAATCATGGACACACCTTTTTTTCTTCATAGTGCAGGTGGATGTGGAAAAACATATGTCTGCAACACTATTGCAGCTGCTATCTGCTCTATGGGCAAAGTTGCTCTATGTGTTGCTTCATTTGGGATTGCTTCTTTGCTTTTAGATGGCGGACGTACTGTGCACTCACGTTTCCACATTCCAATCCCCATTCATGAAGCTTTCACTTGCCAGATTCAGAAAAATTCAGACCTTCATAATGTACTTTGCCAAACTGGTATCATTATTTGGGATGAAGCACCAATGCAGCACCGACATGCTATTGAGGCTTTGGACTGTATGCTAGAAGACTTGATGGAAAATGCACAGGCTTTTGAAGGAATTACTATGTTGTTTGGTGAAGACTTCCGACAGGTCTTTCTAGTGGTTTTTAGAGGGTCTAGGGAATAGATCATCAATGCCTCCCTTCACCACTCACATTTATGGAGCTTAGTCTATTTGTATCATCTAACCCAGAACATGGATTTGGATCAAACTCCAGAAAGTCAAGAATTTGCAAACTGGCTTTTAGAGGTTAGCACAGGTCAAAATCTCCTATAAGACAAGTCAATCTCTCTTCTACAAAATTTGTGGTTAGAGCAAAACACATTGAAGTCATTGATCCACTATCTTTATCCAGATATCCAAGTAGGACCAAAGCCAGATGGATATTTCCAGGAGCATACCATTCTCTCAACAACCAATGATATAGTGGAAAAGATCAACCATGGTACCTTGGCAAAGTTTCCTGGAGAAGAATCTGTGTTGATATCAGTGGATAAGGTAGTTGGATCACACAGAATTACCCTATGGAATACCTTAACTCTCTCAATGTCTTAGGATTGCCACTTGCACACCTCAAACTCAAACCTGGCTATCCTCCTATGCTTTTTCGGAATATTGACCAGCCCAATGGTCTCTGCAATAGAACACAGATAATCCTTACAGACATTAGGCCTTGCATTTTACAATGCCAGATCTTAGGTGGAAAGCATGCTGGAGAGACTGCATTTATTCCTAGACTTACCATTGAACTATTAGCAGAAGACATGCCCATGCTTTTCTCTCGCCATTAATTCCCCATTTAACTTGCATTTGCCATGACCATCAATAAAGCCCAAGGTCAATCTGTTTTAAATGTTAGTATTGACCTGCACAGTTTGGTGTTTTCACATGGCCAACTCTATGTTGCATTATCATGTTGCACATCCAGTGAGAGGATCAAAGTCTTATTCCTTGAGGAATGTGGGAATACAAAGACTATAAACATTGTCTATCCTGAAGTCTTGGCAAACCTGATTTGATATTTGGCAAGTTCAAGCTCCATTAACTCTTATTCTTAGAGATTAACCAATAATTTCTTTCTTAGATGTAACCTTTCCCCTTAAAATCTCAAATCCCTCAACAAAGCTTTAAAAGTTCTCAATGGTATGTGCCAAATCATTCAAAATTCTAATGCTTATTTGCTTTCTTAGAAGAACACCCTCAAGGCCCTAGCTCTCAACTTTACTTTACTATTTCTCCTGATTTGTTATCTGTTTGTTTACACAAATGCTATATAACATAAAATGTGCTTGCACTCAATCTTGATGATCTCACTGGACATTAACTTTAGGACTGGTTTCTATTCACTGGGGACAAACTCCAAAATTATCAAAATAAACCCTAACCCCACAAAACTAATATTAAGCACTGTGCAAGAGTTGTGAAGCGACAGGTCGGAACTCCTGTATAGTGCCAGACAAGCAAAGTCAACAATTTTAGTCAACTAATTTTCCCACACCACCGGAATTGATGCGCATTCAGTAAATAAGCATTTTGAGCTCCTTATAAGCAAAATCCCATGAGCCAATCTCATGTAAATTACATTTTATTGATTTTGACCCTTAAAAAATTGGCCAACCCCTAAATTAAATGGTAGGGCCTCAGAAATAGCATCAATCAACTCCCTTTTTTTTATCTAAGTTTAATGGTAGTCTTAAATAGCCCCAAAAAAAATTACCAAGGCTGTAATGGTGGTGCATTTCCAAACCACAACATACTGAGCTACCAAATTATGTAGCATTTAAAGCATCCCCAAGGGCATCCTCCAAGAAAGAAACATGCATTAAAAATTCAGCATCTTCACAAAAAATCAATCCACTCAAGAAACTCACCTGAATTTGAGTTAGACACTGAAGAAGACATGGAGGATATTGATCTTGATAATCTATAAGACAGAGACTAGCTCTCATCTATGAAAAACCTGGTGAGTTCTCAAAAAATTACATTATAATCAATACTAGATAGACCATGAATAGCAGGTCTACATAAATCACACTCACATAGTCCTATTATCAACAATAAGTCAGTGCATATACAGCAATGCCTAGAGTGGAAGTGAGTGTGAGAGGGCCAGACAAAGTTCAATAGTTATTTTTTAGTAAGCAAGATGACAACCAAGAATGGCAAGGCAAAGGGATTGCAGCAGACTCTTATAGAATATAGCTTTGATGTCTACACAATAAAGGCCAAGTATTCTCCAATTTGTCCTTTTAAGAGTGACACTTGCTATACAGCCTGACTCCTGACCAGGCAGGATGATTTTTTTTTCAAGAATCCCTTCTTGAGCAGAAATCAAAAGCTTGAGGTTACATCTGCATCTTTCTTCTGAAGTTCCATTGTGAGCTTAATCCTATTGAGATGGTCAGTTTCTTCAGTCTTTTCTTTTATGGCATGTTCATATTATCCAGTACTGGGACTAGTACAAGCATTGGTGCTGTAAAATTTACAAAGTCAAATTTGAGGATGCAAAGAAAGTGGCACAGCAATGCCTCAATAAGTGTCCTGTCAAGGTGATTCACCAATTTTTTAATCAATCATGGTGGTTTATGGATGCATATCATAAGGGGCTTATAGGGAAAGTGGCAGAGTGGGCTATAGAAGGGTTGGGCAGTGCACAATGATGTCTGTTGATGCAATGCTGACCTGAGATTGACTCAGATTGACTCCGATGCCATTTTAGGCCTAATTACATTTTGTTTTTTTTGCCCAAAAAATTGGCCACCCCCATTTTACCATGGGAACTTCCATGAAGGGCATTTTTTGACTCCTTTTGCTTCCCTGAGTCCGAATCTGAACTCAGTTTGTCCCAAAAAATTCCGCCTGGGGAGTTAGCAAAATTGTCGACTTTGCTTGTCCGGCACTGTAGTGGAAACAAAGATGGGACGAGAGGCCCGCACAGGACATGCGTGGCCATGGTTACTCCTGTACCTGATCATACCTGATCACGTGTTTTATTCAGACTGGAAGGTAAGACTGCGAATGGGGTAGATAGCAGACGTCAGATACAGATATTCGGAGACCACGTCGGAGGTTGAAGGAGGATCGTCAACATCGCTGCCTTCGGGAGACTGGGTAGAACAACTCTGGCAGATCAACCGATTGTTCACATAAAGTCCCATGAGCTCAATATGTTCACTGTATATTTCAGTATATACCACACGAGCTCAAATGCGCTCGCAACGTCGTGATCAACCGTTGTCGAACAGTCCGACATCAAGATATCAGTCGCCAGGAGAGGAGAGGAGTTACCTGAACAAAGAGATCCGTCCGAGACGGCACAGCAACCCGTCGAGGGCCGAGAACAAAAAGGAAACTGGAGCACTGTTATTCCGTAGAATAAGATACGGGCTAGCTGCTACACGGGTATTATGATGAAAGTCCAGCGGCTTGAGACTATGGTGATGATGAGGAGTAGGGGTAGGGGTAGAAGGATGAAGGTGACCGAGACGAACTATTAAAAAAGCGAGAAACCTTCTCGAGAGGCATGTATGATCAGACCATCTAGCGCTACATCGAGACAATTGCCGAAACCAAACGCACCAGGACCGGACAAGCGAGAGCAAACAAAAAAAAAAGACAACGACAACGACGGCGTGCGACTGGCCTTCACGGTCTGCGCGACGCTCAGTGGGCCGTGAGCGCCTGCGACTCGGACGGCAGGCGGACGAAGTTCTTCACAAAGTCGAACTGGGCGCCCGTCTCGGGGCTGTGCGGGAACCGCCTGCACTTCTCGACCGTCTTCCACTCGTCCGCGATGATCCTGAGCGCCTCCTCCCCGTTCCCCGCGGTCCCGCCCTCGACGAGCCAGCAGCCGACGACGAGCCCCGTGCGGCCGATCCCGCCGCGGCAGTGCACGGCGGTGATACGCCCGCGGCGCTCGTTGTCACGCAGGACCTCGAGGATGCGGTAGACGTACTCGACCGACTCGGGCAGCGAGCGGTCGTGGATCGGGAAGCTGTGGTACTCGACCGCGTCGGCGTCGATGTGCGCCTGGGCGACGCGGGAGGCGAGGTGCGGGGCATAGGGCGAGAGCTCGCCGGACTCGGTGAGGTCGATGAAGGTGCGCACGCCGGCCTGGAGGAGGATGTCGAGCTTTTGCGTCGGGCGGGAGCAGTACGGCGACCATGGATACTCGCACGCGAGCAGCAGCGGCGTGGCCCAGTAGGAGTTTGGGATGGGGCGCGGGCAGGTGGAGGTTAGCGGCCGGGGGCGGGTGAGGCTGGGGAGGGCGTTGATGGCGAATTGGAGGGCGGTGGAGGAGGCTGGGGATTGAGAGGGGTAGGTCATGTTATGGGGGTGTGCGTCGTGCGATTGTAGGTAGAAGACAGGGGATGTGCTCGAGGCGGCGGGGTACGGGTAGATAATGAAGCGGGCGATTTGTGGGGAAGGGCGGTGGAGATACACGGAGCGTGTATGGGACGGGTTATATAGGGTGTGGGATTGGGTGGCAGGCCTGGCTGTTACAGCGCGGTGGCGGTCGCTTCAATTGTGGAGCAGTCGTGCACAGCCACTTGGTGCTACGGGAAAGGACGCGGCCCAAAGCCAAGGCGACGTCGCTGGCATCCCGTTCGAGATCCCAGATGCACACCGCAATGCCGCTGCTGCACCGACAACGCGCAGATCCATGCAGGAGACCCAATCTCGCTCTGCGTTTTCCGTCTGAGGACCGTCTTGTTATTGCTGTCGTACCCGTTGGGCCCACCGTGCGGGAGGATTCAGAAGCAGGCGGTGTCGATGGACTGACCCCTCGGCGGTCTTGGCCGCGTAGTCAAGCCTAGAACCATCAAACCGCGCTTCACCTTCCCGATCCAAACAGCCTCGGCCGCGTGGAAGCCAAAAATACGCCCAACTAAGTATGACAAGTAATCTACACAAGATATGAATGCAAGCGTGCGGACATCAGTCCCACTGCCACCCACACCGATCACCCCGCAAGGAGAGTGGCGATCTAGAGGCCATCTCGCCCAAGGTCCCCCTCACAGCCTTCACTCCATCTTGCGATCCGAGTCTTGCATGTCTGGGCCGTCTACGGTATGTACGGGACCCTTGAACGTATACCGCCCCCAGAAAACCCACGTCAGCCCAACGAGAATCAGGATCCCCCCTACGGCGACGACAGCGTAATTCATGTTTTGCGAGTTGACGGGGTGTGCAGTCGGGAGGATGAACAGCACGCAGATGAACACGGTGAACTAACAAGAAGCCGCGTCTAGGCCTGCACAAAAATAGAGTGAGATAGGCACGCACCAAAAAGCTGAGCAGGTTGATGGTCCAGGACCACCTTCCCAGGCTGAACGGGCCTCGTTCTTTGAGGCTAGGCGGCGCAAGCAACAAACGGGTCAGTTAGGAAGTAATTGTCCAGAGCGAAGGGGCATCTCACGAGTCTGGCCAGAACACACGGATCGTGATGGGCTGCAGGTAGCTCAGCATGACGGCAATGGCTGCAGAGGACAGAATCGCATTGAACTAGCCCGACCCGCATCAGCTGCGGAACTCTGGACGATACCAACCGTGTGAATGGACTCACCGCAATCGCCGACCCGATGTAAGCGCAGTGTATGATGCTCGCGACGAGGACAGACAGCCAGACGCCCCAATACGGCGCCTGGAACCGGTTGAGCGCCATGAACCTTCCCTTAAGCGGGAACGCGTCGTCGCGCGCGAGCGCGTAGAATAGCCGCGAGCTCGCCGTGAACGCCGTCACGGCCGCCATGAACTGCGCGAGCGCGATGACGGTGAGGCACATGAGCGTGAGGCGCTTGCCGACCGCATCGTAGTAGAGCTGTGCGATGGGCAGGGCGTAGATCGTGCTCTGCACGCTCGGGATCGACTGGACGGAGAAGAGCAGCGCGAGCATATACGCGAGCCCGATGAACCAGGATCCGACGATGGAGCCGACAACTGCGAGGGGAGCGAGAATCTCTGCACGCTTGGCTTCTTCAGCAACCTGTGCGGCGGTCTCGCTTGAAGGGGCTTGGGTCAGCACACGCAGCTGAATGACTACCAGGTATCCGGTGTGACGTACCAGCCTTCAAGCGTATAGACGGCCTGCAGGAATCCGAGAAGAACGACAAAGCCGCGCGAACCCCATCCCGTGAAACTAAAACCGTCGAATCACGTGTCTGCATGCATGATTATAGGAGCGACTCACTTTTCGTAGTCCGTAAAGACAAATTTAGCGGTGTTCTGCCCGGCGACGTCAGAGAGATGCAATGAGGAAAGAAGCAAGACAGACCTTCTCGGGTGCCTTGACCAAGAGCGTGATGACGAGGACGAACGTCCCTCCGAGCGTCCACCAGACATTGAACGAGCTCATGTTGCCGATCGCCTTGGTCCCGATCGTGTTCATGATCCCGGAGAGTATGTTCACGCCCCAGGCAATGGCCGCGATCTCCACCCTCGTCAGCGTGCGGCCCTGGCCCACCTCCGCGAGCGACGCGATGTAGAGTGCGACGCTAGAGGTGATGCGGGAGACTCAGCGTTGCATTTTGGACCCCGCGCGCGGAGAGCGATGACGCACCTCAGGTTTCCCGACGTCCCGGTGAACACCATCGCGATGGAGTATATCCAGCCTGTGCAGACTTGGTGCGGGTAAGCGGCTGGCGGACGGTAGACGTAAAGATGGCAGATGGCTTACAGCCGAGGAACGGCGCGTCGGGCTTCATCTTGCACACCCAGAAATACAGACCGCCCATCGTCGGACTGAACAGAGTCGTCAGAAAACCGTTCCATGAAGGTTCGAAAGGACATACTAGGTGCTACATATCTCAGCCAAGCAAAGTGCGATGAGCAGCATGAACAAGCTGCAGATCTGTACACCTCGCGCGAACCCCGCACGTCAACACACCCGAACTGCCTCAACATGAGAAAAGTACGCACATTCCACCCCCAGAACAACCCGAGCGGCCCACCCGAAAACAGACCCGTCTGGAACGCGCTGCTCATGCCCGTCAGGATCCCAATCGCGCAGAACGAGATGCCCAGCACGCCGAACAGCGACATCTCGCGACGGAACTCGGCCTTGTACCCCAGCTCGCGCAGGCGCTCGTCCGACACCGCGTTGGCCGGGGCATCACTATCGCCAACCGCAGCGACGAAAGGTGCGTTGGGGGATTTGGCAAGGAATTCAATGTCGGCGACGCTCATGATGAATGTTCGTGTTCTTCGACTTCGTAGGCGGGATCGTCAGGAAGTTGTGGTTCCTCGAATGCGGCTTGAGAAGGCAGCGGGCCGCAGAGTCCAACAATCTCGAGATCATGAATGAAGGAAGGCGCCTCATTTACATATCTTTTAGCAGTAAGGCACCGTCTGACGCCGTATCTCGAGAGGACCCCTGAAGATAGGGGGGCATGCCTGAGTCACATTTTTGGTAGATCCTGAAAAAAGTTCGGACAAGTGAGCCAAAGTTCGCTCAAAATGTTCGGATTTGCCTCTGGTTTTGGGGCCAATATCCATAATTTTTCCGGACGGAGGCATCAGGCATCCCGGATGTCCAAAATATTCGGATTGCTGGGATCAGGCCTCAAAAGAGCCAATTTTTCATCGGACAACATAGATCAGGCCTTTAAAGACACAATTTTGTTAGAATCTACATTAGAATGTCATTTTTGAGCTGATGATATACAAGAGAGCATATGTGAGAGCGTCTGTGAGCTCGGTGATCGATAGTTGTCGATGAGGGAGAGTTTTTGTATAATCCGGAGGAATATCAAGTTGAGGATCCACTGCCATGTCAGAGCTAGTGTCGGATATGTCGAGGATAATTTCGGTCATTGTGTCGAGCAAATGAAATGATACCAGACCGGTGCCAGATAATACTAATATTGGCATAGTAACACTGAGCTGACAAATAAGTCTATAGTGGCCTCTGACTAGTATGAGATTGTAAATCAAAAACAGGGAAGATATCTCGGGTGAACAGCTCTAGAAAGATGGTTGAACATGAAGAAAGATGAAGTAGAGACGAAGAGAGACGAGCGCGAGAGAAGCGCCTGTTCTACGTAACGAATAAAGTCGAAGTACGGCGGTTTTTTAGCTCAAGGAGTAGAAGGCCAGTCGGGTCCAGGAAGTCCCGAAAATGCTTGTGGCTCGAACCTCGTATCTTGCATACTCTTGTGTTCAGATCAAACTGGTCATTCCATTGCACCACAAGACCGATACAAAAGTTCGGACTCATCATCCATATTACTGCCAAAAGATCCGGACCCGGCATCAGCTTTTCCGCGACAACAGCCCAAGAAATCCGGACCACGGCACAGGCCTACCACCACAGCGTGGCATTTTTATCCGGACGGACTCTGGTTTTTAGGCCTTTTTTTTCACAAATTTTCTCCGGATAGGGGGTCAGGCCTCCCCCCCTATTTTCGGGGGTCCTATCTCGAGTCGTATGATAGTGGATGTATAGATGTAGCCATTGTCACCGGTGTCGTATCCTGTCGTATCTCCTTGCGACCAGGTGGTGCAGTGGTGGTGCTCGGTCGTCGCCGACGGCGCAGGAGGGCGCAGGCAGATATCGGGCGCCTCGTGATTCTCCCTCTGAAAGGTCTGCGGAGCTTGAACACCCATTTGCCGGGGCACTGCTGGAGCCCAAGCCGAGTCAAGAACATGTACCGACAAGCAGAGGCAGTTTCCGGAACGATACAGTAGGGATATGGACGTGGCAGACGAGTGGCAAACGTCTTATTATTTCTTGAGCTTTGGAGGTGCTCCTCGTCGCCGCATACAAGAGATATCGGGCGCCTAACAGTCGGAGCTAGGCGGTACCTAGATGTCCTTTGACAATCCCCATCGATCGTCTTTTTCTCAATGCAAATGTCGACCTCTGGTGAGCACCCCATGTTATCGCATCTACGTTTTGCTTATTGGAATGTCTGACCAGTAGTGATATTTATCACCAAATAGTCAGAGTTGTAGGGCGTCTACAATGTAGAGCAGCTCGTGTATGCACACGAGTCTACGCCAAGCCTGCGCGAAAGACCCGTTTGACGGCGACCTGAGGCAGGCTCTGGCAGGATACTGCGGAGACCGTCCTAAATCTGTCGCACCACGCAGCCATCCTCCAATCCATACTCAGCTGTCAGTGTCACTCGATATGAACTGCCAGTGAACTGCCTCTCCACAAACACGCGTCCAGCTTATAGTGCAAGCGCTCCGCATTATGGTAGTATACTTCCTGCTTCGGTGTCGCTGGTTTCCCGGCGCTTTCGATCTTGGAGTCTGTGCTCGATCTCGATCGGAAAGCTCTCGGAACTGCCAACGCTGCAAAGGTGCAGTGTTGTGCACCTTCGTCGCGGTGCGCGCGCGACTCTTCTCAAAGCGTCGTCGAATGTGAGTGATTGTGACATGTTTCCCGCACTCGGTATCACAACAAATCTGACTGCCTATGATCAAAATTGCCGATATGCCGCCGATATAGACCATCACCACCGATTTCAAGGAGGGCAGTGTCCCTCGTGGGGTCTTACATCAATGTATGATTGATCTGCCCTAGTATGTTTGTGGTGGGTCCATAATATCTGTCCGCGCGGCTAGTTAGCAAGTACGACATTCTGACGCTTTCGACGGGGGACTTGCTGCGCCAGCATATTGCAGAGAGGTGTGTTGAGCTCTGTTGCAGATAGGGGCCTTGTTGCCCTCATCAGGCAAAATCTTGGGTCGTCTCCCTCAAGGTGTGCGCCCCTTTCAATCTTGAGCTTCCTTCGTTGTCTTTACGAAGCTCGTCACATTTTGTTCCACGCACGACCAGTACCGAGATCGCGTGTCGCATAGCGCCCTCGCCTCACATTTAAGTTTGTTACTACACTCCTCTGCCAGACAACCCCCCTCCCTGACCAGGATATCTCCCGTCGTCGCTGTCTTCGACGATCACACACGACCATGCCTTTTAATTTCTTCACCGTCATACCCATCATCAAAAAATGGCGCGCTATGGCGGCCAGTCGTAGCGAAGCGACCAGTGAGTGGCACCCCGGGTGCTGATAGAACTCCTTGATCTTTTCTGACGATTCGCTGCCAGGCGGGACGCTCGCAAACGTCGGGATAGCTGTGAAGAATAATCTCCTGGAGGGGATGCAAGGCCTCCTGCGCGCTCTCAACACCTTGAAGGTGCTCCACCCTTTCATCGGACGTGAGTCTTCGCCGCCTCTCGCTGTCGCACTTATCTGATTCCAACTCTAGCCCTCGTTCTCGCGTTTCAAGCCGCGCAGGCACTTGTCGCAACGATCCAAGCGAACGAGCACAAGGTCCTCGAGCTGTGCATATCTATGAGGGACCTGATGACGGTGGTCCTGAGGTGAGCGTATAGGATCAAGACAAGCCACCTTGACCGACCTACTGCCCCTCAACAGCCTGAAAGACGCCCCGAAGCACCAACTGCTGATCTGGGACCAGCTCAAGGCCCGCTGCGCCGACGCAGCGGCCGACATGGACAGCTGTGTCTTAGCCTGCCGCGAATACACCAGCTGCATCTTCCTCGCGAAGGTCTTCCGCGCGCTCGAGTGGGACAGGCGCTTAGGCCGCTTCCTTAGCCTATTCCAGGACCACCGCGCGACGCTCTCGGTCTTGCTGCTCGGCCACATGGCGCACGGCATCGACGGCCTGCATGAAAAGTGAGCGCCGTCACCCTTTTTTTTCGAAGACGGGGGTTTTTCTGAACGACGTCGGCGCAGGGTGGACGGGCTCGCGGAGGCGCTGGCGGAGGCGCTGAGACATTCTGCAGAAGAATTCAAGAGGCTCCAGGATATCATCGATCGGAAGGGGCGGGAGTCGTTCCTCCACGATGACGAAGCGCTCCGCGAGCTGCACGCCCAGGCGACGAGACTCGCACCGCCCGAGTCGAGGGCGGCCGAGGCTGCGATGAGCGTCGAGCAGCTGAAGGCATCCCTTTTCGCCGATGCGGAGCGCCCCGTCGGAGAGGCGGGTCCAACACCGTCCGCACCGGTTCTCCCGACCCCGCTCGATCAACGCTCCGAAGTGACACACCTCCCGGCTTTCCAGGACGCCCAGGAGCACAGCGGTAAACTTTGTCTTCCTGCTCTACCCTACACGCTGATCCCTGATCACCGGCATCTTATCCAGAGGAACAAAGCCCCCCCCACATCGACCTGCGCGCAAAGGGAGTGACTATGGTAGGCACGCTGTCCTTCTGCCACGTATCCCTCGCCGGACATCAGGCGGTGGATGCAGCCCCCGCCCGAATGTCTGCGGGGCAGGACGCGCTGCATACTCATGGTGCCCCCCGGAGGCGGAAGCCCGAGTGCGACTGGAGGTGCGGCCGCCCTGGTGCGCCGACGCCAGCCTGAGGCCCGATCTGGTTGAGGACCGCGCTGTAGTTGGGCAGGGCCCCAGCACACGCGAGAGTCCTAGCGTCTCCTGTGGTCTCCTCTTCTCTCTGTCTGTGCCGCGAATCGATTTCCGGTCTCGAGGCGCATGTGCGTTTCCCACGCGATCCGGCGGCGCAAACGATGTCGATGTGTCTGTGGAGGACACCGAGCAGGGCTTGTCTTGTCTTCTTATTTCGAATACATGAGTAACAGTACCAATACTATCAATAATATACGACGAGCGCGCTGGACGGCGGCACTGTCGCATGCACTCCCGATGTAGCGTCGGTCCGTCGGTAGAGGGCAGTGTTGTGAAAGCGAAAACGCGTGCGGCATGCACTAGCGCAACCTATAATACAATCAGTTTATCCACCACGAACACAACCCTTCTAGCGGTCAGAGAGTATCCATCGTCGAGGGGAACGCCCTCCGATGCCGCCGCGCGCGTGACTCCCCGATCGGGCCTGTTTCGCGGACCAATTCTACTCCATTTCGTCCCCAATCTCCCTCTTCGACCTCCCTCTCCTTGCCGTCGCCTCCGTCTTCAACGCCCCAACCCTCCCTCCCTCCTCTCTCCCCCACAATGTTCCCGTCCCTCCCATCCCTCGCACAGGCCCTCACGGGGCCCTTCAAGCGCGCCCAGCTCGGCCTCTTCCACGGCAAGACAAAGCAGTACGGCAACAACGTCCCCTTCTCCAAGAAAAAGACCCGCCGCACCTGGCTCCCCAACGTCCACCCCAAGCGCCTCTTCTCCGCCGCGCTCGGCGAGAACGTGCGCGTGAAGCTCACTGCACGCGCGCTCAAGACTGTCAACAAGGTGCGTTGCTGTCGTGGCCGAGCGCTGTGCACTAGGCGAGTGCGGGGCCGGTATGCGTCGTGCCCGCGGAGCTGATGCGTTGCGTTTGGCTTCGTTTGAGGTTAGTATGGAGGCATCGACGAGTACGTCCTCAATACGCGCCCGGACCTCCTCGGCTGGGAGGGCATGCGCATCCGCGTCCTCGTCCGCGAAGCCCGCGAGCGCAACGCCGCCGCTGCCTCCACCAACCCCACCCCCAACACAGGCGCCCCTTCGCTATCGTCGTCGTCGCCGCAGCTGCCCGCGTCCGCCGGTGCGTCGCCGCCCTCATAGTAGCATCGCAGGTGCGCACAACCCTCCCTGTCTGCGTGTGCGCGCATCTGACGAGACGTGCTTGCTCCCTCTGCAGTCCGAGTGCCCGCAGCCATCACGTCGCCTCGCGTCGAGCCCCGTCTAGCCCCGTTATCTCATGTCATGTCGTATCATCATTATCATCATCGTATCGTATCATCACCGTACCACACGTCCCCTACGCGCAAATCTATCCCCTCGCTTGCTTCTCTCGTCCTCGCTCGTTTGTCGCACGCTCACGCTCGCACAACGCCCTCATAATGCCAATAATGCGTGCGCGTCCGCGCCGCGCACCTGGTGAGTCCGCGGGGTGACCAGGACGTACGCACGTCAGTAATGGAACGAGGCATACCCCATGTCGTGTCTACCGCTATCCCTTCTTCTATTCCGTGTCGCGCTGCCTCTTTGGCTTCTTTCTCTTCCAGTGTTCCCCAGCGCCTCCCCCGCGAGCCCCCGCGCGCCGACGCCCCGTGCTTAGAAAGAAAAAAAGACAGCACGCGCTCGACGAACGGACCTACGTCTGTGCGCCTGCATGAGTGTGGCTCGGGGCCTCGCGCCGCCAGAACGAGCCGCTGGCGCGGGGTCTGCGCGTGGATCTACGTCTACCTAAACGGTGCCAGCAACCGTGAGCACTGTATATACTCTAAGCGGTGCGAACGGCTAAGGCCGGTGGTTCGCGTTCTACCGGGTCACTCGGTCGGTGGATCGATCGAGCGTCTGGTGTGCCCTCGATAATATCAATCGAGGAGGGCAGGGCAGGGCAGTCTGCAGCTTCTGCAGGCCGTGACGCGTGATGCCGCAGCACTTGCTCGCACCAGCCCGTACGTGTCATCAGGCCGTTCGCTATGCATCTCCTCCGTCGGCGCAACTTTTCGCGTTCGTGATCCGTAATCCACGCCCGAAATAAAAAGCAAGCGGCGGAAAACAATAAAATAATACATGTGTGTATGTGAACACAGACAAACACAAAAAGTACGACACAGCGTCAAGATCCAGCCGCAGTATCTACAGTATCTACAGTATCTCAGTATCTCAGTATCTACACCACTTACATCGCTTACATTGGACGATTTACACTGTACTCTACGCACCCAACCAGCGCACTTACGGCGCGCACGGTGCGCGGCACGTACACCGCACAAGCAGCCACATCGTCCTCGTGCATCATCGAACGTCTCACCCACGTACACAAGAACCGCCTAAGCACGGTGGGGCGTCACAACCCGTGCTTCCCGATACGCACCTCGCCCTCGAACGGCAGGCCCTCGAGTCGCATCCCCGCGTCCCCATCCTCCCCGTCCCCATCCCCGTCTCCGCCTTCATCTCCAGCGCCAGGGTGGGTGCCGCCGCGCAGCGGCATCCCCTCGATGCGCACGAGCACTCCCGCGACGCCCCGCACGCCCGCGAGCGCGCCTTGCGAGCCGAATATGACCTGACGGCGGGCGGGGGAGCGTGAGACCGGCGGTCAGAGAACGATGAACATACAAACAATCAAACGCAAAAACAAGAAACAAGAAACAAGAAGCGAGGGACTCAGAGACCACGGTACGCACCTTGCCCACGAAGCTGCTGAACTCGCGCTCCCGCCCGGGAAGCACCACGAGCGGCACGTCCACAAACCGCGCACCCACGAGCGTCGCTTCGCCCTCCTCCTCCCCATCCCCATCCTCACCATCATCCTCACCATCCTGGTCCCTATCGCCAGCTCCGTCCTCCTCGTCGCCCTCACACCCCACCGCCGCGAGCGCAGCGGAGTAGCGGCGACCCGAGCGGGGGCCACGGCTGGAGCGGGAGCGCGGAGGTGCGCTCACGCTCGTCGCGTTGAGCCACGCGTCGGGCCGAATGTGCGCGAACGCGCGCGGCGGGAGCGGATCGGGCAGCGGGTGCGGCGGCGGGAGCGGTGTGCCCGCGCGCGACTCCAGATCCGACTCCGAATCCGAATCCGAATTCGAGGAACGTGCATCGGGCGGCGCGTCCGGCTGTGGGACCGCGCCGTCGAAGACGAGCACGTCGGGCAGGACACCGTGCACGGCGATGCGCACGTGCACGCCGCGCGGGAGCACGACGCGCGCGCAGACGCGGCCGCTGGCGAGCACGTCCGTCCCCGCTGCGCGGAGGCGCATCCCGCGGAGCGCGACGTCGCGGAGGACGCGCGGGCGCGGGACGGGCGCGGGGAGCGCGAAGGGGACGGGCGCGAGGGCGGGGAGGAGCGAGGTACGGAGGGCGAGCGGAGCGGGGCGGCCGGCGAGGAAGCGCGAGAGGAGGGCGGAGAGGGCGCGGGTGGAGTGCGGGGTAGGCGGGAGGAGGTGGCCGGTGGCGGGAAGGGGTGTGTGGGGGGATATGAGGGTCGTCGGGGGGGTCGTGAGCGCGGCAAGCGGGACGAGGGCGGTGTGGGTGGTGCCGTTGGTGCCGTTCGGGAGAGGGAGCGGGAGGTGGACGGTGAATGGCAAAGCGGGGATGGTGAGCGCGATTTCGGGCGGGAGCGGGGTGAGCACGCGTGCGGAGGCGGAGAGGGCGAGCGTGGCGGGGGACGAGGTCACCGTGAAGGACTGCAGCTCGACGAGGTCTGTGAGCGCGGGGAGCGGCGCGCCGCTGCCTGCGGGCGGGAGGCCCGGGAGCGGGGGGACTAGAAGGAACGCGGCGCGGCGCGGGGGGTCAGCACTGCAGCACGGAGAGCCCGAACGGGCTCAGGCCGCGCGCCGGGGTAGAAGGGAAGGGAGGGGGGCACGCACTCTTGTGGCGGAGCGCGAGGGCGAGGGAGGCGCGGTCGAGGCGGAGGAGGGCGCTGCGCCAGGTGGCGTCGCCGAGGGTGCCACCGCGGAGGTGGAGGGCAGGGACGCGGGCGGTCGCGGCGAGGTGGCCGTCTGCCCACGCGGCGCGGGCAAAGGCGAGCCAGGCGGTGGTGTTCTGGGATGGGCGGATGCGCACAGGGAGGGCGAGCGGGGTGAGCCAGGACAGGGCGGAATGGGAGCCGCGGGGCGGGTCTGGGGTGAGCGGGAGGTGGAAGGGCGGGAGGTGGACAGACGCGAGCGGGGTCTCGGGGGACGAGGGAGGGACGATGTCGATGGGCGAGAGGCGGACGGAGACGTGGTCGAGCCGCTTTATGCCCCACCGCCCGATGGTCTTCCATGCTGCGCGGGCGAGCCCGTCCGCCTCGTCTGGGGCGACGCCGATGGCGGCACCTGCGTCGAGCCCCACACGGGCGGAGACAAGCACCCAGATGTCACCGTCGGAGGTAACGTTGAGGACATCGATCGAATCGGGGCCGCGTGTAACGAGGGCGCGGGAGAGCAGTATATCTGGGGCTGCGCGGGCGGGCTCGGCGGCGTAGGACCAGGCGAGGGTGGTGAGGAGGAGGGCTATGGCGGAGGTGGTGGCGAGGGTGAGGAGGAAGACGGTGAGGAGCTTGGTGCGGACGCGGCGGCGGTGGGTGGTGGGGGACTCGGGGTCGGTGGGGTAGGGGGAGAGGGCGGGAGAGAGGGGGTTCGATGAGGAGGGGGCGGGGGAGAGGGGGGAGGTGAGCAGCGGTGTGCGTTCCGTGGGGCGGGCGCGGGCCTTGCCCTTGTCGAGGGGGTGCTGGTCGCTGTCTTGGACGGCGGCGGCGGTGGTCATTGCGGATGCATGCGACGACGAGGAAGAGCTTAGACACTGCTCAGAGATCCTCGAGGCGGCTGCTGGGAAGCACAGAGGGTGCACGTGCTCAGGAGCCTTCTGCACGTGATCCCTGCGCGTACTCGATGCGCCTCGGGGTCTGCTCACGTCCCATTCCATGTCTCGCCTCTTCTCTCTCAACGACACCGCCCTCCTCTTTGTCCCTTCCCGCAACTTCGACACATGCTACGCCGTCTCAGTTTACCTATACACGCAAGCTGTTTCACACGTGTCCATGGCGTCCTGACCTCATTGGCTATCACAGAGATTCATCTGGAGGTACAGACGTCACAGCTCGCTTTGAGGATGCTCGGCACACCGTCTCCGTATATCCGTTCCCAAATGTAGCATATATGCGCTCACAACAGTCTTCCGCACTCGCACCAGGACCTGATCACGAAGCTCATCGCCCTGCATGTCTCCACCCCCATCCCGCCCGCCTCGTTCCCCTTCACCGTCGAGGGGGACACCTATGATCTGCGCTGCAGTGAGTATGTCCACCGACCGCTACCCGTGTCGATCTATTGACGCATGCGCGGTGGCGGCGCAGACGTGAAGCCGTGGGCGTACGGCAAGAGCATACGGCTCGCGTGGGGGACGCAGGAGCTCGTTCCCGCAGAGGAGAAATGGCAGTTCGAATTTCGCGCGATTGGGGTGCCTCGGGCGGGGCGCTGTGAGTGAGCGAGGGGGATACGGATACGGCGCTGTATTGGATCGCAGAACAGATAGCGACCGGCGGATGTGATCTAATCGCGATCGGGGTCACCTCCAGATACACACGAGGCTCGTGGCTGATGTCATCTTCCCTTCCTCCAACGCCCTCGACAGCGTGACACATATTCTCTTCACCAAACCTCCCCACGCCATCTCAGCACAGAAACAAATCCAAATAATATTGGTGGCGTCAAATGTTGCAAAGCAGGAGCCATCGAGCAGCAGGGCCGGTGTCGCGAGCGAACGAGGCGCTTTGACAAACCTTGGGGGAAGTACCGGGGGCATCACGCTCTGTGACCTAAGCTGTCACGGGCGTTAGTCAGTTGAACCAGCTCGTTTGCCCGCTGCTGTATATTACTAGCCATCCTCTCTCCCTCTCTCCTCCTCTTCCTCCTCCTCTCCTTCTCCCTCCCAACCCCTCTCTCCACACACTTTCACCATCCCAACCATCCTCTTACGACTTTCACCCCACGCACGACACAACACAATCCACGCACGTCGACTGCGACTCTCCCCACACCACCTCCTGAGATAAGTCGACCCGCGCACTTTGCCCTCCAAGCCGGCCGCCACACCCCTCCAACCGCCCTACCCATCTTACCCCACACCCCTCCACACCCTCACAATCTCCCGTCATTCTCTCCCGGATCAACCCACCCACCACAGCCTCCCCCGCGAGCCATGGCGCCGTCACCCGCGCCCCCGGCCCACCGCACCGCGAGTGCACCCGCCTTCGCAAAACGCACCGAAGACGACGAGCTCAAGCTTTTCCGCTACGTCCTAGTAGGTGATCTCGGCAAGGGCAGCTTTGCTACCGTGTACAAGGGCTATCACGAGGTGCGTCCCACGCTCCCTTCCCTCCTTCCTCCTCTCCAGGGGGTAGGGGCTGCTTCATCGACGGCTGGGACCACCTGAACTAAGAATGGACTTGGACTTGCGCGTTCCTGCGCTGGGATCTAGGAGTCAAGGAAGGAAGTCGCGATCAAGACCGTGAGCAGGAGCAGCCTCTCCACGAAGCTCTTCGAGAACCTCCAGAGCGAGATTGACATCCTCAAGTCCCTCTCGCACAGGCACATCACGCGCCTCATTGACATCGTCGTACGTCTCCCTCCTCTCCCCGCGCCGCCACCAATACTAACCCTTCGACGTCGCGCACGACAGAGCGCGGAGCGCAATGTGTACCTTATCATGGAGTACTGCGCCGGCGGCGACCTCACAAATTACATTAAGAAGCGCGGGCGCGTCGAGGGGCTCGAGTACGTCCCCGAGCCCGGCGCCGCCCCGCAATACTACCCACATCCTCGCACGGGCGGGCTGACTGTCATCGTCGTTCGCAGCTTCCTCCGGCAGCTCGGTGCGTCTGCCGTTTTTTCATGTCTCGTCCTGCTGTGCTAGCTCAGGACGGCGCTCGCGATCGGTGCTGACAGCTGTGTAGCCCGCGCGCTCAAGTTCCTGCGCCAACGGAACCTCATACATAGGGACATCAAGCCCCAGGTGCGTCGCGTGTCGCGTGCATACACCCCCTTGATTGAACGTATGGATGGTCGTATGGGCTTGTAGAATCTGCTGTTGAACCCCGCGTCGGAGGACGATCTCCAGAGAGGCCACCCGCTCGGCGTGCCGATCCTCAAGGTCGCCGACTTTGGCTTTGCGCGGTCTTTGCCCAACGCGATGATGGCAGAGACGCTTTGCGGATCCCCGTGCGTCCTTTTATTCCCCTCTTCTCTCTTACCTTCCCTGCCCGCTCCACTCCGCACGTGCGCATGCGACTGAATGCCCCTCGTCAGGCTGTACATGGCGCCGGAGATCCTGAGCTACCAGAAGTACGACGCCAAGGCGGACCTCTGGTCCGTCGGCGCCGTGCTCTACGAGATGTCCGTCGGGCGCCCGCCCTACCGCGCACAGAACCACATCGAACTCCTCAAGAAGATCGAAGCATCCAAGGGCGTCAAGTTCCCCGACGAGTCCCCGCCGCGGCGTTCTGGCGTCCCGACTCCTACCACCCCCAACAACGCGACGACGACGACGACGCCAGGCGCAGAGGACGCGGCAGCGGTGCCGGATGACATCAAGCTACTCATCCGGCTACTACTAAAGCGACACCCCGTCGAGCGCGCGAGCTTCGACGACTTTTTCAAGAGCACGGCGATGGTGAACTCAAAGTTCCCTCGCCCGCCGCGCGCGGCAGACGCGGCGGACGCGGCGCCGAAGGCAGAGGCGGAGTCGGGCGGCGCGATCGGCCTCGGGATCGGAATTGTGGACGACTCGGAGATCCCGGAGCACCATCTGCAGGTGCCGCCCGAGGTGCTGGACGCGAAGGCGATGATTCCGCCGAGTAAGTTTCGGTTTAGGAGGAGGGAGGAGGGGGGAGGGGGTGACAGTGCAAGTTCAGGCGCAGGCAGGAGAGAGGACCAGACGGGAGGAGACGGGTCTGAGGCGCAAGGATTTGTAGGGTGCGTGTGCCATATTCGTGTGCGATCGAATACTGATGACTGGCTTTTGCGCGCAGCACTGCGATACCGCCGTCGCACCAGCAACCCCCATCCAGCCCGCTGCTCGCGCGGCGCCAGTCGGGTGCCTCCACAGCGCCTCGCGCGCTGCCGAGGCCGCTGTCAACAGAGGGCTCGATCATCCCGGGCGAGACGGAGGAAGATGGGCTGCTGCGCCGCGAGTACGTGCTCGTGGGCGACACGCGCGCGGTCGAGTTTAACCGCGCAGTAGACGGTATGAGCGCCGACCGCGAGCGTCGGGACCGTGTCACTCACCCTTATGCTTACACGCGCGCCGTCGACGGGCGCACGGCGTCCTCGTCATCGGCTTCACCCTCCTCTCCGCTTGCGCTCCCGCCCTCGCCCCCGTCCCCGTATTCGGCGTCGCCCGTCGCGGTGGTGGGCCCTGCAGAGATCACAGCCGCGAGGAGGCGGCCGCTCGCGGACTGCCGCGTCCCGCCGGCGCGACTTAAGCTCGAGCGCGAGCGCGAACGCGAACGTGAGAGGGAGCGACGACGGCGATCGTCGCAGGAGTACCCCTCGACATCGTTGCCCGCGGCGGGCGACCCGCAGACGCTCGACTCGCCCGCGGCGAGCCCGAGCACAGCGACGTTCCCCCCGCCGCCGCACGCGTCGCCGCCCCTCGGGCTGAACATCCCCGCGCTGCCGGCATCGCCCACAGCGTCGACGCCGAGCCCGGGATCCGCGGGGCGCGCGCTCGCGCGGGCGCTGTCGCTTGCGTCAAAGAAGCTGTTCGGGGCGGCGCCCGCGTCGACGCAGCAGCAGCAGCATCAGCGGCAGCAGCGGCCGGAGCAGCAGATGGGACACGCGTCGAGCTCAGGTTCGGGTACGGGCTCAGGTGCATCGTTTGGTGGGCTCGGGCTTGGGATGGGTGACGTCGGGACGGGGACGGGGAGGCGGCCGATCATCGTCGGGCGGGGGCTCGACGGGGGAGATGGGGAGGACGGGGAGGAGAGGGATCCGATGGAGGACGAGCTGCTGGCGGGACTGGAGCAGCTGGCGCAGAAGACGGATGTGATCACGCGGTGGGCGGACGAGATGTACGAGTTTGTGAAGGCGGTGCCGCAGAGTACGTGTTTTCTTCTTTTGGCGCTTGTGCGTGCGTGCGCTCGTGGCGCGGAGCCGAGCCGAGCCAAGCTGACGCGTTTCGTGGGTTTCTTTCATTTTATTGTGCGCTCGTAGAGCCGCTGCCGGACCCGAGCAAGTTCGTGCCGCGCGCGGGCGAGCCGGAGAAGCTCGCGCAGCGGCGGCGGCACGCGGATTTCCAGGCGGAGTACAACGCAGTGACGTGCGTCGCGATTTACATGCTCGTCATGGCGTTCTCGCAGAAGGGCATCGAGGAGCTGCGGCGGTACCAGGAGCACATGGAGATGCGCCACCCGGAGGAGGACTTTGTGGTCAGCGAGGGCTTTGACGACGGTGCGTTCTGCGTTCTGCATGTTTGTGATCCGCGTGTGTGCGGGGTTTGGGACGCGGGGCTGATGTGCGTTTGGGTGGGCGTGTAGCGTTGACGTGGTTCAAGGACCACTTCCTCAAGTGTAACGATCGCGTCGCGCTGGTCAAGACCTGGCTGCCCGCGCAGTACGCAGGGCCGAGCACGTACGTAGACGAGCTAGTGTACAATCGCGCCCTGACACTCGTAAGTCGCCGTCGCTGTCGCTCTCGCGCCTCCCTGACCGGATGCTGACCCCTGTTTCTGCCGCGCTGCAGAGCCGGACGGCGGCGCGCAAGGAGCTGCTAGACCAGCACAAGACGCCCGACGAGTGCGAGAAGCTGTACGAGGAGTCGCTGTGGTGCCTGTATGCGTTGCAGGACGACCTGCTGCAGAGGGACAACCCGTTCATGGACGAAGACCGCGAGACGATCTCCACCTGTGCGTCTGCTCCCTCTTTCGTTTTCTGTGGTTTGCGGCGGGATGCGGCGTGCTAATGCGGTGCGCGCACAGGGATCAAGCGAACGAAGCTTCGCCTCGTGCGGTGTCGCGTGCGAATGAACATGACGGACCGCGAGCGCATGCGCGACGCGCGCGCGGACAAGAACCTGGACGACGTGCCGCGCATCCCGGCGCCCTGGGACGCGGAGGCGATGCAGAAGTTCCACAGGCCCGACTCGAATAATGCTAATGCCGATGCTAATGGCCATGCCGATACCTTATCACGATGACCCTTCACGACGTGTTTCTCCCCTGTTACCCCTTGACGCCTCTATTTTCCTCGCATTCTCTCTCTCATTTTCATTTTCATTTTGTCTTGCTCTCCTTCTTTCTACGGTTATCTGTGTTTCTATGTGTCGGTGTGTACATTGCTATACTATTAGAGAGCTCCTGTTCTCCGTCACATCCGTGACTCTTGTTGTATCTACCGTCTCCCTCTTCCCCCGCCCCTCCCCCCTGCCTGCACCCCTCACCCACCCTTCCATACTCCTTTCCTGCTCTGTCGTCTGCTCTCTCCTTCCTCGGGTTTCGTTTCTCTGCTGCTTGGGATCTATCACGCGTTGCGACGGACGGCTCCCTCCATTCACCGCACTTGTAGTAATATTATATGCACATAGGCACTGACTGACATGCTCGCTTCTGTACACCCCCCTGCCCCCCTCCTCCTCCTCCCTCACCCCCATTGTTTATCGTATTGTGCTCGGGATAGTGTGTAATTTATCTCGTCGAGGACGAAGTTTGGATTATCTCTGGCGCGGCTGTGTGATTAGTTGTAGGAGCCGTGGATGGTGAGTGAGATTTCGTACGGCAGTCTACATAGATGAATCGCACGTGGCCATGGCACAGACCTCCGAGGGTGAGGTTAGGGCTTCCCATTCACTCCTTTCCTGCTTTCCCCCTCCATCGATCTTCTACATATCTGCAAACTCGTCGCTTGTGTGAGTCCGGAACGATCGCACATAATTGGGAACAACCGCCGTGAGCTGACGCGCGAGCCTTACTCTTTTTTGGCTTAGCTATTCACTCTCGGGAGCTTATTCTTAGCATGGCGAACTTCACCTACGTCGTAGGCAAGTCCGCGCTCTACTCGTTTTTCTCGTGGGTAGCTAACGGGGGGTGCATCGCGCCCGCGGCGCAGAGCACATGGAAGAGGACGACGAGACCCCGCGCGCGCTGCCGCGATGGGTCGAGCTCGAGTACAACGTGCGTTACGGTCCTTTCGATCCGTGGACATTTTCTTGTACCATAGAGTTTGCGCCCGCACACTTTGACAAGACTCTACCCTGTCTAGCACATGCGCACGCTCGCCGGTCCCGGGGCTCAGGTTCGTTTTACGAACCTCTCCCGCGCCGCGGCGACCTCGCTCGCGCAGAGCTTCGCAGGCGCCCCCGCCCCTGCTCCCACGGACCGCCCCGCGTTGGGCCTCGCCGAGTCGGCGTGCGAGACGGTCGGCGTGCTAGAGCTAATGCAGCGCGCAGGCGTCCCGCGCGAGCGCGTGTGCCTGCTTGACCCCAAGGCGGAGAAGGCGCTCGCGCCGAGCGATGGCGAGGGCGAGGGCGCGTTCGAGTGGTTCCTGTTCGGGGTGCGTGCACACACAACACCACTACTTGCGCCTGCTCTGCCTCGGGTCTCCCGATGTCGCGCTCGTTTTCACTGCCGTTGATGGGTTGCTTTGCGCGCAGGGCATCCTGGGTGAGTGGCCTGCCCTTTCGCGCTGAACGGCGCGTGTCTCTCTGGGCTGCGTCGCGTGGTCGATGCGGTGTTGATTTGTACGCGTGTGGACGTGGACAGGTGACGACCCCCCGCGGGACCGCACTGGCGAGCTGCGCGCAATGGGGTTCCCCGGGCGGCATCTGGGCTCGGTGCAGATGACAACGGACACCGCGCTGGGAGTGACGAAGCGCGTCGTGGTGGACAAAGGCGCGTCGCTCGCCTTCTGCTTCGTATTTTTTAGTTTTTAATTTTTGGAATGGCCTTTATATTTTGGGTTCAACTGTCTTGGGTTCTGAAACATACAGTGCCGCTCGAGGAGATCCCATACGTCGTACGTCTCTTGTTCGAGATACACACATGGGGATGAAATTATTGACGTACGATGGCCTGGACTTTGTGAACGCCGCAGGACCACCCGACGATCGTATTTAGCCCGCACGAGAGCGTCGAGATGCCATTCCGTGCGTCGCGTTTCTTCTCGTATCTTTTCACGCATGTCTCGACGACGCCTCCCTTTCCTCTCGTCTTCTCAAATCAGGGTACATCCAAGAAAATGACGCGCCGCTGCTTCCGCCGGGCATGAAGGCGCACTTGCGGGAAGATCTCGACCGGAGCTTCGAGTTCTGAATGCGGTGAGCACCGGAACCCAGCCGCAGCGTCGATGACTATGAGTGTGTAGTGAGCGAGAGGGTGCAGGTCAGGTATACGCGGAACGAGGACGAAAAGGCAACAGCGTTGGTTCTGGACTGTGTGTTGTAGTTGGATCCGGAAGGTGGTTGTGTGTACGACGGGAAAGCAGAAGAATCTCAAAACGGTTGTATCGATGCGACCTTATCAGCGCCTCATTCGGCGTATATTGACAAAATCAGCGTATTTTGTTGCAGGCCCGCCGGCACTCTGACGGACCGTCCTAAGGGAAGTGAGGGCGGTGGCCGAGATGGCCCTGGTCCATGAGCGGTCGAGGCTTGCTAACATAACATACAGCGCATGACGCAGGGCGATTGTTCGGCAGATCCAATCATCGAAACCGGAAAGCGTGCTGAGGTTCGTAACCCGCAGACTCAAAAGTCAAGCCTCTGTCCGAACCGCGTCTGGCAGTGCAGGTGACCTAGAACAGTGGATGTTGGTGCCACGTTCGGCCCCACAGGTGACGTCGACGGCGGCGTAAACTGTGGACAGAGATGGGAAGATGCCTGCTGTTCGCTCGTGGAGGCTTGTGAGACGCGTAGCCATTGGCGCGGAGCAGACGCGACCCGACATCATTTGCACGTGCGACGTGCCTGCCGCTCGATGCCGCGATGCCGCGATCTTGCCGATACACTGATCTTTAGCTCAGTTGCAGGCGCTGCGGCTGCACTGCGGGGCTTCGCTCGCATCTAGGGGACGATAAGGGCGACAAAGAGGCAAAAAAATTCTACCAGGGAGCTCAGCAGCTCGTCGGAGCCATCGGTGTGCACTCCTAATGTTGTTATGCAGAACATGATTACGAGTACGGCAGTCTTACATTTCGTGACTTAGGACGCCAAGCTGTGCCAAGAAAAAGGAAGGCGCAAGCCCAGCCGGCGGATGAATGTGTCATGAGAGATGAATGAGCAAGTATGATGGGCACACGACCATTTTTCCGATCTGATACCTCGTTGCACTCTCGTCGCCTAGCTCTGCTCCGACACACCAAAACACCCCGTCCTCCAGTCTCTCTGCCCAGAACCCATCCCTTCTCTATCTGTCTATACATCGTGCACTTCGCCCCCTGTACTTCCAGAAGCTACCGGACCGAGCAGGACGCACGGCGCGGGACAGGTCACACGAGTGGAACCCACTATGATATCAGCACTGACGGAACGGCAAACACGCATTGATATGCCCAGCCTCCACTCACCAGCAGTGCGTCAGCCGATCTTTCGTACAGCTCGGCATGGGTTAGCCCGTGGCGCGGCCGTCGCTCCGGACATATATAGAACACAAACATACCTACTCCACTGGCGCCCTTGTCACCCCAGTGTCCAGACGTCTAGTCTCTACGTCCCGGTGGTCTCCTGCAGTCTTACAGCACATACGCAAGCGCGTATCTTCTTGTTGCTTTATAATCTGCCCTAGGGGATCTTTCCTCTGTCTTTCACGAGTTGCTATATACATAGGATTCTCACCAAAACGATGGACGCATCGATCGTCCAACCTTTCCATCCGGAGGTTGTCGCAGTCCCTGGCTCCTCGTCTCTTGGCTATGTCCTCGAGCCCGCCATCGTAATCTCCCTCCTCGCCACCGGTGTCTGGCTGAACCGCCGGAACACATCCCGCTCCCCGCCTCTCTTCCCGTATCCTGCGAGTCCGTCCTCACCCGCGAGCGCGCGCGACACCTCGCGTTATGCCAACAACTGGATCTCTCGCACGCTCCACCGTCTTCCGTTCATTCTAGAGGTCCTCTACTGGGCTCTCACGTACTGGATATACCAGATCGCTCGCGCAATCTCTGCTGTGCTTTTTATCGATGAGGGCACAGTCGACCTCGCGCGCAGGCATGGCATTCAGGTCGTCGAAGCCGAGCGTGCGATGAGCATTCAGTGGGAAAATGGTGTTCAGGAATGGGTCATGCATACCCCGTGGTTGCTCAATTCACTCAACAGGTATGCCTACAACCCACCTCACTGATTTAACCATCTGAATTCGATGCATCCTTTATAAGAATCTACTCCTTCATCCACATCCCGGCCACGATCGCCTTCCTAGCCTACTTTTACCGCACCCAGCGCTTCAATACGTACGCCCCCGCGCGGCGCACGCTCGCGCTCGCCAACCTCCTCGCTTTCGTCGTATTCACCCTCTGGCCGTGCATGCCCCCGCGCCTCCTCCCAAAGAGCTACGGTTTCATCGACACCGTCCACCGCGGCGCGGTCTCCTCCGTGTGGACGACCAACAAGTTCTGCAACCAGTACGCCGCGATGCCGAGCCTCCACTTCGGGTACTCGCTCATCGTCGGCTGGTCGTTGTTCGCGAACGCGCCCGCGGGCACGCGCTCGCGTTGGCGCCGTATGGGCCTGCACTACCTCTTCATGGGCTACCCCGCGCTGATCCTGCTCGCGATCGTCGCGACCGCGAACCATTACCTGCTCGACGCCGCGGCCGGGTTCGTCGTCGCCGTGCTCGCGCTCCAGGCGAACGCGGTCCTGCTCCGCCTGCTCCCGCTCGAGAACTACGTATTCGACAAGCTACACATACATAAGCCGCCCCCAGCAGGGCGTGCTGAGGCCGTGGGCGCGGAGGAGGGGCTGCCGCGGTTCGCATACGAGGCTGTGGACGATGGCGGCGCCAAAGAGAAGAGGCGGAGCTGTGGGTCATTCGTTTTTACCACCGCCGAGGCATGAGACGATGCGTCGTGGCGCGTTTCTCTGATCGGGCTAGACGGCGACCGACTTGATGACTCCTCGATGACCGTTGACGAAGTGAAGCGATATGCGGATGATGATGGCGACGACGACGACGATCACGAGGAGACGTGGAAAGATTCGATTGGTAGACCTCCTGAGTCGTTGACGGGAGAAATTTGCTGTTGTATTGTTTAATTGGCCCTGTTCTTCGTCGAAGGAAAATAATTTAGGTATGTAAGCGGCCATGCGACCCAGCTTTTATTATATCTAACACACGTACACGATGCAAACTATCTGTACTCGACCCGCCCTACCTTATCTCATTAGTGAGTCTATAGACACCTTTATCATAGTGCAGTCTGCCGATGCCTGCTGCATCTGGCAGTGTGCTCTTTGCGGGGCGCAGGTTTGTGGTGAAACGCACGCTCTCATCAAGTCAGAAAAAATGGATCAGGATTCCTGTTCGTGATGTTCTCATAATTAAATCTTGTTCCCGAACACGTAAAATAAGGGCTGTCTTATATGCGGAGCGCTAAAGCGCTAAATATTCACTTCTTTAGTAATGGGTCTGACAATCCCCTACGATTCTCTCACAGAACCATCCACAGGACGGCTAGCCCTCCACCAACCACCCACAGGTCCACGTCTACCATGCTGTAGCGGCTAGCAGCCGCATTCTTGCTTTTCTCGCTCGCAGACCCGGTTGCCGTGGCATTAGAGGCGCTCGCAGACGCCTGGGCCAGCGTCGCCGCGACGTACCCGCAGTCGCTCAGTGGTTGATTCCAGAAAAACCACGGCTCAGCCGGGTACGAGACCTCCTTCGCCTCTAGGAACGTAGTGTACTTTCCTGCCGCAGAGCTGTCCCCGCTGCCCTCATCGCCGTAAACGGACGCGACGGCGCCGACGCTCGGGTACAGCTCGTCGGCGGCTTCGTCCCCGGGGTTGACGCCCATCGCGAAGTCGAGCGCACGCTGGATCATGCCGCCCTTCGTGGTGGTAAATTTCCAGGCGTCAAGGCCCGCGAATTGCGCGATGCGGGCGTTGGTCTGTTTGACCCGATGATTAGAAAGTGATGTGGAAGAAATGCGGCTACAGAAAGAAGAGACTTGCGATCATGGCGGCTAGGTTATACGCTCTGTAGTGATAAGGCCGCGTTCGCACCGCCTCAAGTGGCTGTATGATCTGTCAACAAGTCTTTACGAGCAACTGAAGAGGAACGCGCCTGTTCTCCGTTGGCGTCGATCTGGTTCAGGTATAATGTATTGAAGTAAGTCTGCGTCACATTTCGTGCGCCATCAGTGTCACCGAGTAAAAGCTTGAGAGCCGCGAGCTGATTGTAATAGAATGTGCCATGGTTGCTGTAACAGTTAAATCCATAAGCCTCGACGCATCGTACCATTCATGTGAGTGCGTCACGCTAGGAGTAGGGGCGGCAATAACGAAAAGGATACGAACTTTGGAGCGACAGCCTCGGCGAGCGCGATTGGGTTTGTTTCGAGCCATTGGACGTATTGGGTCGTCCACTGTGCCATCTGGCTTTTGATGTCGTCCGTCCATACCGCGCTCTTTCCATTTTGAAGTATGAGGATTCCATTCACAATCTTCACGAAACCCTTCAAATCCCTATAGAAAAACCATACGTTAGGCCTCAAGGAAAACGCGATGGAATCAAGAGAACCACAAAAAGGCGCGTACAAGACTCCTGTGTGAGTGCCAAGCTGCGCGTCGGGCCCGCGCTGCATCTGGGCATAATTTAAGTTTGGATTCATCGCAGTATCGGCGTCGAGGAACCATGTCTGCACAAAGCGCACTGCGTTGGCTGCGTGCGCGTCCGAGCCATTCAAAACCCACGCCATCGCACTGTATAGCACCGCGTTGGACATCGCATCGAAGTCGCCAGTGTTGTCAACAGTGCGCACGTCGGGGTTGAATAACCCATCACGCTGGTAGTACGGGCACGTTGTCCAGACTGGACAAATTCCAAGTGTACGATCGGGGCATGGCCGGAGCAAGGCAAACGGTGGTGATCAGTGCAAGGATAGCGCACGACGGGAGTGAGGAAGCCTTACTTTGCTCAGCGGGCAACTCTGTTGTGTTGCCAACATCGGTGCAATTTGGCCACCAGCTTGAACAGGCGTGAGCGTGGGTATGGGCGCCATGCGCGATGGTGCGATGAGAACGTACTAAGGGGCCCAGCTGAGGTAGTCATGTTTATCCCCAGACGGTGCTGCATAGGGTTTGTTCACGACCGCTGCAAGGCGGGGCGGGGCAATGAGCAAATATGGGGGATGGATTCAGGTGGAATTCCGCGAACGCCCCTCTGCGTCCAGGTCATTACTCACACCAGGGACCCTGAGCTGAGAGATCTTCTGCCCACTGTATGATTGTTTCCTGCGCGAGGACACGCGTCGAGTTAGTCGCCGACTGTTGCACGACGATGCTCGGGTCGAAAAAGTCATTTGCGTAGGAGGTGAAGCTTTGAGCGGCGGCACTAGTATAGAGAAGGCTCACAAAAGCCAGTAAAAGAGTGACAGGATTCATATCTCAAAGCCGAGTTGTAAAACAACTCGCGAGAATGTGAAAGGAAGACGATCATTGTGAGCGCTCGCTCCTCCCTTATAATGCAGTCCTTGGATGGCCAAGCAGGGGCAGACGGCCGCGTGCCATTGATAGTCACTTTGCGAAGACTCAACCAGACTCGCAGATGAGCGCCATTGAATCTACGATCATATCCATCATGGCATGGCGTTTGTTGACCGATGAGGATGGATCGTTGATTACAACTGACTTATGCCAGACACTCACCTGCATCGGCCTCACACGACGAGTTCTACGCTAGTGCTGGCAGCCATGTCAATTCCGGCTTGAAGCTTGAAGACTGTCAGTGTCACTCGACGAGTCGAACGATGAAGCAGTCGTCAAACGTGAATATGATCTCCGAAAAATTGATTGTGTAATCACATCGGGAGCACCTTCATAGCGCCAGTACTGGAGCGCCAGTTGGTCAAGCTGCCATGTCCCACTGCAAAGCAATTCTGATGAGATCTCATACAAAATAGAGGTAAAATGCGCGAAAAGTCACAGATGTTCCTTGATGCCCGTCTCTTGAAAACAACGAGATATATTGTACAGTACTTGAGAAGCGGATGTCGGTAAAATAGTCAAATTCCAAGAAGGGGTCGCAATCACCGATACCACGGCGCCGATTGAGACGGTGACCGTCCAGGTAAGAGTAAGAGTAAGGCATCACTCAAGACTCATATCAGCACGGAAAGCATTGCGGTCCCCCAAACAATCTGAGTCATGCTCCAATTGATGATAGTCTCGATGGGTATAGCAATGGCTGCGCTCGTCGACGATTCGGGCTGAGGACCACTAGGAGACCCACTCTCCGCAACCAATTGCCCCTCAACGTATCCACCGTCCCCAAGTGGCTGGTTCCAGTAGAACCACGGCTCGATGGCAAATGACATATACACCGTCTTCAGGAACGCCACGTACTTTCCTTCTGGATCACCGTAAATGGCCGCAATGGCTCCGATGTTGGGGTACAGTTCAACAGGAACCGAGGGCGCAGGTTGGATAGTCATGGCGTAGTCGAGTGCTTGCTTGATTGTGCCACCTCTCGTGGTTGTCAGATTCCACGCAGAAAACCCTGCGGATTGTGCAATACGAGCATTAGTCTACCCCCGGGAAGGTCAAATGACGATGTGGTTACGAAGAACAGAGCAAGGATGTCATACAATGATAGCTGCCAGGTGAAACGCTCTGTAGTCGGCTGAGTCCTTGCCGCCCACTTCATTGGGCTACGTACGTGTTGGATCAGCCAAAAAGACAGGAAAGTTGACTCGAATCGCACGCGCCTGTTCGCCGCTGCCATCAATCTGATCCATGAACAGTGTGCTGAAGTACGTCTGCGTCGCGTTTTGTGCGCCCGAAACATCTCCAAGAAAGAGTTTAAGTGCTGCCAATTGATTGTAATAGAACGTCCCGTGATGGCTATACACCCACCATATTAACGATCAGCCTGCACCGCACATGACAGAGGCCGGAGGAACGAAATGGAAGGAATAAGAGGACATATTGAAACAAGAACGTACTCTTGTGCACGAGACTCCTGAATCCCTAACGGGTTCATCTGAAGCCATTGAACGTACTGTCCCGTCCAATTTGCCATCTGCATTTGGAGGTCGGCTGTCCACGCATCACTATGTCCGTTTTGAAGAATCAAGATTCCATTGATGACCTTGACAATCCCCTTCATGTCCCTGGAGGTAAACTCCACACCGTCAATCATTGTCTTTGTGATGCAAATTACAAAACAACGAAAGGGAGATACGAACAAAACTCCCGTGTGAATACCAGGACTTCCATTAGGCCCACGTCGCATATGGGAGAAGTTGGCATTCGGATTCATGGCCGTGTCGGAATCGAGGAACCATGTTTGTACGAAGCGCGCCGCGTTGGCTGCGTAAGAGTCCGAGCCATTGAGAATCCACGCCATGGCATTGTACAGCACCGCATTAGACATGGCATCGAAGTCGCCCGAATTATTCACCATGGACACGTCTGGGTTCAAAGCGTCGTCGCGTTGATAATACGGGCAGGTTGACCAGACTGATTATACAAACATGTCAGCTGGACATTTTGCAATCCCAACGGGAGAGGGTGCTTACTTTGCTCGTCCAATAACACCGTCATGTTGCCGACGCCGCTACAGTCGGGCCACCAGCTGTGGACAGGAGCAAAACCATCGGCGTGATGTGCAAAAGGGTGATGGCAATCAAGACGTACTGTGGTTCCCAGCTCAGATAATCACGTTTGTCTCCAGATGGTGGGGTAATCGGCTTGTTCACAACAGCTGAACAATTCCGAACAAGGCATGAAAAGCGCAACCACGAATGGTTAAAGAAGTCGAAAATCATGCGTAAGCCTTCAGCTTACACCACGGGCCTTGGGCCGCGAGCTCACTCGCCCATTTCACGATCGTACGCTGAGCTAAGGTGCGCGTCGAGTTGTGAGGTTGCTGCGTGACGATGCTCGGATCGATGAAGTCGTTCGCGTAGGATGTGAACTTCAAAGAAAGAACTGCTGGGAAGAAGAGGCTCAACTTGACCAAGAGGAACATGAGAGAATCCATGGGCTTTCTCCAAGTGAACAGTGAGGGACAGTATATTATGCAAGGATGCGCCCCTTGTATTTAAGCTCGAAGCTGCGAAAGCACGGCTTTTATACGGCTGAATAATTGGACGCGCAGCACCGTCATATCAATTGACCCAACAATTGCAAGCTGCTGACCTCGAAAAGTGAAGTACTCTCCCATCCTTGGTATTGTGCATAACTAACGTGGTGGAGATCTGATTCGAGTTGCTTTTATGAGACCTAAATATTGAAGTGTCACCAAAGTGGGAATGGTGAAAGGTGCATGATTAGAAGGTGCGGATTTTTCTTTGAAACACAGAGAACCCAGTGAGGACAAATGCACTTGGCACAGTACATAATTAGCAGGTGGCACTCTCAGAATGTACAGCGAAAGAAAAGAGGGGCGACTGAGAATGATTAATCTGTCGACGAGTCAGTACACCTTTATGGAAGATTTGACCTGCTCAGAGGATAGTGCGGGCAAGCGCTCACGTCAACTGTGTCTCCCACATTGCAACTCAATGACAGCACCCCAGGATTCTCCCGCAAGCGATGGAAGGATCCTTCAGGGTGAAGTCGTGACAAGCATATCACCTACTCTTCTTCTTAGAGGAGACAGATGCGCGATGCTCTTCGATACTTTCGGCCTGCACACTGGAAGATTTTGGAGGCGTCTATGCAGAAAAATCCTTGTCAGCATCTGCTCATGCTTCGAAGGACAAATGTTGACCTTTTCTGAAAATTGCTCTTGTTGGCGCGTACTCATCTTGTCTTTCAGTTTGGAAGGTTTCTTACGAGCTCGGTCTGTTCCTTTTCCGCGTTCCTCATCTGCTTGCTGTCGCTGTCGCCTCGCTTGACTGGCTGCAGACTTCAAAGTAGCTTTTGAACCTTGCTCCACTTCGCCAAGGGGGAGGCCACGAGGACGAGGTGCAGAATTGTGACTGACGATGAAACGTCTGTTGAAGACTGCTGATGCAGTGCTGGTGAGACCAGTATTTCACTGGCGCCAGTTGATAAGGTAGATGTCCTTTCTGGTATTGAACCCTGGCAAACCAATGAGCATGGGCGCATGATGATAGGGAAGTGAGGCACCTGCGTGACCTTCGGTAAGAGCTTCTCCCATTTCCCATCTAGAGCTTGAGCCTGACGGTTGACGGAGTTGAGAGCGTCACGCAGGTCTTTAATCAACTTGGTCCAAGGATAGAGAAAGATTGCATTCGTGGGCACGATAACATATGTCCACCCTAGACACTGGCACTGAGTAGATATCCATTCTAGGAGGCAATACACATACCTTGCAAGATCCACTTATCTGCACCGATATCGTTCTCGTCGAAACACATGACCTCTTTCTCAACCTTCTCTCGGGCTGTTTTGGCCTCCGTACGTACTTTCGCACCGCGCGTGGCGATGAGGATAAGGGCCGTCTTGACACGACGCTTGATTTTTATACGCATGAAAACAGACAGCTGGATGATCTTGTTGAACGACACTGTGATGAGCGACATATCTGCCTTCCGCGAAACTTTTGCCCCATGATCCTTCTCTGAGCCGAGGGATTGAAACGTCTTGGGTTTGAATGGGTACTCATATGCCACCTCAGGTTTCAATAACAAAGGTTTTGGGAAGGCACGCAATGTGAAGGTGGGAGTGCGTATCAACGGGAGCAACTTGACACGAGGGCCAATAGGCATCCGCGCAGCAGGGTGGGTAGGGTCTAAGATCTCATGGTCATGTCCTTTGAGAAAGTGGGGAGTAATCAAAGGTGCCGCCGATCCTGGAGTCGTGCGTTTGAACTGCAGCAGGCGAAAGTCCAGTCAGCCTCAGTATGCCGTGTACGAAATATCATCGATAGAACAATCATAGCCACATGTACAGTTGTCATCCTTTGATGCCTCTATTCAAAGACGTCGTCGCACATTCGAGGCATTTCTACAAGTGACCATGACAGTTCCTCGAGAACGCAAGATGATTCAATTTACATTGAGAGACTTGAGACGGGTGGGAGCCTTCGGAAGTCTGCTAAGTTCTCGACATATTGGCATGTGGAGGTGAAGAGGTGAGGTTGACCAAAACCAAAGTGTAATAAGAGACGGTTCCGCTACGGTGCCGCGTAATCATTTGCCCGGTGGTAAGTTTGTCATGGCCGGACTTACGGACCGGCGTACCCGGGCCTGTGGACTGCCTATGGCAAGTTGCCTGCACTTGGGATTTCTTCGACAATTCGATTTTTCGCATACATAGCAGGTTGCGATGTCATGAAAATTCATAGAATAGCTGAACAGTTGATATGACTGATATTTTTCGGCATCCGTAGACACGGACAGTGATTTTCGATCAAGGAAGTAAATGACCGTTGACTTGTATGCGTAGTACTAGTGAGCCTAGAGGGGCCTGCTATACACCCTGCTTGACTTCCATTTCAGCGTCGGGAGCGGTCGAACAGATCATTGACCTATCACCGGGATATTGGACGAAGAATATAAATTATGACAACGCAGTCAAATTGTGCCATGAATGGATCGTAGCCCTGCTCGATACAAGTGAGGAAGCTATCAAGAAAAAGTAATACAATATGGTGTTCGGAGACCGTACACGAAGTTAGATATCAGGGTCCGTGGAGAATTAGGGCAAGATGTAAGAATAATCGAATGCAACGAGGACGAGGAAGAACGAATGCGAATAAAACATACGACGAACCCATGCAGCTGATAATATAGCGGAAAATTTAGGTTTTTTCTAGTTCGAAAGTCGTACCGTGCGTCGTCAATGATGTGATGTGATGGCCATGTTCATCGCGGCCAAGAGAATCTCCCATGCAAAATCCAATCCATCCCACATCTCAAAGTCGAGCACCCCCAGCAGCGAGGCATTCTGCCAAACGCCGATGATGGTGCGTGCTACGCCCATCAACGCGCTCATTTTGTCGCCCACTGGCGCAGTGGCGAGGTAGGTAGCGAGCTGGTGGGCGGACATGTTCTCTAGAGTACTCTGAGACGAGCTGCTCGCGCGTGCAGAGGATACCATCGAGGAAGGTAGTGGGAGCAGCGAGCATAAAAAAATGTCCATTCGGCGCGAGACCAGAAATGTGTGGAGTGGTACGAATGCCTCGGCGACAGGAACAGAAAGTCTAATCACAGGTATAGTTGCGGTGCCGTTCGCGCGTACCTGCAGTCGCGAGGGCGGCAGACGCGGAAGCTTTGCGCAGTGCGCTGCAAGCACGAGGCCATGGGTAGGAATAATGAAGGCTTTGCTTGCATCATCTAGGGGCCTAGAGGGTGACACGCTCGTATAGACGGCAAGAACGTGTGTCGGAGGGGAAGAGGTCGTGATAGGGAGATCAACAGACGATGGGATGCGCGATTTTGATACAGAGTGGGGAAGGGGGAGACGCGAGATGGACGCGTACATCCTATAACAATAGATGTTCATATTTGATCAATATCCAAGAGACAAAGCAGTACTCACTCGGCTCCTCGAGCATGCAATCCCCTGCGGATGTACTCGAATGGAATTTGCGCAAGCGCAGGATCAATGGCTGAGATATTCTCCCTGCTAGCCTCAGAAGGCGCAGGGCGAGTGAGAGTACGGGGTAAATTGAGTCCGGGTAGAGATTGAGGCTGCTGCATCTGCATGTCGAACGAACAAGGAGCAGGGCGAGTGGCGACTTGGAACATTTTGTATGTTGGATTCGGAAGAAAAGGAGTACAAAGACAGTGGATATGCTTCCTGAGCAAATGATAGTCAAGTATAATGAACGCTTATATAGATCGAACGAGCGAAAGCCAGCATTAAAGGGATACACGAAGGATAACTCGCATTTGGGAGATAGCTTGTGAGCGTTTCAGGAAACCGCATCTCGTGATTGGCCAAATATGGTAATCATTGTCCTCTGCTTCCGTGCTTCGCCACCAACTCCTCTCGTGGTACCAAATCTTCGTCGAAAGGTTTCCTTTGTCTCCATCACAACCATGTGCTAGCTCTGGACTTGATAATTTTACAAGCACTTCCTTTCTCAGCGGTACCGAATGGATACTCTTTGTACTTTCACCCGCTAATAAAGACTCAGACCCTCACAGTCATCTCTGAAGAACAGGAAACAACGATATATTCTGATGCAGCGCGGCGCACAGTAGTTCGAACTTATACAGAAACGGCACCCACGATTCTATTCTGTAGTATATGGCCATGTATCCGATGGTGCGGATCCTCCTGCATCCCCTTTGGCCCAACCTTTGTTTTACAGGGGCAAAAGAAAAGATCAACGATCATTGGGCGCCGTCGGATTGGGTGCCTGCTCGAGATCTGCCACTGAGCTTCTAGCTTTGCTCAATCAGATTTCTGCTTTCGAGTCCGTCATGTTCCTCTGTGCTTGCCACTTCATGGATTGCTGGGCCTCGTGGTCGTTCCGACATCTTACATGCCGATGCTCTTCCTCTTCTCGGTTTCCTAGCGCAGCGTTCTCCTTTGTGCTTCTCGCTCGTCATCTCCTTCTCAACTCAAACTCCTTCACAATCACGATTCTCCTCATCAGCGCTTCAGCCTCAGGACCACTCAATAGCACAGAAGATCTGATGTTATTTCTGACAATCTCATGTTAATGAGCCGAGCAGGAGGTGCAGAAAGATGGTATCATAAGTCGACGACGGCCTTGCAAAGCACACTCATACAAGACCCAATACGATCTTCATTCTTCGCCTCTCGCTGCAATATTCATGTTCAGGACGATGTAGTGGCCTTGAGACCGAGGCCTGACCATCGCGTGCCGATATTTTTGTAACCTCACATGACCTTCAAGCAATTTCATAAGGATATAGTAATCCACCAATTCTCCGGCCTCACGCTTTGCCATCTTTCCCTCGACAACGACGTGACAAATATCAGCATGGGGTTTCTCTTCTCCAAGCTGGATTATGACCCAGATCGTGACATACCGGATCTGCATGGAAAGGTCGCCGTCGTGACTGGTGCAAAGTGCGTCCTTGTTCATTTCAAACGACGTTTTGAGCGTGCTCTCAAGGTATGCCTATAGCTCTGGAATCGGTTATCAGACGACTGCACAGCTTGCTTTGCACGGAGCGAAGGTGTATCTAGCCTGTAGAACAGAGTCGAAGGCTCTTGCCGCCATTGCTCGTATTGAAAAGGAGAATCCAATCTTGAAGGGTACCGAGAATCTGATTTGGACTCCCCTTGACTTGTCGTCTATCTCGTCCGCGAAGGCTGCAGCTGAGGAAATCTTAGCGAAAGAACAGCGGCTTGATCTTTTAGGTACGCGAACCGCAACGCGCTACGGCTTGTGAAGATTTGCTAAACGTATAGTCGTCCAAAACTCAGTGAACAACGCGGGATTTTTACCTGCAGAATATAGTGTCACAGAAGACGGGATGGAGAGAACGGTTAGCGTCAAGTGAATCGGACTCTTCTGCTCAGCCATACCGCCCTCTACTTACACCTGGATTCTCTCTAGTCATGTAGGACATTTTGTCTTCACAACGACTCTCCTTCCATTATTGAAGGCTACAGCCAATACTCCGGGGGCTGATGTCCGTGTCGTCATTGTGAGTCTTACCATGAATTGCTCTATAGCCCACCTCATTTTTTTAGATTTCCTCTGTCAGCTATAAATCAGCCGGGGAAGTCAACTTTGATACCCTTGAATGCTTCAACGACAAGCGCAGCATAGGTGGTACTTGGTTTGCAAGATTTGCACAGTATGGTCAGTGAAATCAGATTACATATTGTCGATTAATGTTACAATTCTGAACAACAGGGAGGTCCAAATTGATGAATATCTTATTTGCTATGGAGCTGCAACGAAGATTTGACAATGAAGGCGTGCCGATCATTGTCAGCTCTCTTCATCCCGGAGGCGTCGATACAGGTTGGTCTATTGTTGTGTCCTTTGTTTCCTTCTCACGCAGCTGCTTCCTATCGTATCCAGAAGGTGCCGAAGCCAATGCCCCCTACGTCATCAAGATCCTTATCAGGTTGTTGGCTATGTCTCCTCTCGAGGGAGCCTATACTAGTCTCTTTGCTGCGACTAGCGCAGAAGTGGTGGCGCAGCCGCATAAATACAAAGGGAAGTACTTAGAAAGATGTCAGGTCGTGACACCTACGACCAAGGATGCATCAGACCCGGTTCTCGCTAGAAAGCTCTGGGAAGCGACGGAGAAAGTCGTAGCGGAGACCTTCGCCAGGCACGAGTAGAGGTATCTATGGCTATTAGAATGATAGGCGTATTGCCGTCCCGAGTCCTTTTCAATGATTCACTGTATTGGTATATAATCACAACATGCATTAGCATTATTGCTCTGCAAATCAAACATACAAAGGGTATGGCATTAGGCAACGTCAGCAACAACCTCGTTCTCCAGAATTGTGGCGTTCAAGGGGGGCGATGCATGATAAGACGACAGGACGAAAAGGCGAACAGCACAAGTGTATCGTATGAGGGAAAGTCATAGAGAAACGGAGGAAACGACTGAAGAGACAACATACATAACGACTCAAATTCGTCCACACGATAAATGAAGTACAAACATGTAGTTCGTTCAAGAACCAGCGAGTTGAAAATTCATGAATTCATAACAACGTTTCTCCTCCAGGAACTCGAGAAGATCAGGATCAGGCTTTGTCCCCGTCGAAAAATGCGACGAGCTCTCCAACAGGCACCTTCCGTTTCCCAACAACCGCCTTCGGTGTTGGTGGGGCTGCACTAGCTTGCGCCCGTTTCTCCTGTTTTCTCACCAGCAGGGGATCGACAAACTTTCCTGTCAATGGTGTTTGGGGAGTCGCAGCCCCATCTGAGATCCCTAGACCTAAGCCAAATCGATCAATTGACTTGGATCGTATACGTGGTCGGAGAGGTGGGACTGGGGAAGACGACGCTATGGGTCCGTAAGTTGAACGCGCACGGATGCGGGAAGAGCGTGGGGAGGGAGTGGGCGAAGTATCGTAGCCGTTTCCATTTCCATTTCCGTTGTGGTTGTGATTGTTGACAGCAAGGCGAGACGCAGACTTGCCAATTGTGTCATCGTAAGAATCGTCTCGCTCGTCGTCAGGGAGATCGTCGTGCATTGGACCTGGGGAGGATGAGAAAAGGTTCCCGCTCAGTTCAGTACGAGAGGCATTTGGATTCATGATAGGTCCTCCAAGGGCTACAGTGTATCGCTTTCTAGGCGTAGGACTAACGCTGGAACCCCGGACATATGAACCTTGTTGAGTGAGATGGTTGGAAGGGCTCTCAGAGCCCGCGGGCGGTGATGTTGGCATAGGAAGCCCAGAATTGGAGGATTGTGGGTTGCCGGTAATGGACCCAGAGTTCAGCGAAGGCAGACCGGAGACGGAGAGTGGCCGACTGTGCGTAGCGGAAGTAATCGAAGAGGGTGGAGAGTTAGTCGGTGAGAACATGCCCTGGGCGAGTAGTACCGTATCGGGAGGCGTTGCATAGTCACCTGTTGGATACGGCAATCGACTCCGAGGGGTGTGAGATGAGCTTGTGGATATATTGGATGGAACAAAAGGCGGACTCATAGAATCACGCCGCTGCGGCCCCGAGACCACTCGAGGAGTTGGAGCGGCGGCCGCAACTGGCGGTAGAGAGTGGACAGCAATGACAGACGATGTCTGCGGAGCGGTTGATATGGGAGCTGGAGTGCGCGAAGGGCCAGACGATAAGTTCGTGGGCGCAGTGGCCATTTTGGCCATCTCCCGACCCAACTCGCCAATTCGGCCTTGCAGCTCGACAATCTCCTCCTGTATCTCGCTGATGGCTTGATTTGCACCCTCAGACAGATCTTGTCTCTGTCCTTGCTCTTCTTTTTCCTTTTCCTTATCTACCAGCCAGCGTTCCACGTCGCTCATTCTTTCCTCCAAAGCACGTACATGGCCGACGGTCCACTTTTCTAGTTTTTCGAATCGCTTGGCAACGAGCAAAAGTGTACCGGCAATATCCAAGGTGCCCTGTGCATTGAACTGGGCGTAAAGAGGTGGCGCTTCACGAGATGGGGAAGCGTGGCCGTCATTGGAACGAAGCGGAGAGGGCGCCAGACTAGGAGGAAGACTCAAAGCCCGTTGAGACCCTGGTGTCGGAGAGGCAGGTGAACCAGGACTTGGTCGACGAGGAGGCTCCAGCGGGATGGAGAGGTTAAGGTTAAGCAATGAGGGGTCTGAAAAGTTAATATCACTCGAAGGTTGCCAATCTTCCAACGATCTTTCCTTTCCTTTATCCTTCTGCTTTCCACCCTTCTTTTCCTTCTTCTCTCGCTCCTTGGTGTCCAGAACGATCTGCTGTGCCGGAGTCAGAGGCTCCTTGGTTGGCGTTAGTCTATTCTTTGCAGCAATCCACCAGCTAGGCGCACTGTCCTTCTGAGATCCAGCTGGGGAAGAAGACTCGGGCATAGTATGCGCACGCTGAGGTGTAACCGGCCGAGAGGATGCAAGCATCGCCATGACTCTCTCTTCCATCCTCCTCTCTTCTGCCTCTTGCGTCAAGATCCTCTCTGCCTGCCTTCGACTTCGATCGCGCTCCCGTTCCGCCTCGGCCTCAATTTCGGCGTCGGTCGGCATGCCATTTGGCGGACGGGCGTTGATATTATTGACGAAGGAACCAACGCGCTGAGCGAACGTGGAGGCAAGTTTTGTGACGGACGAATTAGGTGAATGCGTCCGCCCCCAAGTTTTCACGTGGTCGTCACTCCCATCGTCAGAGCCATCCTCACTCACGCTATCAACGCTGGATCCCACCGTGAACCCATTTCGCAGAGGAGATGGAGGGCGAAATCCTTGGGTATTTCCATAAACAGGCTCCGGCTGTGTCAGAGATGAGAGATGTGTATCCTAAATTGCGAGAAGTCATACACGTACAAGGTTTAAAGACGATGGAGGAGGGGGTATAGATGGCGAAGTCATCCGTCTCTGTTGTTTGACTGTTGGAGTTGCGAGAGGGAGTGCCAAGTTAGTTGAAGAATGAGAAATCGACGAAGAGGACTTGTGGGAGTTAAGCGAAGCCATTAGGATGGAGCGGTCGACCTCGTCGCTGTGTGCGACGAGGCTGGTTGGTGTCGGACGCCGTATGAGTTGAAGTTTGAGCTTGCCCTTACGGCAAACACGGCCGCCACCAAGCTACAGATTCCGGAAGTTGCCTCAGCTTTCAAAGCAGTTGCCACCTCTGACCACAACCACGACGAGCACGATGGACAGCGCGTCGTTGAGACTGGAGCCGGCCTTCGCTTACTTGTCTTATTCTCTCTCTCGCCTCGAAACCACGTTCTACAGGTTTCCGGGTTCTCACGTCGTCGCTCGCTATGTCAAGTCCTCGCACCAGAACGACCCTGGTCGCACGGTACTCGAAATCATCCTCATCATCTTCGCTATCAGGACTCTCTTGCAAGCTCGTACCCGATCAGACAGCGGCGGAAAGCATTTCATACAATTCACGGAGAAGGTATGTTTGTTGCTGAACTGTCTTCCGACATTTGCCGACCACAGTATAGGAAATAGACGAGCTTATCGACGAATGGACCCCCGAGCCCCTAGGACAACCCCTTTCTCCGGAGGAAGAGGCTGATCTAGCTTCAGTTCCAATTGTCTCTGGCCCGAATGGCTCGAAGCCCAAGCTGGTCAGCACTGGCAAGCAGGTGCTCAACCTTGCCAGTTTCAACTTCACCGGACTTGCTGGCAACGAGACCATCAAACAACGTGCTATCGAGACTCTTCGCAAGTACGGCGTAGGCAGCTGCGGACCTCCTGGATTCTACGGCACTGCTGGTAAGCCTGAACCCCTGAAGCTCCTAAACATAGCATTTACGATGTCTCGCAAGATGTACACCTGGACCTTGAGCACGAGATTGCTGATTTCTTGGGTGCCGAATCTTCTATACTGTACTCTCAAGGCTTCTCCACGATATCCTCTGTCATCTCTGCGTTCGCCAAGCGCGGCGATGTCGTCGTTGCCGATCGCGGTGTCAACTTCGCTATCCAGAAAGGTCTACAGATCTCGCGCTCTACCATCCGCTGGTTCGACCACAACGATCTGAAAAGCCTGGAAGACGTTCTGGAGAGCGTTGACAAGGAACGAAGGAAGCGAAGGTCGCCCCTAACTAGGCGGTTCATCGTCACAGAAGGCATTTTCGAGAAAGATGGGGCCATGGTCGATCTACCTAAGCTTGTAAGCCTTGTGAGCTTCCTGTACTAAATGCACAAGCTCATGTCTTTCTAGGTTGAGCTCAAGTACAAGTACAAGTACCGCTTGATCCTAGATGAGAGCATCTCCTTTGGCACCGTCGGAAGAACTGGACGCGGACTAACAGAACTTTACAACGTTCCAGTACGTTTGTAATATTTTAGAATGGTCAATTCATTAATTATCTTCTAGGCAACTCAAGTGGATATGATCGTCGGTTCTGTCGCGAACACCTTGAACGCCGGCGGCGGTTTCTGTGCGGGATCCAAGAATATTATTGACCACCAAGTAAGCTAAAACTCTATCTTGTTAACACTATCTAACATCATTTCATGCGCAGCGTATCAACGGCACTTCATTTGTCTTCTCCGCTGCTTCTCCTCCCCTGCTTGCTGTCAGCGCATCAGAAGGTATCAACATCTTGCGCAATACTCCCTCTATTTTGAGTACACTCCAAGAGAACATTCGCGTGATACGCTCCATCCTTGACCGTGTCGAATACATCACGATCCCTTCACACCCTGCAAGCCCCATCATTCACATACAAGTCCGGCCTGGCTCTTCGTCGACCCTGCAGCTCCCTTCCCCATCGGCTAGCAAACCGTCTAATCCCGTTTCAGTTCAACCACGCGAGCCCGCAGTGTTTGACATCGAGTTGGAGGAGCGTTTGCTGCAAGATATCGTTGACGAGGCCCTTGTTCAAGGTGTCTGGACGACGAGGGCGAAGCGATTGAGGGGTCAAGAGCTCGTTGAAGTTCGGCCAAGTGTGCGCCTGGCCGTTTCGTCTGCGTTCACGAAGAAGGAATGCGAGAAAGCCGCCAATGTGATCAAGGCTGCAGTTGTCAAAGTACTTGCAAAGCGTCGGTAGAGCGTTTCCATGATGTTTCAGGATTATGCTACCATATAGATATACCTATAATACCGAGCTGATGCTTCGCCATAAGTCGGCAGTTACTGAAAAGCAAGGATTCATACTGCCACAAAGAGATGCGGAATGGAAAACTACATTGCAGATACTGGTCCTGACTCAAGCGATTCGCTACCAAGGATGCACAGCAATTCGATGTGACATGCAAGACCGATGACTTATTAGACTGAGATCTATAGCCTCTGAACACCAATAATTGTCTATTACGCCGTTGATAGTGCGCTGCCATGCTCTCAGCCTCTTCATTCTCTGCCTCGAGGTCGGGAGCATGCTCTTGGCGAAGGACCTCTTTGTCCTTTGCATGTGGCTTCCTCACCCGGAGGCCGCATCTGTTCATGCGGTGAACGTCGAATTTTGTCGAGTCGTCAACGAACATCGACGGAAGTGCCCTTTTGGCGTTGACCCACACGCGCTGGGAGCCAAGTCATGTATATCAGTATGCAACGAGGGTCGAGGGACCGAGGAAGACACACAGGAATTTGCAACTTGAACTCGACGTCGAACCGAGCGTTGACCTCCAAGGAGACGTTGGTGGAGATGATCGTAAAGTCAAAGAAAGCTTCGGGAATGTTGAGGTGAAGCATATCGATTTCAACGAATATAGATCGAAGACCCGAGTAGATCAAGAAAGGTGAGAGAACCATAGTTAGATCACTCAAAGGATAGTAGATGCGCAAGTCGCGCGCTTTGAAAGCCTATGAGTCAAAGTCGTCAGTGCTTCTTCGTGATACGTTAGGATGCCACAATACCTCTACAAACCGCCTCATATTCGAATTATAGCTTGCGACCTCCAGCAAGTCCAGTTCCCAAGGTCGCAAATTTTCAGGGAAAGCGAGATGAGACTTAAGCAACAAATGAGATGGCTTCAAGGCCATAGCCCACTCCCACAAAGCCTGAGGAAGAACGACTGCACCACTCTCACGACTGCATCCCTCGAACGCGATAGAGACAAGGCCGTGCAGACTGCTCAATGACTCCAAGAGCGACGGAATGATTTCCGGAGGAACCGGTGGTGGGTGTGTTTCGTCCACATAATTATAATGACAGACGTCCGTGATATGAATATGGCGCACGAATTGGGATTTGGTGCGAAGGTGAGCCAGTTGGCTCTTGATACGATCGATGTTCCACCTATGGGAGCCCCAGCCAAAAAAGGGATCCCTCAGTTTAATACTGCGAAGAGGAAGTTTATAGGTGGCAAAGGCGATGAACCCACAGACACCGACAGACGCGGGAGAGGTCAGATATGAAATGCCGGCTACCGTAATGTTTCATGAGCGCAAGTTTGAAGATCTTGAGCAAGAGCCCAGTAGGGAGTTCGATAGCTTTAGCCGTGCGAGTAGACAGAGCGAGAGGAATAATAGGATGGCTGAGGATGGGTTATGTAGCAGAATAACCTCTCCCAGCCTCTTGCAGGAATAAATACGGATTCGGAGGCAGTCACGATCGATCGGTAATCAGATGAGGTCCCTGAAATGGTGGTAGAGGGAAAGGCTATTGTCGTCAATTCCTGGACTCTTTTGAAAAGCCGGTCGTCGCACCTGCCTCTTGTCCAACTGTGCACGCCGCCAACTTGTAGCCAGTTATGGGCATGAGCTGTGGTAGACCTGGGTTGAAGAGTGATGGTGGAGGATAGTGAGCTTAAGATGTGGCATTCTAGTGCATTCACTTGGCAGAAAATGGCCAGATCAGAATTTGAGACGTCAACAAGCGGAAGTTAAGTCGGTGCACCTCCACCGTCGCAACGACTAGGAATGACATTAGTGAGATTGATTCAGATACCTAAACTTGCAAAACACCAGTTTAACATTTGTCAGAAAACACACGCCACCGATTATGTACAGACGAAGGTCATGAACATCGGCTAGCGGGACAGAAGATCAGATGATGTAAAATACCTCGATGCACCCATCATGATTTGGGTGAATTATCTGAAATGTTGGCAATTTCGAAACCCATAGCGGTGTACCATGGCATTCGACTCATGTGCCTCCGCCTGCTCAGGCCTATGTTCCTGGCATAAGCGCCCGGCATATGCTGAGTCGCGCTTCCGTCTATACAGACAACGTCCGCCCTCGCGACGAACACCGACGGAAGTCTACGCTTGGCTGTGACCCACGTCGACTGTGCTTTCACATTGTGAATGAGTGATCAACGGGAGATCGCCAGAAGAAAACGCACAGGGATGGAGAACTGGCATGCAATGTGAAACGTACTTGATGGCGGCATGGGAAGGGCCAAAACCTCTTGAAATCGAAACACAAACACACTCACCTTAACAATACGCTACATGCTATCGTAGGCTTCAACACGCAACAAATGTACTACCCAAGGCCACAGATCATTCAAGAATATGAACACACCATAGAATAATAATCCAGAGGAAGGCTGTGATCCATTCACACAGAGCTTCGAGGGGAACAACACCGCCGCCATAATAAGGGCCTTGGAATATGATAGGTCCAAGATGAGGGAAGAGGCTGGACGTATCCAAGAGCAGTGGAACTCTTTCCTTTGGGAAAACTGGGGGTTTCGACAAACTTGAAAACTTGTGTCGACAACGCAAAGACGGGGTACGTATAGCCGGATTTATTCCGCAGGTGAGTAAGACGGGCCTTATCACGATTGACATACTATCGTTCATCGTCTTTACCAAACAGTTATTGTTTCCTGTATTCATGGATCAGAAGATGTGATGGGCAGCTGGCGACCGCAGATGCCATGAAATAGACGAGAGAAGTTGCGTATTGGATACTTGTCAGGTGGGTGATTCTCGCCTCTTGGCAAGTTTGCAGATGTTAAAGATAGTGTCAGTCGGGAGTATTGCACGATTTGCCATAGTAAACAAAGCTGTCGAGAGTTCTAGCTTAAACTTTGGCGGATGGTAGGGGAGAACTTGAGTAGAGCAAGGCCAAGACGCAGGCGCCAGGGCTTCAAACGTTTTGCTTAGAACCTACCTAAATTAAGTTATTCCTATCTAATTTAATCCTAATACGGATCTGTGCGATCACCTGATCGCATTCATGTGTGCAACAGTCGCCTAGTTTCTACCGTCGACAGCCTCTACTTCATCCGTTTTCTCGCCAGCTCATCACTCACACACCTCCCCAATACTACCTGTAATCCACCATGACCACAAGATTTGACCCCAATAACGCCCAAAACCTTGTTGAGGTGCGTAACGAGTCGCGGCAAAGCCTCACGGAAACGCCGAGGAACTGAAGTTCGTGTAGATTGAGAAGCAGTGAGTAGGCTATTACATTGGGTGCCAATGCGTCTTCAATTTTCATTTTCCCACTCGGCGGGTAAAAGATTCGCGGTGAAAGCCGTCGAACATGCCCAAGTAAGCCCCACACATCTAGCCCACTCCGAACTCCTCAGCGCTGATCGCGCCTCCATATCGTAGACTTACTGGAATCTCCTGGAGAAGATTCATCCGAGCCAATTGAAGCTTACCAGGTGCCTATCAGCAGTATACATCTGCCGTTGACCACGGCGTTCATCGATAGTCCCTAGGCTTGACGATGAGATCTTCGAACATATGATGAAGACTTTCCCGGAAATTTCCCAAGAGCACCAGAAGCTGACAGTTCTCGACGAAGACTGGATGAAAAGCAAGGACGGTAAAGAGCGGTGGCGGCAATTCATGGCAGCGTGAGTCTTACCTAGCCCATGCTATAGGAATTTGTCCTCACATTCGTGTCCAGATACGAGAAAAAGGTTCAAGATTACAATTTTGGATCTCTCATCCGAACAAATGCCACGAAAGAATATAGCGAGACGAACACAATTTTCGGTGAGTGGTGCTGATTTTGAGAGGTCACAATCTGAGCTCATTCTCTTCATCCTGACTAGTGACGCGAATACAGGTAAGTAATTGCACATTTAGTGACGACCTAACTAATTATACAACGCACCGTGCCAGTTCTATGCTATCGAGGTGAGCTCCGAGATATTCTTGGTGTAAACTACGACTCATTTACACCTCGCACCGCTTCACCTCGCGGACCTGCATGACAGATCTCGCGCAACCGACTCGGTCTCAACGATAAGGCGCACGAAATTGCAAAGGAAGAGGCAAGGAAGCAGCAGGAAAAGATCGACAAGGCCAAGAAGAAGGGTGGGAAATGATGGTCCACCCGCCCGTGTAGGATAAGGGCTGGCCTTCCCGCCATCAAGCATGAAAGAAATGGAAGAATAAAATTACATCAATGTGTTGTGAGCATGACTGCATGGTTGACTATGTTGAAGTAAGATAAGAGTGGGCAGAGTAGAGACTGGTGGTTTGTGTTCGTCTAGAGCACCGGAAATGCCAGGCAGGCAGGCAGGCAGGCTGCGGAGGTGTGTTTGCCAAGGCTGTGCTAATGTCGTGCGCACGAACGTTGAAGGAATGTGAATATCAATCCCGCAGTCTGCTGAATTCTGCCCGTGAACCCCGGATCGTCGGGCAGCAATTGTAATATCAACATGGCCATTTGTAGCTCGCGTGCGCCTTCTGACCTCGCAAGAAGTCGCATTTCAAAACCTAGCATCTAGGAGGGCAGAAAAAGCGATACTTCGCTATCGATGAGGTGGTGCCGGTGAACAACAAAGGCGCTCTAGGGTGGCGAAGGTCTTCGATAGGTGGGGGAAAGGGAAATGAGACGACGTGCACTTGAGTCCGTATTTCGAGGACCATCATTATGGCTAGATTCCTGGGCGCAACGCCTACCGCCTGGAATATTCTTCTGATGAAATATAATATACAATATCAGTGCGATTAGTATACGGTTCAGAGAAAATCCGCTGGGATCAACTGGGTGACAGGGTCATTCACACATCGTGCGAGCGATCCGTATTAGGCGAGTTTGACGGAGGAGATCTGTCTCGGAGAACTGCGCGCGCGCATATGCACAGCATAACAAAGTTGGGACAGCGCAATAGAAATGGCAAGCGAGGCCGTACTTATAGATGAAGGGTCCCGGCGTTCATTTCGCGAGTTGGTCAATAAGAAGGTGACCGCCTGGACCGCGCGTACGTACGCTTGCACCGAGTGCCGTATTTCAGCATACCGCGGACTGAAAAGGACCGGGGATGGTGTAAATGCCGCCGGCGGAACCACCATGCCATATATGAGCAGAGGGCAATAAGAATCAAGGTACCCGTCTTGCAATGTGGGCTAGACAGGGCGGCAACTTTGAAATCTCATGAAGCCAACTCGAGACCTTATAGAGTCGCCTACATGACACCGTGCCAGTTAGACTCGGTAGTTCTGGGCAGGGTTCATATCCGCGATATCAAAAATAGTAATCGCGTGGGCTGCGTCTGCTCACCTCTACTTACGAAGCGCAACAGCGGCCCTTCTAGAATGCAACGAAATACGCCGAGGAGCACAGGGCATCGCAAGATCTACCATGATTAGAGCCAGTAAACTGAATGGATGAGAAAGTTGCTGAATATGCCCAAAAACGTAGGACTCGAGCCAAACAGTCAGTGTCCTGAGAGACACAGACTGTGTCCAATCGTGTCGCTGTAAGAAGACCTTGGAAACGTGGATTTGCGTCCAGGCAAAAAAGCCGGAGCAATTGTCAAGACCAAGGGCGTCAAGCGAAAGGGTGAAAGGAGAAACACGACTTGTCACAGATGTGACAGCTCGCGTTTTGGCCTGTCGCGTTCAGCAGCTCCCTTCAACATCGCGTTTCCGTCTCACAAATCTTTGTACGCTGCCCCGGTTTCTCTGTATTTCTTTCTACGAGAGAGAAGAACCAGACAAATATACTCAAACTCAGACCCTATGGACGCGGATGATGCCATCTCCATTTCATCGACTGACTCAGTGGACCCGGACGACTACTCGCAGCGACGGGCAATCCTCGAACCCGCGATCCGCAATGTCGTAGAATCCCTTGGTGGCTTTGAAGGAGGGTCGTACCGAATGGGAGACGAAGCGTATGGGTGCCTGAAGGATCTGAAGAAGTACTGGCGAAAGGACGACACGGATGACGAGCGCACCGTCGCGCGGATATTCTGGGCGACTCAAGTCCTCTCCAACGACCTCATTCCAATTTTATTGGAGACAGCTGGAAAGGGCTACGCTGAAGACAAGCGAGCCATTGCTTGCGTTGATCTCATGACTGCGATGACATGGCCAATCGACCTTGCGGAGGAGCTGAAGGAGCTGGACGACGAGCTGGATCGCGGGACGGACTACACTGAGCTCCTCCACAGCCATCTCAACTACAAATCTGCACTCCTCGCCCCTGGCGTCCTGAAATCCATATTTAACATCATGCTCCCATGCCTGTCGAAGGACAAGCGAGAACGAAAGGAGCGGGACGTCCAGATCATCAATGTCGTGCTCCACCTCGTGCGGAATCTAGCATTCATCAAGGACTTGCCGGTCAACATCCATCTCAGCTCAGACCAGGCGGACTTCTCGAGCTTACAAGGCAAACTCATCAAGACCCTATCGGAAACGCATTATCTCGACCTGCTGCTGACCGTCGCTTCCAATGCGGACACAGATGTCATGTTCAATGGCTGGAACACTCTGGTCCTGGAAATTTTTTACCTGCTGTTCCGAGGCGTCAAACCTACCACCCTGATCATAGAGCAGACCACGGTGAGCGATTCCTTCTTCGTTCCGAGAACATTTCCACCTCTGACACGTCCGCTTCGCACGCTCAGCAAGTCACCAAAAATTTACACAGTCTTCTCTCCATTGAAGACAAACGCCGTCGCGACTTTGCGCGCCACGCGCCTTCTCGACACTCTCGTTTTGGGACCACCATCTCCGTCAAATTAAATCCTAAGAAAAGCACAGCCCCCCCTAAACCCACAAACGAAGCCGAAGCAGGCGAGCCAGCTCCGCCCGCGGCAGCCTCGTCGTCTTCGTCTTCGCAGCCACTTGTTCTCCATCGGCAGCAGGCCTTGAATAAGGAAGCAGGGACTATCATCGACCTTGTGAAGCGCCAGAAGACACAGAAGGGAAAAAAGATAGACGATCTGGGACGAGACGACAATCTGTCTACGGGAGCTAAGACGGTCCTACAGGGCCTCGCAAGAACGTTTATCGAGTCTTGTTTTAATCGTGCGTCTCTGCTCACATGATCTCCGAATTTGGATTGCCTTGTGTGGCTTATCTTTCTCCGTGATCTAGCGTTTCTCGCATCGCTTCTCAAGGACATCAAGTCCGAGAGACCAAAGATCACAGACAAGGACAACCTTCGCCTGCTCTACGTTACGAAATGGTTCCTCGAGTTCTTCCTCGCGGCTAGAGCGAACGATAAGGGGAACGACAAGCGGTGGGAGTTTGGGCTTGTCGGAGAAGTCATTGAACGAGGTTGGATAGTGTGGGTCCTCAAGCGGATGCGCGGCGCGGTCGAAGAGAAGGTGCGCCACCGCCTTCTTCGGTCTAGGCTCCATTTCGATCGACTCGTCTCTTCTATCTATGACGTTTTCCTTTCGTTCAGAGTTCGTCTGAAATGGACTCGCTGGGCACATACTAACGGTGCCTTCTCTCGCTTGTTAGCCGAAACTTTGGACCGAGCTGCAGGCAGGCATGGAGTGCCTGACGCACTTGCTCGTGCTGATCGAGTCCATGTCTTCATCATCCGAGTCGGCTTCGGCTTCGGGAAGCGTGTCCTCGTTGCAGGAGGCCGCAGAGCTGCTGCAACAGCAGCTAATCTACAACGGCGAGGCTATCGACGCCGCGCTGGACGGACTGAGGACGTACGCGGAGGGCAGGCAGACGATTTCATTTCTGCATGCCGGCGTGAATCTCGCTTACCGGCTCATGAAGATGCTAGAGCAGTGGGGGAAGAAGAAAGGCGGAGGAGCATACGTGAGGAAGAGGGCGAAGCCCAAGCAGAAGCGGAAGACGACGGGTCTGTCGATCGCGTAGCTGGCTGCCGGCTCTCACTGGCGCTGATCGAGCTTTTGACTTTCAGGTCGAGGAACAAGAGACGAGGAAGGCGTTCCCGACGTGGAAGAAGAAGAAGAGGCGCCAGCCGAGGAAGAGGAGTTCATCCACGAAACGATGTTCACATTTGAGGCTTTTGAGATGGTTCGCACCTCCCGATCGATGACCTCGAGTGCCGACACACTGACGCGCTTCGTAGAAATTCGCGAATCCTGACATCACGACGTCGCTGCTGACGTATCTGGGTCGGTACGATGAATTCGAGTCCTCAGAAAACATGAGGCGGGTCGTCAGCTTAATCCATCGGCAGGTCGTCCGTGCCAAAGCCGAGGGTCTCTATTTCCAAGTGAGTCGTGGGTGTCGTGGAGTCTGGTCCGCGCCATGCTCAGCTGGATACGGCGCAGGTATCCACGCTAGAGCTATTCAAGTCCATCCTGGCGAACCAGAAATCCCTGCCGAAAGAACAACCGTACAAAGACCTCGTCACCTTGATCAACTACATCCTCCGCCAGTTCTTCAAGGCCGTCGAGGAGGACCCGTTCGTGCTGGTAGAGGTGACGAGCAAACCGTTTGCCCAAGCCGCCGCGACCTGATTGCTCGTTGCTCGTAGGCCTTCTTCCCGAAGAACCGGGGGCGATGGAAGAGATTGTCCAGCTGGGAACCGGAGCCCAAGTCGAAGAAGACTCGCGCATCCGCAGAGGACGCGCGTTTCCCGCCTGACGTGCAGGTGAAGAAGGGCTATACTTGGAGCGAGCAGCTGGCCATCGCCATGGCGGCGCTGCAGGAAAATGGGGACGGCGGGCTCATCGAATGGGTCAAAGACGTACGTCCGATGACGCAACCCACGCGAAAGTGCGACCGTCCTGACTCGTCCCCGCTGACACGCTCAGATACTCTCCATGGTCATCGCGCACCGCCAACGAATCATCGAAGACACCGACGGCGCAGAACCGGACCAGAACGCTGTCGCGGCGGACATGGACGACGAGGGGCTCAAGGCCAAGCTGTTGGCCAAGGGCCCCTCGAGCGAGGCCCTCTCGAAAATGACGGATTACGGTGCGCGGCGCTCCTTCAGCCCGGACGCAAAGTCCGTTTGGGCACGCAGCTCGCTGACCGACGGGCCGCCCGTGGACATTTCCAGCGATACCCTACATCAGCGATGAGCAAGCAGACGCGGCGACGAAAAACCCGCAGCTGAAACTGATGTTCCGTCTGGCCAATTTCTACACCGTCGATGAAGGTACGTGTTTCCGATCGCCCTGTCGCGCTTCTTCTCCTCCGACAAAGGGCTGGCCCCACCCGCGCGCCCGCGTGCGTGCGTGCGTGCGTGCGTGCATTCCGCACGCACGCACGCACGCACGTCCAACCGCACATGCTTCGCATGTCATGGGCATCTCCACGCCCACAGGCCGACGTCGCCCTCCGATCTCCTCGTATGCTGATCCCACCCCCGCCGGGCCTCCGCGCCCGCGCACAGACGCCCGCCCGCTCGAGTGGTACATCCCCGCCGGGATCCTGCTCTCCGACCTCGCGCGGACCCTCGCCGTGATCGCGCAGTTCCAGCACGCGCCGCTCGACCTCGGCGGAAAGCGCGCGGCGCAGCTCCTGGGCAAGAAGACGCGTCGCCGGCGCCGGCTCCGGCGCGACGGCAGCCCGAGCTCCGCGAGCGGAGGCGACGGCGACGACGACGACGACGACGACGAGCCGAAGAAGAGGAAGCGCGAAAGGAAGATGAAGGAGAAGGAGGTGTACAAGTCCGCGCAGTTCATCGAGGACAGCGACGACGAGTTCTCCAAGGGCATCGACGAGTTCTTCGAGCGCGAGCGCGCGCTGCGGGAGCGCACCGCGCTCGCGGCGGCGAACAGCACGCTCGGGATCGGGACGATGAAGAAGGCGGGCACGAAGCGGCGGCGGAAGCCGGTCGGCGGGGGCGCTGCGAAACGGCGCAAGGCGAGTGGAGGCGCGGGCAGCAGCGACGCGGGCGACGAGCGAGCCGGGCCCTCCACGTCCCGCTCGCGCTCCCCCTCGCACGCCACCCCGCCGCCCCCCGCCGCCGCGACCGCCCCGCCCGTGCCCCCACGCGCGCGCCCTCGGCCTCGGGCCAGGCCCAAGCCCAAGCCCAAGTCCACACCTGCGCCCATGCCCATGCCCGTGCCCCGAACAGCCGGATCGTCGGACGGCAACGCCGCTAGCGACCGGACGGGCACGCCGCAGCCATCACCGCCGCCCCTGCCACGCTCGTCGGCGGACGCGCCATCGTCCCCATCCCTACCCCCATCCCCACCAGCGCCAGCGCGAGCGTCGAATTCAATATCAAAATCCGCAGCCGAGGGAGCCCGCGCCGCGCGCGCGCGCGACGCGACGTCCGACTTTGAGGTCCGCGCGCGGGATTTGGGGCGCGGCGGCGGCGCGGCGGAGATTGGGGTCGATGCCGATGCCGAGGGGGAGCCGCTGGTAGGTTCGGTTTCGGGTTCAGGCTCGGGCTCGGGCTTGGGCTCGGGCTCGGGATCAGGCTCGGGATCGGAATCGGAATCAGGCTCTGGGGGCGCGGGCGCGGGCGCAGCGGGTGGTACGGGTGGTGCAGCAGGTGGGAGGCTCGGAGGCCCGGGACCGCGCGCTTCGAGGCGGGGGCGGAAGGGCCGGGGGCGAATGATCGTCTCGGACGAGGAGTGAGGGCGAGGGGCGCGGGCGCGGGCGCGCGACGTGTGTTGAGCGGGACGGCGACGATCGCGTTCTGGGCGTGTATATACTTGCAGTACGCACATGGAGCCGCACTATCGCGTCGCCAGGCGGCGTTGAGAGACCGGCGGACATCGGCCATCTACTTTCCACGCCGTCTCGACGAACGGGCGGACGGGAGCGCGCGTGATTGGGCGGGAGGCCTGAGAGCGGACGTTCCCTGAAAGCCGTCGCAGCTCGATATCGCAATCGCCGAGACGAAAGCGGCCAATACACATAATTCTACGCAGTACAGTAGGTAGGTACAGCACAGTAAAGTCGCCGAGGGTCGAGCGATCGGGGCGCATGGAAACAGCCGAGGGCGGTCGCTGCTGTCACTCGTTATTACTAGGGATGCACACACGCGGAGGGCAATTGACTCGCCCTGACGGGATCACAGATGCTCATATGAGGCGCGTATCAGATCTGAGCTGCAGCGGCGCAGGGTCGCGGGCGCGTGGAGGCGCGTGAGGACAGAAGGACAATAGCGGGCAAGCGCGGTTCTGCTCGCGAGCGCGCGTCGCTGTGTGACGGGTGTGAGCGGACGAGCGCCTGTCGTGCCCAGCGACGCGCAGGCCGTCGTGGCGAGCCGCGCCTGCCAATAGGGGCAAGCGTGGGTCAGGAATGAGGCCCGCCAGCGCAAGGGGCCAGCGGGGCGCGCGATCTGATGGAAAAGCGACGGAGCGCGTGGCTGCTTCCCGCCGGTTGGCTGGGCGGCGCGTCGCCGGCCGCGCGTGCGCCTGACAGGCCGCGGAAGGCAGACGCGCCGGGGATGGCCGACGGATTGGGGCCCCGCGAGCGGGAGCCGTGTGCGTCCGTGGAGCCACCGCGCTAATAGCAGGCTGCCCTTTTCGAGATCGCCGTTGGTCGATGCGTGGGTCCCAAGCGTCCTGCGCGGGAAGACGGCAGTCGGCGGTCTGGGCTGGACCGCCGACAGGCTGGACCGACGCGCCGTCCGACCGTCGTCGTGCGAGGTCGTTGCGCTGCTGCTGTTCGATGACCCGCGCGTTTCGAGGGGCCCGCCGTGGTTGACAGACAGCCTTGTGTATGTATGTGTGCGTGTGTGCGAGCGTGCGTGCGTGCGTGCGTGCGTGCGCGTGCGTTCTCCCAAACAATGGAGGGGCGGTGCGGCGGGCGCGATTCCGGAAACGGAGACGCAATGCATTGTCGCTGTCGTGGCGGAGGGGGATTCTTAGGGGGGGAAGACGTCGCCAATCACGGGACGACGGGCGACGTGGGTGCGGATGAGAAAAGAGGAAAGGGGATTGGGCCCTTGGGACCCTGAGTGAGAGGTGATAGCGTAGCCCCAAGCGCGAGAGGGGGCGAGAGGAGGGCTCAGGTGATCGTGGGCGGCGGCGGGGATCTGCGGATGGGCGAGAAGGCCGTGTGGTTGCCGAGAAGCCTGGCGCCGTGCGGGGGACGGACGGAGGGCTGGCTGGTGAATGGAAGGACGGTGGCTGAGGCACGCTGGCCGACCAAGTGGAGCCGAGCGGCCGCGGAGGAAGGGGAGGGGGCGGAGACAGTAGAGAGGAGAAGGTCGAGGACGCGGCCGGCGTTTTCGCGTTGTTGTGTCAGCCGAGCGCGTCTGCTCTGGCCAAGCCTCGCGCACCCGCAGAACACTTAAAACCGGCTTCGCTCTCACCGTGCCACCATTCCAGCCCCGCTGCCCCTCCCCTTACGTGACCCGCATGCCAATCACAATGGCCAACCCGTCCCCGACCCCCGCCGCCTCCGACCGCCCAGAGCGAAGCCGTAACGCAAAGGCGCAGGCAAGGCATCGCGCCAAGCGGAAGGCCTACATCGAGCAGGTCCGTCCACGTCCACGTCCCCGCCGCCACACACACTCACCCCCGCCCCCCGGCCCACAGCTCGAGCAGACCGTCACCAAGCTCCAGTCCGTCCTCGCCCTCTCCCCAGACCAGGTCGTAGCCCTCCCCCCGCCCTCCCTCCGCATCCGCCAGCTCGAGCAGGACAACGCAAAGCTCGTCCGCGAGAACGACGAGCTCCGCCGCCAGCTCCAGCTCGCCTCCCGCCGCGCCTCCCTCGTCCCCAACGCCATCGACCACCACTTCGACCTCGTCCGTCGCAGCTCCTTCCAGTCCACCGCCTCCAGCAACGAGAGCCACTCCGACCGCGACCTCAAGCGCCGCCGCATGTCCACCAGCGTAGACGAGGTCTACATGGTTCGTTTCTCCCTCCACCCTCGTCGCGCCCTCGTCGCGCCCTCGCTCACCTCGCTCCCCTCCCCACTACAGAGCCCCAGCCAGACCCCGAGTCCCCCAGCCACAGAGGCCCTCGCCCACCCCAGCCACTTCTCCCCGCCGCCGCTCTCCCAGTCCGCCTACCTCTCCTCGACCGCCCCCTCCGCCTACTCCAGCCCGGGGCTCAGCCTCCACGGGCCCTCGTTCGGCTACTCGCTCCCGTCCGTGCACGCCGTCTCCAGCGCGGCCTCCAGCCCCACCACGTACTCGGCAAGTACCCCATTCCACGCACTCCCCCCGATAGGCCAGTTGAGCTTCCAGCGAGACTGTGTCTGATCTCGAGCTCAGGATCCTAGTGACGTTTGGTCGAATAGCAGTCGGCCCACCACGACCACCCGTCCGCGCACCAGCACCAGCAGCAACATCAGCAGCAGCAGCAGCAACATCAGCAGCAGCAACAGCAGCAGCAGCTTGGGGGTGGCATGGGGCTGACGGGCAGTCATCACCACAACGGTGGTGGTGGCGGCGGCTTGCAGGCACGCCCTTCGCAAGGCGCCCTCCATTCGCACGGCCTCGGCGGCCCGACCTTTTCATCTTCCTCGCAGTACGAGGTCGTCAAGGTCGAGGACGACCACTACGTCGTGAGTCCTCTCCCTCTGCCTCACGTCCGTCCGCCAAAACAGCCCCCCCAGCAGTCATCACACGACTCGGGCGCCCACAGCCTCACCTACCCGCCCATCCTCCCCCCCTTCGGCGCCGCCTCCTCCTCAGAGATGTGGCACTACTCGTCCGACCGCACGCAGATCCACCACTAGAAAGCGCCCTCCCCTGCGCTCGCGCTCGCGCCATCGTTCTCCCCTCTCTCGCTCCTGCTGCTCGCTCGCGGCTCCGGGACCCGCGTCGGCGCCGCGCACGGCTGGGTCGCGCGCGGCCGCCGCCTGCACGCGGGTTGTATTTGTGCTCGCCTCGACTATCGACTATTGACCTGGAATTGGATCTAACACAAAATCGCCAGCCCCGCTGACGACGCCGGCACAGCCTACTCGGTACGCTAGTATAGATACGACCCCCGCATGTGCATGTTTCTCTCCTCGCCCGATCGTTATTACGCGCCTCGTGTTTCTCTCTTTTTTCTCTTTGCTATTTTCTCTTTACTTCTCACTGCTCCTGTCGCTGTCGTATGCTTGCTGTCCTCGTCTCGTCTCTTCCCGTCTCGTCCCGTCTGCCCATATCACCCACACCACGCACGCACGCACGCACACCTCCACACGTCCCAGACCCACCATCCCGCGCCACTGCCCCCACATCGCCCCACGCACCCCTCCACGCTCAACACCCCACCACGCCCCATCCCCAGCGCATCCATCCGCCCCTTCCCTTCTCCCCCGTCTCTGCTTTTTCCTCCCTCTCTCTCTCAGTTACGGCTACAGACAGACCCCCCGCGCGGGCTTACAGTTAGTTACAGTTACCCATGTACAACGTCACCGCATCAATGCATCGCTTCCTGCCCTCCTGTCCTCCTGCTCTCCTGCCCTCAGATTCCTCCTGCTCTTAGATTCCTCCGCCCGATCGCACGCGACCCCAAAAAGCTCCCGCAAGCATCAGCGCCCGCGCGACGACGCGCCGCAGCACGCGCGGGCGCAGGCGGAAGCGCGCAATCGACTGCTAATCGACCGCGCTCGGGGCCAATCTTGCCTCCGGTCGCGGGGGCACATTCGAGAGAGATGGGATGCGGGGAGATTGGCGCGCGCAACGCGCGCGCGTCCGATCGGTCGGGCGGGCGGGCGGACTAGGGCGGACTTCGGGCGAGCGGCGGTCGAGTGGCGGTCGAGCGGCTGTCTGTCTGGGTCCGCAGCTGTGCTGCTATGTATTTGAGTGCTCCGGCTGTGGCCGAGGCGGGGCCGGGTCTGGCCGGGTGCCCCTGCGGCGATGTGGGTTGTGTCAATGCGGCGAGACGGCCAGGCTGGCTTGTGCATCTCGGTAGGCCGACCGTCATCATCATAACCACCATCAGCCATCACCACCATCAGCCATCAACCATCATAATCATAATCGTAATCACCGCCATCGCCATCGTCGTCGTCGTCCTCATCAGCTTCGAAGTTACTGGCGCGTCTGCTCGTGCGTGGCAAGCGCGCGTGCGCGGATCGACTCGAGATTCGAGAATACAAAGCTGCGCGACTCGTGCGGGTCTCGTGCGGTGCTTTTCATCTCCGGGCGCACGCGGGAACCGCTGCTGGTGACCGCTCCCACACCCTACTCTAAACGCCTGCGCGCGAACGCAGACGCAAACGCAAGCGCAGACGCAAACGCAAACGCAAACGCAAACGCAAACGCAAATGCAAACGCAAATGCGAGCACGAGCAGCTGTAGGAACAAGACGAGCAAGTGCCTCGCCCTGATGCGTGATTCGTGATGTAGATGTGTTGCACGATGCACGATGTACGATGCGCGATGCGCGATGCAGATTCCAAATGCCTACTGCCCTGCCCTGCTCTGCGTGGCCCGTCCTGACACGCCCTGGCGCTCGCCATCGCCGTCGCAGCGACTGGCTACTGTACGTACCCCGCCCGACCCAAATTCTAGGTACCCACACGGACACCCAGCGCCCCAAATCGACTCCGCGTCGCACCGCCCACCCACGCGCACGCACGCACGCACGACCGATCGAGCACCGTAGATCCTCGCCTTGTCCTACAGTACTCGTATATCCCAACCGGCTTACAGGGTACGCGCTGCCCCCGCGTCGCCATGCGCCCCACACTACATCTCTGAACAGCGCATCCCCGCTCCTTCCTTCCTTCCTTCCTTCCTTCCTTCCTGCCGCAGGGTCGAAAGGTGCGCGACAAACTTCCAAGTTCCCCTGCGCCCTAGCCAGCGGCCCCTAAGTCCAACGGCCTACTGCATCTGGCACCGCGGCGGGCCCGTGACCAGCACGCGACCCACCCACCCACCCACCCACCTAGCTACATGCGCGCGACGACCCAAACCCAAACCCAAACCCAAACCCAAACTCAAACCCAAACGCAGTCCCCTGCCCACCCGCCCGCTCGCTCGATCCGTCCCTCGCCCCCGCGCGTTCCGTCGGCCCTCCGCGCACCCGCGCACTGACTCGTCGATTGGGGACTTCCACCGGGCTTCCTCCGATCGCGATCGCGTGCGGCACGCGGCTATAACTGATTGACTGACTGACTGTACTGTACTGTACCGTACCGTACCGTACCGTACCGTATAAGTACGGCTCGATCATGCTCTGCAGACGCCGGCGTGCTCGCGGTGCTATATCCGTCCCCACCCTCCCTGCCCCGCCCCGCACACAAATCTACAAATACGCAAATACGCACGTGCACGCGCTGTATATATAGACGTATAGATACTCGTTCCCCGCGCGCGAACCCCGCCGTCCAAACGCGACCCGTCGAGTCGCCGAACTGAATAGCGCGGGGCCACGAAGGTGCGCCGTCGAAGCGCGAGGCCCTGCAGGAGACGAGACGAGAAGAGAAGAGCGGAGAAGAGAAGCAAAGCAAAGCGCAGTAGAGGACGGCAGGGCGCCTCTTGCAGTTCGCGCGGGGGGGCTTCTCATTCAGGGGAGGAGAGGGGCGAGTGGGTGGGTGAGTGGGAAAGTGTGGGTGGGTGGGTGGGAACGGAAGCGGCGATGGGCCCGGTTAGGGAGTAGGTGGGTGCTGGCTGTATGGCTGGTTGGCTGGTTGACTGGCTGGCTGGCGAGGCCGAATCGCGCGCGTGCGTTGCATCGCGCTCGGTCTGTCCTCTAAGAACTGTGCCGCCAGCGAACGAGCAGGGTCATCCCTGCCCCCTTCCCCCTGCCTCCTGCCCCCTCCCCCTTCCGTCCGTCTGTTCGTCCGTCCGCGCTTCGCACTCCCGGATTTCGCGCTCCTGCTCGGAGGGTTACGCTGCGTGCGTGCTCTGCGCGACAGGCGCCGCGCGCGTGCCGTCTCCGCTCGCAGATGAACCCCCCACCCCGGCTGACCGAGCGGGGAGTCTCGAGCGCAGAGACGCGCACATCGCCCCTTCCGTCCGTCCGTCCGTGCTGGGCATTCCGCGTCGAGCCGTCGGGACACCGGGCTCGCAGGGCCGACCGGTGCGCGCGCGCGGTAGACCGTGGGTATCGCCGCTATGGCGCCCCCGCGCGCGAGGTCCGACGGGGCCTTGTTTCGTCGTGCTCCAGTGGAAAACAGGCAGCGATCCACTGGGGCGTGCGAAGGCCAGCGAGGCGCTCGGGGGGCGCTCTGTAAGAAGCGTGCATCATACACCCACGCCTGTCCCTGCGCGCGTCAGATGGGGTGCTGCATAATGCGTTGCAGGGTCCGCGCGAGGACGGTCGGATCAGAACAGAAGAGAAGGGGGCAGGAGACGGACTGGGGGTGGGGATATCGCCACGCACGGAGGTGGCGAGGGGCGGCAACTCATTGTGTTTGACCGGCGTACATACGACGCAGTATGAACATCGTGCGCCCTAGGACGCGTTGAGCCGGTGCTGCGAACGGGCAGACGAGTGTCCCGATCGGTTGCTGAGGCAAGACCGCTGTGCGTATGTGGGTCCCGCGAGCGCAGGGATGGCACCTGACGTGCTGTCGCCGCGTCGCGCTGGTCACGGCGTCGGTCACTCTGTCGCGAGGTCAGGCGACGCGGCGCGGACAAAGACAAAGGAGAAGGCCAGGCCAGATTTAGATCCGCCATCCATAGAACGTCTAACCCAAATCCAAACGCGTCCATTTCCGGGCGCGGCGTGCCCGACGGCGCCTCCTGCCTCTCGCGGGCCAGGCTGGCGGCGCGCAACTCTGCGCGCGTGACCGCGACGCGCTCGTTGGGAAGTGCTTCCTTGTGAGCAGTGCTGGTGGGGCGCACACACCTGCGGGTCCGCGTCTGACGCGTGCTGCACTGAGCTGCCAGGCTGCGAGTCATGATTGGCGTGCTCGTCATCGGCCTCTTGCATGCTGCGAGAAGAACCGCCATGACGCTCGTCAGGGGACGGTCGCAGACGGGCAGGCAAAGAAGGCCCACAAGGAGACGGAGAAGCAGGCGCGGCCAGTCTTCCGCTCGCACGCGTCCTCACATCTAGACGACGCAGGAAGGCACGCTGCCCCGAATCGAATCTGTCAACACTGCGTCGATGCGTTGGGGTCGAGCCCCGTCGAGCCACGCGCCGAACACGAGCACAGCGCCTCCGTGTCCTCGTTCGACACTTGTTTGTTTCCAGCGGTAAAACGCTCTAACCGCGGACACTGCGCGGCGCACTGGCGACCGGGATCAGAAATCCCCCGTCCACGTCCACGTCCACACCCGTTTCCACTTCCGCAAGTCTTCCGCACCCGCACCCGCGTCACCTCGCCCACGCACCGTCCGCACATCCGCACATCCCGCATACCCGCATACCCGCACACCCAGAATCCACGCTCCGCATCCGTCCGCGTCGCCGCCGTCGCGTGTTGTGCGGGCACCCAGCCAGGGTCCCCGTCGCACGGCTGCCTCGCGGCCGCCTAGCAGCGAGCTTCACACGCACAAAAGAATAGAACAGAACCCGCACCGGTTTTGGAAAAAGGGGCTAAATTGTTATTGTGCGCTGCGCTGCTTTTTCTCTGCATGCAGCCGTCGCGGTGCCCACGGCCCACAGCGCGGCGCGCCGGGCCCAGGGAGTACCGGGAGGGAAAAGATAAGAGAGCGGAGACGGAGCGCGGCTTGTTGGGTACTTAGATGACCTGATGTCATCGGGCACGTTGGATTCATCGTTGCAGCGGGAAAACTTTGAGTGTGTGCTCTATGGACATGGCAATGAGATTGATATTGGATATGCTCGAACCTACCCCTTTAGTGCTAGGCTATTGGATATTGATTTAACGTCCGAGACGGGGACCCACGAGCCTCCATAGGCACCCACTCGTGTTGCCATTGCCATCCGGTGCCCCAGACACAAGAGGCCGATGATGGGGCGGAGTTATCCCAGGCTTCGACGAGCGAGCGTGTCATGGCGTCAATGGTCGAAGAAACGTCGGAAGCCGGGCGGGTTCGCACGATGGAGATCGCAGATGCCTCCGTGCGCGCCGCACGATGCACGACCCAACCCCCGCCCTGACCCGCCTCGAGAAGAGACAGAACGAGACAGCAGAAGCAGAAAAATACTCGTGTTTCATATCCTCGCCGCTCCGCTCCATTCTTCCTCCTCGTTGGACCGCGCCCGGGATCGGGACGCGCTCTGCGAGAAGAGCGGGGACAGACGGACCTATTTGCAGATCATGCCTATCAGCGAGCGTCTGTGATATGGTTATGATTGGCCGTGCGCGGAGATGTTGTGTTTTGATGTCGGTGGAGACGTGGGGAGCGAGTCGGAGCACGCGGCTCGCAATTCCGGAGAACGATGAGGGCGGCGATACCTCCCGATCGCCCGCAGCGCCGCAGCATGTCGCAATTTTTTTTGCTGTATGCTGGTAGTGCCCTTCTGGAACTAGGTTTTAGGGTGGGCACGAAATTGAGTGCGGCTTGGCGACAAGTCCGGCTCTTCCTGCGTTGAGGCACGTGACTTTCGACGACTTGCCCTTTGGATTATACTGTCGAGAGCGGTTTGCCTCCGGTGCTTGCCCGACGTCGCAGGACTCGAAGAAAGGCGCGACAGCGGAAGGAGCGGAAGGACGTGGTGAGAGGGTTTCATTTTTTCGTTCTGATTGACTAGGTCCCTAGGCCCAAATCGCAACTCGGCGGGATCTGCACCATACGAGACGATGCCCGTCAATGATTGCGGTACGCGCAAACTGAAGATAAAAAAGCACGAGATGTCATCCACACACTCTCCATGATGCTGTGAGTGCTGAACTTGCTTCATGGCCGTGCTTTGTTCGTCGAGTGGCGTGGCTTGTGGTCGGGCCATCGCGTGCGCGCGCCACCGCATGCCACTGGCGGTGGACAAGCGAACAAAAGAACAAAGGGGCCATCTGGGGCCACCCGCCGCAAACAAGCAACGACGCGCACCGCCGCACGCTTAAAACCCTGTTCGCGACGCGTCTTGACCACTCACAACGTTGACCTCTCCCCACCACCACCTCCATCGACCAAGCCCGCCGACCGCGTTACCCAAGTCTCCATGCATCACCCTACCCCGCGCAGAACCTCAGTGCCGACGTTCCTCTTCCCTACTTCCCCGGCGAGCGCGTCTCGCGCGGTGTCCGAGCGCCCAGCCACGCCCCGCGGCGGGCCCAGGCGGCCTAACAGCAGCCGCGCGCGCGTCAGTCTCCCGACCAAGACGCCCCCGCCGAACTCGCGCATCGCGGCGAAGTTGGCGCCGCTCGCCCTTCCACCCGGCACGTTCGTGAAGATCGAGGTGGACGAGCCCAGCGTGCCGGATGCCACAGGCGTGCCATCCGCCTCGACCGTGATCGCGGCGCACGCGCAGCCGCCCTATCCCGGCCGCCCTGTGCTCTTCAAGGCCCTAAAAAAGCTCGGCATCAACAAGGTCGCGGCCTCGCTGGAGTGGGATAGTCAGTATTTTTTTTTTTGCTCCGGTGGCTCGCGGCTGACACGGCTCGCGCACAGTGCTTGTGGATCCAGAGTTGGGCTTCGATGCCACTGCCGCTGCGACGAGCTACCTTGCCTCGCATCTCGGGCAGGACGCAGACCTGTACTACTTCCTGTGGGTGGCGGCGAAGAAAGTCATGTCTGAATGCACCCAGAGGCACGTCCGTTCCCAGTTCCATCTGACCTGTCGCCTGACAGCTCTCACGCGTTCAGTTCGTCGTCCGCAAACATGTCGGACCTGATAGGCGCCGTGCACGAGCAATTTGTGAGTTTCAGCCGTCACATGCTAGCCCGGATGAATAGGGCTGCGTTCTGGAAAGAGGTCGCTGACCCGTGTCTCCACCAGCTCGCGGAACTGGGGAACGGGCTGATGGACCTTGTAAAGGGGCCCCACATCACGTATATCGACGTGCGCCAGCACACAAGTGCGGAGAGCATCCAACGGTATGCGAAAAGCCTTGTCGCGCGGTTCGAGAAACTAGGCAGGGACCGCAGCACGTTCCTAGTCAGCGTAAGCATCCCCAAACCTTTGCGGTTCACAGCCGGTGCCTGCTCACCTCAACGTGCGTGACAACAGATCCCGGCCATCCCAAAGGGTATCGAAGCGACTCGGCTGCTAAAAGAGCAAGACGGAATTAATGTCAACCTCACGTACGTGGCCGGCGTCAGGCGTCTCTCTGCTTGCGCAGCAGCTGGGGCCACTGCAGTCACGGTCCCCATCCGCTTGGTGAGTCTCCTCGGCGACTGGTCGACTTGCAGATGATAACTGGGGAAACAGATGTCAAGGTGGTATGAACTGAAGGTTGACGCCGTAGCGCCATCGGAACACGAAGACCCAGTGATAAGCCACGTCCAGTCGATGCGCGCGTTTCTTGATATAAAGAAGCTTCCAACGGCACTCATCGGCGGGATCATGCCTAGCGTAAGCAATAAGTTCCTACACTGCAGTGACCATTCGTTGAACCGGTGTCGCATGTTCCATAGGCAGGGTATGCGTGTCCTTTAGTGACATTTGACTCGTTGAGTTTCGATTACTCTCAGGCCAGCAGAGCGAGGCGCTGGAATGCCTACCCCAAGATGACATTCAAAATACCAGAACAGCCGATCGAAGTAGCCAAACGCGTGAGACACCCAACGAGGATCTCGAACAAGCCCCTGCCACAGAACGATGTGACCGAGATACTCCTCCCCATTGGCATCGAAAAAACGACCAAGGAGATTGAAATTATCAACGGCTTGATCAGGAAGGAGATTGCCTGGCTGTTCAGCGTCAGAGAGGGGGGGAAGGTCCCCAAACCCGTCATCAGATCCCATGCCGACACGAAAAAGCGGAAGCGTGAGAGCACCGAAGTAGTGTTGACTGTAGCTCCCATCACTGCGGGAGTTTCTGCAGTCACGAATCCAGACGGAAGTGGCAGCTTGTCTCCCTTCCTGGGAACCACTGGTGGTGAAGGGAAGCACGAGGCGGGTGAACCACCTGCAAAAAGGGCCAGAACAGATGGAGTTCAATTGGAGCAGGCACTCAACTATCTCCGACAAGTTCTGGGGCCAACAGTCGGGACACTTTGAACGCACGGTATCATGCTGAGTGCACAACAGCTGTGTTCCTAAGTATTTTGAACCACCAAGTCAAGGGCAAAGAGGGTTGAGGTAAAAATTGTGGGGATTGAACCAGGAGTTGGGCTCGAGCCCATATTCTGCCACAGGGGAGGGGGGGGGGGATCCGAGGGAAGAGCGTAGGGCTACCGAGCAAATGCATAGTAAGGCATAAACGAATAATCAGTTAATTTAATCAATGTAATAATTGTGAACTCTAGACGACTATCAGATTGTTTAGGTCACATCTGACGATCTTCACACAGTGATGGCGAACCATCCAACATAACCAGATATGATCTATCATGAGGTACACAGAGGCCTACGCACCTGAATACTGACAAGCCTCTTGAGTGTGAACCCTCGAAAACGGATCCCTGACCGCGTGAATATACATCTCGAGTAAAGGCGCCCTAGCACGAACGTCGGCGAAACTCGCCTCAAAAGCGCTAGAACATGGGTCCGATATACCGTGCGTGAAGATCGTAGGAAATGGAGTACACTGCGATGTTTTGCGACAATGCTTAAGCGGTTTCCGGACGCCAGGTATACGGTAGAGACAGACGTCCGAGGAGATGAATAGACGAACAGGGGGAACACGCTAGAACATGCACACACACAAACGTACTACAAACGTCCAGGAATAGGATGTACCGAGACAAAGGATGGGGTATTGCAAAAGGCCGGAAGCCTGGGGGCGCAACCATTTGATGAGAGCGCAGATTGGAGTTATTCAATCTGAAGGCGGCAAACGTGCACGGTGCGGACTTTGGTCGCAGAAGATTCCTGTCAAAACAATGATGCATCAGAAGGGGATAACCTGGCAGGAGCATGGAGCTGATCCTTGTTGTCTACGATGTGGATGGAAAGATATCGAAGGCTTATGAAGGATCGGTCACCCGGTCTGCCAAACGGAGAATAAACCCGCATTGACTGTCAAGAAGCTGGAGAGACATCTGATGAGAATATCGCTGAAGCGCTGATGGGGGAGAGGCACGTACGAATTTCATGCACAACTCAATTAGTTATTGACACGACAAGATACTGTGAGTTCGAATTTGTCGTACGACGGCATTCATCCGGTAAATATTTGACAGTTTCCGGGATTAGATCAAAATCTTTGCGTACCGCAAATCTATTCGAAGGTAAGGGACGGTGCCAGTGAGCGTCTGACCTGAGCCAACGAAGGCTTCGAGCATTGCCTTAAAAATGTCAATGACGGTCCTGGGAAACATCAAAGAGAGTTTCCGCTTCCAGTAGGGTATAGCATGACTTCAGGGTCCCCGCTCCAACTACTTATGGGTCTTCGCCAAAATCGAGCCTCCTATGAGCGACGTGAAGTCTATATAAAGATAGTCCTGCGGGCGGAACCGAGAGCTTCTAACGCTCTCAACGATCGTGAGTCTATGTGAATCAAGAGATAGTGCAAAAAAACCCGAATATACGGAAAGGCGAATCAAGCACGCACTTGATTCATAAACTTCAATGCGCTTCTGTCATCAATTCGGGATGAACATCAACCCGCAGCGCTACAGCGCAGGCCATATCAAGGGAGCGTACTCGATCGAGCTCACCGCGTTGTCTTCATCATGACTGAGCGGGAGAACAAGGGGGCTTATTCCAAAGGGTTGTTTTGATGAACTGCGTCGACGAGGGAAGCTTGATAAGCAAGGCCCCTTGCCCTAACCTCTTGCCCTCCACTACAGTGACATCCTCACCCATCCTCGAAGCCTCAAGATGAGTGTACGATTGGACCCCCGGTCTTCAGAACAATACCGCGCTCTTCTTGCCAAATATGATACTTGGATGTTCGATTGCGATGGTGTACTATGGCACGGGGATCGACTCATAGATGGTGCAGTGGAAGTTCTCGATATCCTTAGAAAAGAAAGTACGTAGAGAGCCGGTCGTCGAAGACTTTGAATGGCCCCACTACTATTGATTGAATCGTTGTCTTTGATCTAAGAGAAGAATATCCTCTTTGTGACGAACAATGCGACCAAGTCTCGGAAGAACTACAAGAAGAAGTTCGATGTCTTGGGTATTGAGGCCCATGTAGTACGTAACTTTGCCAATGAATTGTATCTTATTTTTCATGTCGTCCATCGAGCTAGGACGAAGTTTTCGGATCCGCTTATGCTGCTGCCGTGTACCTCTCCTCCGTTGTAAAGCTGCCTAAGGATCAAAAGGTCTATGTCGTTGGCATGTCTGGCCTTGAGGAGGAGCTCAAAGACGAAGGGGTGGCATTCATCGGTGGTACCGTCAGTTTTGTCAAGGCATATGCGATATATCCGAGTTTGATTCGCATTATTACTGTTAGGATCCAGCGGACAACACGCTCAAACCGCCATCTGATGGGATTCCTCCTGATCCTAGTATCGGTGCTGTCCTCGTTGGTTTAGACACTTCGATCAACTATTACAAACTCTCGAAGGCGTTCCGATACTTGCACTCTAATCCGGCATGCTTGTTCCTCGCTACAAATGAGGATTCCACATATCCCAGTGACAAGGGTCTGCTACCTGGTGCGGGAGCAGTATTGTCGCCTTTGAAGACCGCGCTGGGTCCCACGCGTCCTGTGACAAGCATTGGAAAGCCCAGTGGCTTGATGCTAGACTGTATCAAGGCGAAGTGAGTGACACTCTCACGAGCCACGCATGAAATCTGCCGCTCAATCAGCCCGAAATTATGATAGGCACAATTTTGATCCTTCCAGAACTGTGATGGTTGGCGATAGACTCAATACAGATATTCAATTCGGGAAGAATGGCGGCCTCGCAACGCTGCTTGTTCTTACAGGTATGACATGTCCCATGAAGGTGTCAACTCGATGATGGCCCTGATTCTGGTGTTTATAGGTATCACCACCGAGGAGAATTTGACGGGTCCCAATCCCTCGTCTATCGTGCCCGACTATGTCACGCCATCCATTGGAGACCTGCGAATTCTCAAGACATAGATGGCAAGCACAGGTTTGAAGGTTTGACATATTTTCAGGCGTTCATATATTACAAGATATGTTCTAGAGGCCACATAACGTAGAGATACAATCGAGATCTCGTGAAGAGCATTTCACTCGGCGCCGCTTCGGCCAACCCGGACATACACGACGTGCATTTTGAACAGGTTGACAAAACTGTACAGGTGTCAAATATTGTCTTGTTTACAACAGAGAAAAGATCGCGAATATGGACGACCACAACCTACACTTCTCCTCGGATCCATTATCTCACAAAAAATCATCTCGATACCTTCTTCGCAAAGATTCCCGAGCGTTGCTCATACCGCCGTCCTATATTGAAGTTATCCTTCTTTCGGTCAGACTTAGATGGATATGTCTCTAGCGGTATGTGGCTCGAAACATGTGCTCTTGATATTGTCCAGGCAGGACCTCTCCGGCTTCGCTCACGGATTCACGTAAGTGTAGAAGCATGCGACTTGTGAGGACGCTATGTAGCGTTCTGTGCACGCTAGAGAAGGTGTCAAGGTCAGATGATACACCAAAACAAAGGCGGCACCAACGGGGACACGAGAGCCAGATATTGATTCTGCAGGCTATCTTCAGTATCCTAATTGGAGGCTACTGCGATATCGGCACACTCACCGGTGTCATCAAGCCAAGAATGACGCACAATATTGATACCGCTAGGTTCATTCGTAGTAAGACAGATGCAGCGTATAGTCCACAATTAGCGGACAATACCTGTCACAACGATGTAATACAGAATGCCTGGGCGAGGGCTATAAGTCTTTAAAGCAAATACCGGTGAGGGATTGCGCTTGCCATCTTTGTACGGTGAAGCACTATCGAGTGATTGCTCGTAGACTTCACTTGAAAATGTGCAACACGGTCAACAAAGTTTCAAGCCCTGTTTCATTTGCAACATCGACGTACTAGATTTAAGGCACTTGGCCAAAGCAAGAACAAGAGCCACTGTAAAACCTTGTTTTCAGCATTTTGAGAAGGCCAACTGTGTGCATACCGACTTACAACTGTTGGAGGCTAGAAATAGCGTGTAGATTGCTATGTACGAGACGGTGCTCCCTCCGGTCAAGAAACAACCTTGCTCTGTAGCTAGAGAGACTGTCCGGGTCGTGAGATGACTGAAAATAGCCATGAAGATGGTCACTCACATATCAGAGTATTCTGGAATTTTATCACGAGACCGAGGACCGCGACCCATATTGCGGCAAGCAGAACCCTGAGTCCAATACCGAAATGTCTGTCTCGTCCCCAGATAGCCCAACTTCGCAAGGCCAGAATCACTTTAGAGATGGAAGTCAGTGATTATGTTGTGCCGACACAGGACATGGGCATACCTTCAGTTATACAGATTCTGATGGCATATGACCCTACAGACAAATGTCACGTTACGACCTTTACCTCGGTGAGTCAAGAAGATCTATCAAAGGGATGAAAGATGAGACGTTGGAGTAGAAATGTCTAGGAAGACTCACGATAAGTAATCACGACTCTGACTTGGTCCAGAAACGGTGTGTAGCGAGCAACCAAAAACAATACCTTGGCAGTAGTCAGCTTCGTCGGTCAGAGAAGCTTCACCTCTTGCTCTAAAGTCAATAGATAGTCATAGACCTGTCGCATCTGAGTTAAGCATGTGCTCTTTCCTAGGTTTCACAAGACATGCGACGTACTAAGATTACTGCGGCTACGACTTTGTCGGTCGTCGTGAGCATCGATCTCGTCCATTCAATAAACGAGTCCGTACCAGCAAAATACTGGGAGGCGTTGGTGAGTGTATGGAATTTATAGCAGGATTCCTGGCATACCATGACAGTGTCAATGCGTTCGACGACCTGATCTGGGCTGGGATATGAGTTGTGAGCCATGGTAGGCGCTGGGTTGCAGTGATCTGAGTACGCCCCACCTCCCAATATAGAGCCGCTCGGCAACCTGCGGAGGATCCGAAGCTAAATTTCAAGCTAAATCTGAACTGAACAACGGAAGAATCAAAACACGGCAGGGTGAGTGATTCAGGACTCGATTGTGAGATCATTGTTTTGTCCCGATGGCTGCAGCCTACCTGTGAGGCTGAACGGATATATCGGCGGTGCGGAATTCGACTGCGTGAAGCCCACGTATCTCCTATAGCATCTGGTCCTGCGTCGGTCCCATAGGTTGCAGAGAATATCCCTCAGATAATGAGCCTTTTACGCAGTTGATCTGGGTTTCATCAACCGCATCAGTATCAGTTGTCATGAATAGAAAACAATGACTACCTAGCGAGCTCGGATGCAACGCTTATTTTTGCAGTTCTGAACGGTGAATATTAACTATATCACCGGTAAAACCATTGCCTGGTAACGGAAGGATTTATAGGCCTGGTATTTTTCGCTGGATACGTCAAAACATAGAGTCAATGTATCAGGCCACACCAACAGCGACAATTTGGAAACTGAGGACCTGGCACTGGCCGATGGAAGGGAACACGGCCCAAACAATGGTTATGTCTCTCCAGAACCAGGAAATGCAAAGGGACATACGATGTCTTGCTGCCTGTGGACTCAGACAGTATCAATTCGAAGAATTGATAACTGGGTGGGTTTCATCTATGTTTGGATTACCTCAAAATAAATGACGAATGAGCTCGTCTGGCGCACCAGGTGCTCGTGAGTACATCTTCACTTCTGGACTATTGTTACATCCCACTCACCACGGGTCCATAACGCCATTTCCTTGCTACCGCTGCGCTCAAGAGAGCAAACACTAACGGCAACTGCGCGCGAGCTCGGTCAACATGTAGGCCGCCAAAGCAGCGCAGCACAAACGTGCTCGAGTTCGACATCACCGCGCCCGCAGACGGATTGACTGATGATATGGAGTAGGCGGTGGGACTGCGAGGAAAATTAGATGCCCTGGCGAACGGCGCTAGGCAGATGATCTTTTCTTGTGTCTTAATGAGTACACTTGAAGCACCAAGCCATGAGCAGACCCTGGCCTCCGTGCGCCCGTGCGCCCTGCAAGGTGATCATCGTCTCGCGTTGTGGCAGTGAGCACTTCAAAACAGGGATAAAACCACCATCATCGCCCGTAAGTCTTCCCCATGCGCAAAAAAAATCTGCGCGCTCACACGTGGGAGACATCCACACCGCGATCGTACATACACCCGCATTGCACGCTTTGTATCCCGTCCACGCCAGGAAACCCAGATCGACGCTGTGGAATCCGTGGCTGACCTACTCTGCGACGAGAGGCCAAGAACGTGCACGGCGCCAGACCCTGCCAGAGCACGTCCAAGGAGACGACGTCGCGCTCCTTTCTCGTTCCACAGACTTACCCAGAGACCCGATGGCTTGCGGGCAGGGCGCTGGTGCAGACCGTCGTTGTCGATCTCGGTCTCTGCCTGGCTATGTATGCATCGACGGCATGATGATGTAGACGATGCACGGCGAAGAAAAAACGGGTATAGATTACGTACATGTGCGATCCATCCGCCTCTGCCCTGTCCCGCACCGACATACAAGAATTCCGCGACCCGCGCTCAAACGTGTCAATCTACGCACACAATGCCGTAAACAACCGAGCAGCATCTCCCACCCTCCGCCGCGCGCGTGCGCCTCGCGCAGATGAAGGAGCATGCGACTCGTGAGCTCGCTACGCAGCGCCCTATGTACCCTAAAGGCGAACCCAAGCGTCAGACGACATATACACTATCCTCACTCGGCAAGACACTGACGGAGATAGTAGGGCTGTATACTGCCTCAGTGTGGTCGGTCAGCGTCAGTTCACGAGCTCACCGACGATATGGGGGCCCGCGCGTACCGCGATATGGCGACGACTGGGTTTTTTTCGGATAAGCTAGAGGTGGTACATCATCCTGAGCGATGCAAAGCACCTGTTAGGAATATATAATACACGATGCCTGGGGAGATCCTGTCAGTCCGAGAGCATATACCGTCGAGAAAGCGTGCTCGCCGTCTGTGTATAGGGACGAAACCAGGCTTGACTGGCTAGTATCCTTCGACCTCACTAGCAGATGCAAACTATCGTCACGGCTTGGTCTCAAAGGCGGCTCAGCGGCAGACCCACTTGACTGGAGACACTTGACCAACGTGAGGCCCAGGACGACTGCAGATGCTCCGCGCCCACCTTCACTCCCCGAATCTCGAAAGACGATTATACGCGCGGACTCACGAGTATCGGACGCCAGGAACAGCGCGTAGGTCGCGATGTACGCGGTGACGCTTCCTCCGGTCAAGAAACAGACCCGAGCGGCGGGAGAGACTGCGTATATGCGAGGGTCTGAGCACGGAGACAGCGGCGCGTGTGGCGGGCGCCGCTCGCACACGAGCGAGCGGGGGAACCGATGCGAGAGCACGAGGACGGGGAGCCATGTGGCTACTAGTGCAACCCCGAGACCGAGGTCGAAACGCGCGTTTCGGCCCCAGATCGCCCAGGTGCGCAGCGCGAGGATCACTGGGCGCACGGTGATACTGTAAGTGAGTGAGTTGCCGTGAACCAGACGACATACCTTCGGCTGTCGAGATGCCCACGGCATATGCCCCTGTATAGGTGCGAGGGGTGATTTCGGATCGGATCGAGAGATTTATGCATAGATGCGTGCTTACGCGTAGAGAACGAATACAAAGTGCTACGAGACGCCGGTCTTTCCAGCAGATCTATTCGAGCAATCCCAATCAGATATTCGAGCAATCCCAATCAGACACCGCTTCAGAAAAGGAAAGGATGGCCCGACTCATGGTAAGCGATGACAACGCCTATTTGGTCTAAGAAGGGTATGTAGCGAGCGAAGAGAAACAGGAACTTCGCGGGGGTGAGCCTCGCCGGCCAGATGAACTCGACTCCCCGCTCCAAGGTCAAGAAATAGTCGTACATCTGTCGTGTCCTCATCAGCTCTACTCGCGGCTCGTGCTCGAGTTGCGCCACGCACCATGATGACTGCTGCCACGACTTTTTTCGAGTTACATCATTAGCGTGTTCTTCGCTCGTTTGTCAGACGAGTGCGTACCAGCGAAATACTGGCGGCTATTCTTCAGACATGGAAAGGAGGAGAGGTCACCTGACGTACGTACCACGACGACATCGACGCCTACGACGACCTGCTAGAGGCTGGGGTGTGAGCTATGGGCCATTGCAAGCTTATCACTAAAATCAGAGCGCAGAGGCAATATGGATGTCTATCCAGCACCGTCGCGTCAAGCTGGCAGTTTATGCCCAAATGTACTGCATATAGCCATGCGCGCCGCATAGCCGTATATAGGAGCAGTTCTCGACGAATTCCAATTCAAGCTTGGGCGCCACGGAAGGTCTGCCCCGGCGCCTGATCGTTAACTGACCATCGAAAGCGGTTCGGACTCGAGCACTCGAGCGCTGCCTTCCTTTGTGCAGAGGATCGCTGTTTATCGAGGCTCGGGAGGAACGGCCCAACGAGCTGTGATAGCATGGGCCGATATTCACAGAAGACCGGCATGTCTTAGCAAGAGATCGGAGACAGCAGACCATCAGACGTGCTGGTTCGCAAGCGCCCGAGTGAGCCATGCTTGCTTCATCAAGAATGATACACAGACTAAGATGATTACCGTCCCCGTTCGGTCTTCATCATGCGAGAGCACAAGAACCGACGGAGCCCAAGATCGTCCAGACTGAACCGCAGGGGGGGCAGCGCTGAGCCGCTGTTGTCCTCTTCTGGGAAGATGCGCCGCCCAAAAGGGAAGAGACATGATGTCATGCTGGGTCACGGGGGAGCGAGGTCGCAGACAAGGTCGAGCGTCGAACACTGACGTGCATCCACCCCGCCTCCGCGTCCATCAGCCATCCTGGCAGTCGTGACGTACCCCCTGCCCAAAGCCCACATCCCTGATCCTACCGGCAATGAATCCCTCGACGGTATAAAGACCTTCTGCACCTCAACGACCCAGCGACGTTCGCTCGTACCCTCTCCGCACCCACCACAACCATGTCCAACCAACTCGTCTGGCTCATCACCGGCTGCTCGTGAGTCCACCCCCGCCACAACACCACATACGCGCACCCGCTCACAACGGACGCACGGCGCCTTCGCCTCCGCCGCGTACAGCTCAGGGATCGGCTACGGGCTCGCCGCCGCAGCGCTCAAGCGCGGCGACAAGGTCATCGCCACCGCCCGCGCGCGCTCCATCGCGAAGACCGCGCCGCTGCAGCAGCTCGGCGCGCACGTGCTCGAGCTCGACGTCACCGCGCCCGTCGACGAGCTGAACGCGAAGGTACAGCAGGCGCTCGGCCTCCACGGGCGCATCGACGTCCTCGTCAACAACGCCGGCTACATCCTCGTCGGCGCGCAGGAGGAGAACACGTGCGTTCGCGATTTGCGATCCGTGATCCCCCGCGCCGCGCTGATCCGTTGTGGGCGCTTTGCAGGGCCGAAGAGACGCTGCACCAGTTCAAGTACGTCGGCGCGCCACTCTCGAGTCCGCATGTCAAGGGATAGTGTAGCGGGATATTGACGAGTACGTTTGCAGTACCAACGTGTTCTCTGCGTTGAACATGTCGCGTGCCGTCCTGCCCCACATGCGTGCGCGCAAGTCCGGCACCATCGTCTGGTTGGGCTCTATTGGCAGTTGGCGGTGAGCACCTCCCCACACGATAAAGCACAGGCGCTCACCTCCACGAATTCGGCAGCGCGAACCCGCACGGCAGCATCTACGGCGCGACGAAGGCCATGCACCGCTGTACGTCCTGCCCCGCAGATCCCACGCGCGCGCCCTCCCGCTGACATCTTCTCGTACCGTACATGCGCCGCAGGCCTGTCCGAGTCGCTCAACGCGGAGATCCGCCCGCTCGGCCTGCGCAGTATATGCATAGACCTCGGCTACTTCCGCACGAGCTTCCTCGACCCGAACAACCGCGCGCCGTACACGAACCGCATCGCGGACTACAAGGCCATCACCGTCCCCGCCGACGAGCGCTGGAAATGTGCGTTCCCGTTCCCGTTCTCCTCCCCGTTCTCCTCCCCGTTCTCCTCTCCCGCGGAGGCGCGGCTGTGCTGACTTGGACTTTGTGTGCGCGCAGCCGTGAACGGCAAGCAGCCGGGCGACCCGGCGAAGGCGGTCGAGCTCATGCTCGACCTCGTCCGCGGGGAGGGCGCGGCGGCGGGCAAGGACCTGCCGCCGGTCGCGTACTTCGGCAGCGACTGCGTCGAGGCGGTCAAGAAATCGTGCCAGACGACGCTCCAGCGCATCGAGGAGTGGGAGACTGTGTTCTCGTCGACGGATTTTCCTAAAAGCCAGTGAGCGATTGAAGGAACGAAGGGGTGCTCACGGCGTGGGGAGAGAGAAGAAGAGAATGCTGTGGATAGAGTATATGAGTTTGTAGATTGTCAATAGCTTGTATGCGTGGGGCTCGTTTAGACGATGATAGTCAGCCATTCGTGGGAGCCTCAATACGTGAGCTGAGCTGATGTTTGGGACACCTGTGATGCATCTCAACCAAGCTCGCGGTCGCAAATATGAGACTTGCGAGACAATCGTGGGTGATGATCACGATCAGCAGCCGTTGTCAACCTTGTCGCATTAGTGTCAGAGTTGCCATACAGAAAAAAAAGGAAAGGAAGTGATTAGAATGCACGACGAGCGCTGGCCCGTGAGTGGGAAAAGCCCGGTGGTGACTGCGACAATGGATCACATCGAAGAGCGAAAATGGAGAAGTGAGAACTCGGGTCTGACAGCGACACGAGCCGCACTAGGGATCGGACACCGTGTCACTGGGCGCTTTCGAAGAGTCAAAGAACGCGCGGCATCGACGTGGTTGTGGCAGAAAGGGAGCTGGCTGCCTGTCTGCAACGCTGCATCCTCGGGGGTGACAAGGAGCGGTTTAGGGGTTGTACACTGGTTGTACTCGTACTGCAGGGGGGCGCCTTTGGAAGCTATGATAGCATCGGGTCACGCTGTGTGTTGAGATGGTGCACGAGGGTCGGGCTGGCTTGTAGGACAGCATTCCGAGAGCGTTCCGGGCGGGAGACTGGTCGGAATGATAGGGAAGGAGTGCAGCGGTGAGTCACGGAGCAGAAGAAGCTAGTTTGGATCGGAATCGGAATTTCAAGCGGCCAGAGATCAACGGGCTGGTGGTGGCGTCGAGTCTCGGAGACTTTGATGCAACTCACACATGGATCGAAGAACCTATGCATGCGCACTAGATCGGCTGGCCTGCGCGGAAATGCCATCTTACACACGCATATATATCCCCAGAGCGCACATAGCGCATACAGCGTGCCCCACCTTCCCCTCCCGCCATCATGTTTGGCCCGTCTCTCCTTCTCCTTCTCTCCGTTTCGTCTGCACTCGCATGGCAGCCAGACCACATTCTGCGCATCTCCAACGGCACCCTCGCCGCGGACTGCACCCCGCGCATGTCCACCCTCATCAACGGCACCTCTCCAGGCCCCGCCATACGCGTCAAGGAGGGCGACCACGTATGGATCCGCGTCTACAACGACATGGTCGACAGCAATACGACCTTGCATTGGCAGTGAGTGCTTAGTCTGTGCAACGTGCGGGGTGGGCAGAAGCGGCGAGCTCACGCCCGCGACGCGTGTTTCAGCGGGGTGAGCCAGTACATGTCGCCGTTTGCGGACGGCACGCCCCAGACGAGCCAGGTGAGTCATTTTTGCCGAGCGCGGACAAGGCAGAGCTGAGCGCAGCGCAGTGGCCCATCGCGCCTCAGAATTATTTCGACTATGAGTTCAAGCTCGACAAGGGCAGCGCTGGCACCTACATGTAGTACGTCTTTTGTCTGCCTAGCCTGTCCTCCTATCAGTGGCGGGGAATCTCCATCTCCGACCATGATCCTTGGGAAGATTTCTCGTATCTCCCAACATCACTCTATGTCCGTCCGCTGTGCCTATCATCCAGCTGTAAGCTGAATGGACCCGCGCGGAACACTCACGCGCAGTAAGGGACCCGCTCAGCATAGCATCCACCGGGGCCTCGAGACCTCTCGAACGAGCGGACGAGACATACTACCCTTGATGGGGGCGCTCTTGTACCATTTACTCACTATATGCGTTCTAGCCACACCCACGTCGGCTTCCAGATCGTCACCGCCTGTCCGTATTCTCGCCGCTGCCCATCAGCCTTATCTCGAGTCCCGCATCTAACTCTTTTGGGCGCATACAGACGGCGCGTTCATCGTCGAGGACGCGGAGGACCCGCCGTACGCGTACGACGACGACCTCGTCCTCCTGCTCGGCGACTTTTACCACGCGCCGGATGGCGCTATCACCGCGGGCCTGCTCGGCGCGCCCTTTGCGTGGCTGGGTGATCCGCAGGCGCTCACCGTGAACGGCAACGCGTATGGGGCGTGCGACGCGAGCGCAAGCTCGGGCGCCGCGTGCGTGCCAGGGTGCCATACTGAGGTCGTGCACGTCCTCCCGGACAAAACGTACCGCGTGCGCGTCATCGGCGCGACCGCGCTCTCCTTCATCTGTGCGTACACCTCCCCTAGCGCCGCCGCCGGCACCCACAACGCCGACGCCGATACTGACGCGCTGCGCCACCCCGAAACAGACATGGCGATCGAGGACCACCCCGGCTTCAACCTCATCGAGGTCGACTCGGGCTACGTCGCCGCGCACAACGCGTCGCACCTCGAGGTCAACTCGGGCCAGCGCTATTCCTTCCTCCTCCGCACGAAGCCCGCCGCGGAGCTCCGCGCGCTCAACAAGACCGCGTTCTGGGCGAACATGGAGACCCGCTGGCGCCCGACGCGCGACCGCGGCGCGTGGCTCCTGCAGTACGACGCCGTCGAGCTCGCGCTCCCGCCCGTCGACGCGGCGCCGCAGCTCCCGGCGGCGCTCGGCGCGACGGGCCCCGCGTACGCGCCGATCCCGGCGGACCTGAACGAGACGGTGCCGCTGCCAGACGAGGCGCCGTTCTGGGTTGTGCCGGCGCTGCGCCCGCTCGACCCTGCGGAGGTGCCGCCGCCGGACGCGCAGGTGTCGCGGCGGATCACGATTTCGATGCAGCAGCTGAGCAACGGGACCGGGGCGACGCAGAAGGTATTCTGGAACGTGGACCGGTACATGGTGTGTTCGCCGTTTTCTCCTGGTGTTCTTTTCCTTCGTGTCGTCCATCTCACTGCGGTGCCACACGCAGTACTCGGAGGACGAGCCCGAGGTGCCATACCTTGTGCAGGCGTACGAGGACCCGTCGGCGCTGCGCCCGGACTACGAGGCGGCGGCGGCGAACAACGGGTTCGACACGAGCACGAACGCGGTGCCGATTCGCCTGAACGAGACCGTCGACATGGTCTTCCTGAACCTCGCGAGCTTCGTGGGGACGCTCGAGGCGCACCCGTGGCACAGTGAGCACCTCACCTTTCACCTTTCTCTTGCTGTTTTCGATTTGTGCGGAGAGCGGTGTGCTCATGGCGGTGATCGTGCGCGGTGGTGGGGTGGGGTGCAGTTCATGGGCAGCACCCGTACGTGATGGCACAGGGCCTGGGTAACTTCTCGGACGAGGCGTACGCTGCGGCGCGCCAGAACATGACCGGGCTGCCGATCCAGCGCGACACCAACAACAGTGAGCTCCTTTTCACGCCTTCCCTTCCACCTACCCTGATCCTGATGCGTGAACGCCAGTCTTCGCGGGGCCCGTCGGCGCGGACTACACGAACGCGACGGTCGCGCCCGGGGAGAACGGCGGGTGGATGGTGTACCGCATGCGGGCGGAGGTCGCCGGCGCGTTCCTGCTCCACTGCCACCTGCAGCCCCACGCGGTGATGGGCATGGCGACGGTGCTTCTCGTCGGGATCGACGCGCTCCCGACGCTCCCGACGAACTTCACCAAGGAGTTTGCGTACGTTCGATGCCCCTCCTCCCCGTTGCCTCCTCGTGCTGTGTGCTGATGCGAGAATTTCGGGATGTAGGACGTACAACGCGACGCCGCGGGCGAAGCCGCATAGCTTCTTCGAGCTGTATCCTGATCGGCGGACGGGGAGCAGCCAGGTTTGAAATCCGCCTCCGCGTGTGATGGAGCTCGAACCGAGTCGGCGCCGTTGTGTTGGGTCCAATCCATACCACTATGAAGCTCTTTAATGCTCTCTTCTCGCTGTTTCTGCTTTCATAGATCACTTTCTTTACTCGCCCGTTTATTTGGGCTTCCTCACGCATTTCATACCAGGACCGTGGCAATTCACCTCTCTTTATCCAATACGTTGACCTGCGCAATGCAATGAACGTGATCAGATCAGATGGATCTCATTCCATCCCATAGTGTTCAGATGTGTTACAAGGGGTCTACAGAGTGATGGAACGCACAAGGCCTGTTCACAATCAAGAGCGACATTGCTGCGATGATGAAGGGGTACGACTTTGAAAGGCAGCAACCGAGAAGAAAGAGACAAATTACGATGGATCCTCTATAGGGACCTCCTACAATCATCCATGACATCCGTGACCAAATCTTGCGAGGATACTGCGACCCGTAGTGAACAAATGGCACCCAGCGAACGAACGAGCGCTCGTTGTACTGGGCGCGCAGCTTCTTGACTGTGATGTGGAGCGCTCGCGCAGATTCCGTGGTGTCGGGGGCCGAGCCGTCGGCGTGGTCGTTGAAATCGCGACGGTAGAACTCGTTCGCGATTTTAGGACCGTCATCGTCGCGGGTGAACTTACCGAACTGGACAAGGACGGACGTAGATAGAACGATGCCCACCATTTGGTGGCGACTACGCTGCGGAATCCAGAGAACAACATCGTCCCGGCAAGGTGCATGGCTTCATCGGAAAGTTCGACGGTGCCCTTTACAGTCTCGCATGCGCTAAGAAAAGCCAAGGGAGCATGAGGTAGAGACTGCGCCATGACCGTGGACACTTTCAACAGATCCTCCAGGAGAAGTGCACTTCCCAATGGATCGGATAGATATTGGACACTGTGGCATGCGAAATGAGTGATGGAAGCATGAGGCAAATGAGAGAGAACTGTCTTTACATTGGATGACCCGAAGCCGTCTACACCTAGCTTGATGAGAGAAGAGGTGGGGACATGTCTCTCAATCTGTCATATCGCCTCATGGGTTTGGGTCAATGTGACGTGGCCCTCGGATTTGGGCTATATAGCGACCAGCATCTTAAATGGAACCGCATTCGGCACAGAGGTAGGAATGAGGAGAGAATTCAATGTGGGTGTGTACGATGAAACCATGTGTTCAGATGCATTCTCAACAGCTCCCATTTTTGTGTCGGGTGCATATATGCCAGCTACATGAAGTGGGAGAATAGAGAATGGGCTAGTTGGGCACTATTACACACATGGGGGCAACTCAGATTTCTGCATACATAATAAGTGCCGAGCATAAAGCACAACATCTATAAGAATATAGCCCCACCTCAAGTTTTAAATGTCAAATTACAGGATTAATAACAAGCTTCCAGAGCACATTTAGAATACTACAAAGGACATCATTGATATTTTGGAGAGCCACTTTCTGATGGTGCCCGGCCTTCTAGTTGTGCACGATTCTATGGGAGGTTTGGGTGTGTTTGGGGAGGCTTTTGAAAGAGGCTTTTTGATAATTGGCAAATCAGGAAAAGCTGGTCATGGCAGTGAGTAAAGAGTTGGCAAGGAGTACTACTTGTTGCTCTGTCAATTGGGAGGGTAGAACATGCTCAACTCCTGCGACTTTGACAATCAATGCATCACATAAAGAGGTTGACAAGTTGAGCCAAAGCATCAGGAAATGCACAGATTGTCTTTTCTAACTTATCCAGCTTGTCAAGCTCAATAAGACAAGATAAGACATGAAAGACAGTAAGCAATTTGTCTTGGCCATAACAGGTCTATATCATCAAGACACAAAATAAGCTGCAAGACATGGAAATAAGGTGCAAGCTATGGAGATAAGTCATAAGAGGAGCCATTCTTTTTTTGTATAGCTAATCTCCTTTTTCCAAGCACTCATCCATATAGCAAACCTCTATAAGACACATGAGTGGTATCAAAATTTGCTTTTATTTCACAATAAAATGATTAAATTACATAGTATCTAATCTACTATACATACCACTGACCTCTTCATCCACTCCTAGCCTGATTATCTAGGAAATCACTCTCTTGTATTATGCTCTAATGAGTTCTATTTATGTATAATCAAAAATGATTAGGATTAGAGATTGTTTACTTACCCCTTCCCTAAACCTATTCTAATTAGACATAAATTTCCTAAATTAGGAATTATTAGGATTGTTTATAACTTGAAATTTCAGAAAAATAATAATAAATCAAGCATCACAGTTCTTATAGCCTTCTTATAGAGTCATGTTTATTAGAGCACTAGTTAAATAACTCAACACAAAATATACCTTACTCCAAACTTGTCTTTTGCCAGAGTTGAACCAACAACCTCATGTTATGAACCACTTATTATATCTTTTCTTGCTTTACAACAATCCATATAAGGATGTCTAGGACCTTTCTCCTGACTCTACCTCATATTCTTAATCCATTGCTACTTAGTCTGTGCTCTTACTTGTACATATTTATAGCAGCTGCAGCACAGCAGGGAAGCCTTAGGCTATCTACTTCTGTCTAATCTAGGAACTGCTGTTAACCAGTCTTCTCTGATTCAAAGGCACTAGTCTGATTAGCTCAAACCCTTCACATTTCACTCCATCTACGCCATTATTGATCCAGTGGCCTAGGATCCCCTCGTCCTAAACAGCTATTTGTAATACCTCATATATACAAGCATCTGAGATAGATGCTCTAAGCCATTAAGCCATAAGGGTCTAATATATTAACTTAGTAATCTAACTAAGTAGACATAATATAGGCAACCTCAACATCTCAAATTTTATTCAACATTTATCTTTCCTCTATCCTATAAATAAATAGGTTAATAAATACCCAAAAATCAGGTCTTTTAGGATTTATTTTAAATGCTAGCTAAGAAGATATAAACTAATGGAAAATAAATAATACACTTTATATAGGATAAAAACAAATTATGGCACTCACATAATTTAGATTTAGAATATATAAAACTATGATTGAGTATGATATTCAATAGGACTTTACTAGTATAAACAACGTTATTTTAATTTGCAAATTTGATCAAAAAAATGATTATAAATAATTAGCCATAATTAGCTCAAATTAGCATCATTAATGATTACTAATAATTAAGATCCAATAAAAGAGAGATTTTCCAAACTGCCACTAGTGCAGTGGAGGATAGGGACAAGGATATATATATGGTATGCCTATGTATAAATAAGCATAAGATTATTAGAGATGATCTTAATATGCTTAGTACACATATTTCCTATATAGTAGGCAAATATATCATTCTGGCACCACATACCAATATAACTGTCTTTTCCATAGCCTAATAGCTAGAGGAAAATACTAAGTTTGAGCATCTTCTATATAATAAGGTAATAAACAATATGGATGGTGCTAAAAATATAATATCAATGGTGATGATGATTGTGTGCTGCATGAGACAGTATTAACCACTGCACTAATAGACAAGGTCTGCAAGGCTGTATATAGCACATCCCTAAGCCCAACCTACATATTGTGTTTAATATTGACTAATAGCAGGCATCAGCTGACAATGACAACTTCAATGATCTTGTGTACAAGGCCAAGGTACTGAGGTCTTCATAGCTTCTTGTGGCAGCTGCCAAGCTGCCAATAAAGTGGCTAGGGGCATCAATACATATTTCTCTCTTTTTATGTCCCTTGTAAAGGCAGCTGGAATATGCCACATCTTTACCTCCTTACTAATAGAGCAGTAGTACTTACAATTTCCTACCGCTAATTAAAGACTTCTTGGTATGGAATTAGTGCTAATATCATGAAATTAGAAACCATTTTTTTTAGCTACAGAAAGAAGTGGTTTCTAATTTGAAAATCCAATCCAATGCTCACAGTGTGTGTTGCTCCCAATTAGGAAATTATACACTTTTAGATGCTATTAACACTTTTAGATATTTTTAGACACTATTACATATAATCCGGAGCTAATATAAGGAAGTGGTTTCCTAGATGGTCCAAACTGTAAGTACAGTAGACAATTGAGATGTGTTATCATTGATAAAGGCTTCTAGAAGTCTTGGTCATAATCCAAACTCCACAGCTCTTTAATGTAACCATGTATAGTAACTATATCAAATGTCTGTCTATATCAATAAGCATCAGGCACTAATCATAATTAATATCAGTAAGCCATATAAGAAAAGAGGGAAAGATAAGTTATAATATTGTAAGTGTTCATGCATCGGTATATAAATAGTAATCAATCTAAGTTTGCAATCTGAGTCTAAGTCATGTGTATAGCTCATGACCATGCCTTGAGTCACATGCCTAGATGCATGTTAAGTCACAGTCCTAGTTGTCAATGTCTAAGTCCAATATAGATTACCTTCTCTTCTCTTCTGTCTATATATAAAGCATGTGTTTGTTAAGCCGCTAGGCTTATCACGTACACTTAATGCACTAAGTAGGGTTCCCTAAGCTAAAACTAAGATTGACTGCCCAACAAATGAAGACGATGGTTCGTCTGTGTGCGTAATCCAAGAAGTCTTGGTTACTATTGATCTTGTCTTCGAACAAGTGGAGAAGATGATTGTTTATAATCGATCGATGTTCTTCAGGAATGAACAAGTCTTCTCCGATAGAGCAGATTACTTCGGGTGGATCCCAGCGAATGACTCGATAAGCAGCGAGTCCTTGATAAGCGATAGAGACGGGAGAATGATAAGGGCTTTGAGACGAATCCAGTGCTTTGTCAGACTAGGTACGATTCAACTGATCTGACAGAGTTCGCAATGCGTGGGCTTGGAAGGAGCCAGACGCTAGGCGCAGTGCAGAGATCAAGATTGTATACGAAGTGAACGAGCTGAGGCTTCTAAGAAGCTCAGCTCGGCTATTTATATGTACAGGCTATTTAGGGCAAGCCGGACATATGGTCTGTGCTTCTAAACACTAAGTACGATCAACGATCGGCGTATGTAATCCGCAGCTCTGTGCTTTTATCTAAGTATAGTAACAATGACGATTGTCTGTCCGCATCAATAAGCAATTCAGGAACACAGTTAAGTGACGTCATAACGGGCATACATAAACGTTCAAGCCGAAGCTTGTGAATGAGTCAGTAAGGTAAGCGTTCATGCATTGGCATGTATATGTAATCAGTCTTTGTCACCCGAAGATGCCAATGAGTCACGTGCTGAGCACGTGTTAGGACGCAGTCCTAACACTACCCCCCTTTTTACACAAGTCTTTGGCGTTTATGGCGTGGACCGGTTGTCGGTGGTGGCTCGCGCAGGTTGTTGACATCGTAGGTGGGGATGGAGCGATTGGGGTAACCAGTCCAGAGGGTCATGTCGATCATGCGTTCCCAGGCCTGTTTGTGATAACCGTATTCCTCAGCCACTTTATCCATCTGCAACCTAAGATGAGTAGTGGCTCCGCGATGCGCGTTGATACGCTAGAGGTGGCTCTAAGTGCCGAGCACAACACTAAAACAACCTCTAATGCAGGGGTGCTGGAGCTAGTATCTAATACACAAGGAATTGTTAGTGATGACTTTAGAAATTGAAGGCGTACTGAGAAGCAATCGGGGAGGGTGAGATTATAGTGCCCGAACGGTTTCAGGACTGCGCCGAACACCGACCGAATGTTCGGTCGGTCGTGTTGGCAATGCGGTCGGTAACGAGAAGGTAGTGTCGCGACCGACGACTACGTGCTTCAAGAGCCACACGGGACTCTGACAATATACGAGGGAGGATGGGGGTACGAGCGAAGGGACGAGTACGAACACGAATGAGGCCAAACGACGAGGATGACAAGTTTTCGGAGGTTGACGAAGACGCTTTCGATGGTTGAGACGAATGCGAATGAGCTCTGAACTGTGGGGTGCGAAAGCTGGTTTATTCCAGAGTTGTATGTAGGTTTTTATAGTAAACTGAGCCCCTAAGTAAAATATTAAACAAGAAATGAGAGTAGATGTTGAATGGGCGCCAAGCCTTAGCGATCAGAGAAGATAAGGAGGTAGGTGAGATGTCCATATGGGTTCCGAAGGTGATAAGGTAAAAGGTAATCAGTGATGTCGAAATCCCGAATGTTCGGGATCCATCGCCCGAGTGTAGGTAGCAGGAACAGGCGTTGGAGAACCAATGAAAAATAAAGAAGAGGTATCGTACGACCAGGGTGGCCAAGCAATGGTGTAAGATTGCGTTTGACCGACCATGCGGAAGTCGGGACGATAAGCGATAAGGACCGACCGACTCACGGAGGACATTGGCCGATACGGAATACTGGCTCCGATCTCGTACACACCTATCGTAACCCTCCTGTGCGGTCATGGTAAGTACGTGAAGTGTGGGCGAACTGACCCAAGTGCTGCCGAATCATCCTTCGGTGGCTTGTCGTCGGTCGGGTAGGGACCGACCATGTTCGGTAAAAGTCGGCGTCTTTGGTACTTGTCTAGCACTGTTCGGTATCTCCCCAAAGCTTCCCGAATCCCTCCCTCGGACCCTAGCGCGGGTGCATGCTCATCAGCGCCGTAATCGCGTAGAAATTGATGCGCTGTGACATCCGTTCGCATCTGAATACGTGTGATTGAACAGGCTGCGAGGAGATGTCCGCTACGTCCGCATTCCCAACAATAGCGTACCTCTGGTGAAGCAGGAGGCGCGGGAGGAGAAGGGGTGAAAGCGGGGGTTGCGGGCCAGACGCGTTCTGATGCACGTGCTCCTTCGCGCTGGACTAGCCAAAGATGAGGACGCAGTGGTGGATGGGTCGATGGGTGCGCTGGCGCTACAGGCTGTCTACTACGCTGACCTTAACCCTGTGGCTTCTCTCGATGCTCCGGTCTCTGCCTCCATCTCTGCCCTTCATCTCCGTCTCTCCGTCTTCCCTTTCTGTTCTCTGTCTCCACCTCTCCTCCCTTGGTATGGAGTTCCACTACTCCATGTGCCCCCGCCTTCTAAATGCAACGTCCTCGTCGTCTGCTCGTGAAGAATGCGTCCCGATCGCAGGGTTTGTCTGGTGTCGGGTGGCGTTTCGTCCTCGTTCTCTGTTTCTTCCGGTTCGTTGTCGCTTTCGCTGTCGGGGTCGTCTTGTCTGTCCGGGTCGTCTTCGTCTGGGGGTTCGTCGGCCGGGTCGTCTTCGTCCAGTTCTGTGTTTCCGGTGGTTTTGTGAGGTAGGATGGGGTCGTCGGTGTTCTCTTCTTCAGGGTGGTCTTGTTTGTACTGTAGTAACGTTATCTGGTCGAGTGACAGTTTGGTGCCAATGCGTGGTGTGAATCTTCGGAGTCGTTGTGAGCTGAATTTCCCGGGAAGGAGGTTGCCGTTGAGGTCTTCGAGGGTGTAGGAGTTTAGGATTCGGCTGCGGACCCGTCGTGGTGGGGACCATTTTGGAAGTAATTTGCTGGCTGTGGACATTGTGAAATCTAGGGCGTTTTTGTAGATCTGAACAAGATCGAGTCGCGCAAAGATAACTTCACCTGGAGCGGTTGCGGTTACACGTCTGTCGAACGCCGCTTTTCTTTTTTGTGCGTGGCCGACGGTGAGCGCGTATCCGTCTAGGCGCTGCTGTTCCGTGTAGGCTAGTTGTCGTTCTATTTCGCCGACAGTTGGCGGGGTTTCAGTGGCGTCCGAGGGTGTTTTGGGGCTGTTGATGATCAAGCCTAGTGCGAGTTCGTTGGGGGTGTGGTGCAGGGCTGGGAGGATGCGATTATTGAGCCATTCGATGACTTGATCGAAGTATCTTGGCCAGGATTTTGGTATGTCTTCGGGTTTGACATCGGTGTACTCGTCTTCGCCTAGTTCAGGGCTGCACAAACGTTTGAGGCGTCCTAGTAGTATCTTGTTTGTGCCTTCGACAAGGCCGTTGATCCATGCGGAGTATGCTGCTATGACTTCATGTTTGATGCCTCGTTCTTTGCAGAATGCTGTGACCTCGCTGTTTTTGAAGTGGGAGCCGCCATCAGTCATGAATGTATTGGGTTTGGTCCAGCCTGTTGTGATTGTCGTGAGTCCTGATACTGTGGTTTTTGCCGTTCCGTGTGTTTTGTATTTGAATCCCCAGATGCGTTGTGAGTATGTGTCGAGGTATAGGCCTACTGTATGGAATCCGTTGATGCCTTTCGGCAGGGAGAGGTAATCTGCAACGAGTAACTCGAAGGGGTGACGGCGGGTGATGGGCTCTAGGAGAGAGTGGAGGTGCATACCTCCGAAGTTTTTGCATTGCGCGCATTCTGCAATTGCTGATGTGATCGACTGGTCGAGTTGCGGGCTGCAGATGGTGTCAAGTAGTTGTAGCTTGATGTGGTCGCGGCCGAAGTGCAGTTGGCTGTGTACTTCGGCTGCGCGTGTGACTGCTTCTGAGCGGGGGACACATTCAACACATGGCCGTGCACGCGGTGAGCGCCCGTTTCCTACTCGCCAGAGTTTCCCGTCTTTGATCATGTAGCCTAGTGCGCGGTGGCGCGCGCGTCTTCGTGTTTGCACGTTGCTTGTGTGGTCTATGTTTTGTAATGCATCAATAACTTCGCGGAAGAGTGGTTCTTTTGCGAAGCGTTCCCGAAGGCGTTGTACGTCTGAGTCGACGGTTGTGAGGAACAGGTCGTGGACAAGACCGGATGATTTCTCCCAGTCCTGTCCCACCGACCAGTCTGCTCCGTCGCCTTCTGTCTGGAAGCCTGAGTCGAACATGCGGCTTGGGCCATCTGCAGGGTTGCCAGCTCCTGGCCGGTGGCGTACTGTTCGGATTTCGTAGGCTAGGACGCCGTCGCGCCATCGGGCATGGTGGATATTCAGGCTGTCGCTGAGGAGGAAGTCCCGGAGTGCTTGACAGTCTGTTTCGATCTCGATTGGTGAGCCCCATATTGTGTCGGAGAACTTGTCGAGGCTGAACTTTAGGGCTGCGAATTCGGAAAGAAAAGGTTTGTAACGTTCTTCAGCACGGGATGTTCGTTTAGATGCAAATGCGATGGGGTGACGTCACGTCACCGTTTTTCCGTTGGGGAGGGTTGTTTCATGGTGCTGAGATAAGATTCCGGCAAATCCATGTTTTGACCCATCGGTTGTGACGGTGAAGGTGCGGCCATCAAATAGAGGGGATCGGAGTACGGGTGCAGAGGTGAGTGCGGCTTTGATGTCGATGAACGCTTTCTGGTGTTCTGGCGTCCATAGGCCTTCAAGTGAATGGTCGTGGAGTGCTCTCTGGTAAGCAAATTTGCCCTTCCCCGTTGGGATAGAGGCGTTGCGAATGAGATCTGTGAGGGGGCGTGCAATGTGGCCGTAATCTGCGCATACCGAGCGGTAATAGTTGCCCAAATGAACGAATCCAGACAGACCTTTTAATGTGGTGGGTGTTTCCCAATTGACGATTGCGGATATCTTGGATGGGTCTGTGCCTACACCATTGGGGCCTATTGTTTCACCTGCGAATTTTGCGGTGGTCATAAAGAATTCTGTTTTTGCGGCAGAGAGGGAAAGGCCTGTGTCGCGGATTCGTTGGAGGAGGGTGCGGAGATCGGCCATGCCATCATCGAAGTTGTCTGCTGGGACACCTCCGTCGTCCACGAATAGTTGACATAGGGTTCCTACGAGGTCTCCTAGGGCGGTTGCGGTCATGCTGGCAAAGCGGGATGGTGCGCCGGTGAGTCCAAACGGCATCCGGAGGTATTTGTAGTAACCACGCCCGGCTACGTAGAAGCAGATGTAGGGTTGGTCCTCCTCCGCTATGGGGCAAGCGTAAAATCCGGACGCAAAATCGAATACAGTGACCCACCGATGTCCTGCCAGCGCTTGTTGTTTTGCACGTATGTCGCCTTGCGGCATTGGTGGGACCGTTGTGATGTCATTGAGTGCCTTGAAGCTTTGGCAGATGCGCCATTTTGTTTGTTTTGAGGGTGGTTCGGTCGGTACGGGGTTTGGGTCACGGGGTGGGAGGTCGTATTTGAGCGGGAAACCGTGGGCTGAGCATTCGTCGTTGACTCGGTGTTTGAGTTCATCTTGCGAGAGGCCTTTGGTTGTGTGGGTTTTTTGTGCGAGGACTGTGTTGCCGCAGAACTTGACGTCTTCGGGTGCTATAGGAGCAATGATCCCACTTTTCAGCATAAGATCAATGTGCGAGAAGAAATAGTCTTGTTTGTCACCAAACAGTGGCTGCTGGTGGACTTTCCATGGAATTTTGGTTCCAGTGGGGAGATTGAGCCGGTGTGTGGCACTGCGGACTGGCAAGACTTCGCTAACGGACATCGCGAAGCAATCTGCAAATTCAAGGATGAGTGCCTCGACTTTGGTATGTTCGCTGGCAGTGAGGTCCTCGCCGATCTTGACGAGCCGTAGGAGTTCATTGGTGCGCTCTGTTTTCCATGCGTTTGTGTGTCGTGTGTAGATTGAGGGATCTTCGTGTGGTTTTATCTCTGGTAGGTCCGCGGTCTCGTCCTGGTGGGCAAGTTTGTGCATAGTTGGTGACGCGTGGTTGGTGGGCTGTGTTTTGGTGGTCTGGTGCTTGTCACTGGTATCTGGTGCAAGAGGTATGATAGCGTGTGCGACTTGCCTTGCGGGGGGTTTGTCATCCCCCCGTAGCGTTGCGCGCTGTTTGATATCGAGCGTCAGGTGGGTATCTGACGCTTTTTCCCATGCTTCGTCGTCCAGTCTTGTGATCTCATTTTCCAGTGTGATTGTCCCTTTTGATGATGGGAGTTCGATGGTATCGTTTGCATACTCATGTCTTGCTTCTAGGGCCATAAGTAGCGGCTTGCCGATGAGGACTGACCACGAGCCTCCGCTTGGGAAGACTTCAAATCGTGCGATAACGTCGACACCGCCAATTGTTACATGGCCTTCCCATCGGCCTTGAGACGGGATAATTGAGCCATTGGCCATGCGGAGTCGTCTTGGAGATGGGGAGGTGGGAGTGAGTCGGTGGCTTATGACATTGAAGATGTCACTGTTGATGGCATTTATCATGGCGCCGTCGTCGAAGATACTCTTCATCCTGTTTATTTCGCCCTTCGGGCCATGCAGGTGTATTCTATGAATAAACGGTACTGCTTTTGGTGGTTTCCCATCCTTGTGTGTTAGATTTGTGGCCCCCACAGTGTAAAAGTTCGAGCAGTCTATTAGATCTGTCATGATTTCGTACACTCGTGCGTCTAGGATAACCGCTTCGTTCTTCGGTGTAGCTCCTGTCCCTCTCATTGGAACACGCGATGTGGGGGCTGTGGATGGGTCCCCGGTTGGCGCCGTGACACAGCCGGGGACGAGGGAAGTGGGGAGAGGTTTGGTGGTACGGGCCATGCGGGCTTCTCCTAAGCTGCCGGCCCATCTCCATTTCCCGCCTCGTCCATTGCTTCCCTCCATCTCATGTTATCGCGAGGTTCGTGCTCATACAAGTCGTAGTACTCGGGCTGGATGTATACGTACCGAACGGCGGTTGGCGGTGCTGGACGGCTGATGGTGGATGCAATCATTCGCCACCTGCGTTCGTTGTCCGGTACTGCTTGTCCTGTGCACTCGTCGCCTCTGTGACGGGGGTCTGTCATTCCGCACTTCCAGCATTCTCCGGTAGCGACAGGTGCGGTGCCCGGGGTGAGGGGGTAGGGTCGGTGTTCGTCCGACCTGCCATTGGGGTTGGCTGCGTGCCAGTCCGTGACCTGCTGCTGGTATAACGTCATTCCCGCTGGGTTCTTGGCGTGCTGTGGGAGCTGATTCCTGCGTGCGATTGCCAATCGCTCCGTGTTGGATGCACGCTGTGGGCGTGTTATGGTGGGTTGGGGGTGTGTGCTGTGGTATGGGTTGTTTGCGGGGAATGTGCTTCTATTTGCGGGGTAGGGAGGTGCTCGCAAAGCGGGGGGTTGGGAGTTGATAGACATGCATTCCATCATGCGTTGGAGTTCGGCATTAGACGTGTTTTGTCGTGGTGGGACGGGGCGTCGCAGCTCCTCTTCTACCGCGGCCAACCGGGCATTGTTCACCTGGGCTCGTAGTAGATCGTCGGGGCGAATCTGTCGTACTGCGTCAGTGAAGTTGATCCACGTTGTGTACGTCCCAGTGACAAGAGCGGCCACGCTCATGGGTAGGTCCTTGCGAACTCCTTCAATGAGCATTCCGTCGCTGTCTACGACGGCGTTTGCTAGGACCAAGACCCGATCCGCCCATTGGATGTACCCCCACTCTTCTGTTCCATCCATTTCTACCTTCCTTACTGCTTCGGCTTCCGTCAGCTTGTGGGCTTGGAGCGTCATGATTTTTTCGGCGCGGGTTTTGACAACAGCTTTGAGTTTCAGCCACCGGGTGAAGAACGCTGCTTTGAAGGATTTCCAGGTAGCGCTGTCAACGGGAGAAAGTTCGTCCTCGTACCATTTTTCTGCCGGGCTTCCCGATTTCAGGTACTGGCCGACTTTGTCAACCTTGTGGGTGTCTGTGGACTTCTCTGTGAAGCCTTGCTCGACCTGCTTAATGAAATCTCCAGGGTTTTCGCAGGTGCGGCCGTCGCCATAGAACCATGTGGACGGGGGGTTTGCAGGCATTGCGTCTTCGTCGTCGGAGCTGTCTGAGTTTGTTTTGTTTGGTGTGGTGATGTTGGAAAGGATTGGGGTGACGTTGTATGTAAGTGGTGGTAGGGGTGAGGGTGAGGATTCAGGCGAGTTAAGGCTGATTATCGTAGAGGGAAATGGGCGCGAGGTAATGTTAGGGTCGGATGGGAATGATGGTAGGAATAGGCTGCTGTCTGGTTCTGCTGGGCTGGAGAAGAGCGGTCTGCTCTCGATATCTGTAAATGAAAATTCGGAGCTTTGTGGGGAATTGTCTATCGATGGTGCAGAGCGAAAACGACCAGATTTGTCTCGAAGAGGTGCCAGGGTGATGTGGTTAGTTGTTTACTGTAGTGATTGTTTTGGCGGCGGTGTTCTTGCTGGTGGTTCGGTGTTGTTCTGATCGGCAGTGTTCTCGGTGTGTTTGCGTTGTGTGGTTCGAATAGTACTGTTGTCACCAGATGGACTAGCCAAAGATGAGGACGCAGTGGTGGATGGGTCGATGGGTGCACTGGCGCTACAGGCTGTCTACTACGCTGACCTTAACCCTGTGGCTTCTCTCGATGCTCCGGTCTCTGCCTCCGTCTCTGCCCTTCGTCTCCGTCTCTCCGTCTTCCCTTCCTGTTCTCTGTCTCCACCTCTCCTCCCTTGGTATGGAGTTCCACTACTCCAGCGCCAATCTTCCGACGTGACTGGGACCGTCGCAGGTTGGGAGGAGGGCGCGTCGACAGGCTCAGTAGGGGTGGGGCCTTCCTCGACGAAGGTCGTGGATGAGGGTGTAACAGGGGGTGCTGGGGGCGGCGTCGAAAGTGGTCAACGAGCCTCGCGATCCTGGACGGTTTGTTTGGGGTCGTAAGGGGGACTAGCGGGGAGCATGGGATCGTCTTCTTCCAAGTTGGGAATAGGGGCGAGCCGGTTTCCCGGGAAGGGGTCGGTGTAGGCATGGGGGAGCGCGGCCATTGCCCGTTCTTCAACTGCCATGGTCCTTTCGGCCGAGACCGCGTGTTGAAAAGGCACCGGGATGTCAAGCTGGAGAGGGGGAAGGGGTGGTGAAGGTGCGAGGAGGGGAATTGGTGCTAGGGGCGATTCTCTGAGCACAGGGAGGGAGAGGATGAGGGATTTGACGGGGGGACGTGCAATATTTCCGGAGGTTCCTGGAGCATCAATGATCCTCTGTGACTCGTAAAGAAGCTCCTCGGGTCGGAGCAAGTGATACCCATCCTCTGCCATGATATCCGATCTTGCCATGTACCAGGGCCTCACGTTGTCTGATGGGTTAGACCCTTCAGACCAGTATGCGGTGACGTGCTGCTCCCCTCGACTATTCGTGGGAAAGAGGCGTTCCGGCAGCGTTCCGCCCGGCATGTATTCTTCAATGACCAACCGTTCTCTTCCAAACCCTGTAATGTGGAACCAACGGATGGTATTCCGTCGGAAGGGGATTCGTGCGAGAGTGTCGACCCATTCGGTTGGGGAGTGGCGGAGGAGGAGACTCATGGCGAGGGAGCTATACCCGGTAGGGCGGTAGCTGATCATGTCGCTGCGGAGTGATGGGAGATTAATGAGTCCCTTGTTTCTATAGTTAGTGATGGCAAGGTTTGAGAGAAGGGTCATCTGATGTCGGTCCAGTGGTCCCTGGTGTACCTGATACGCTCGCGTCATCACAATCTGCTGTAAATAGAAAAAGAAGTTTGTGGGATCGTCCAGCCCGGATTATTCCAACATGATCGGGGCCTCGTCATCGGTGAAGGTGATGTGATAGAGTGCGCCGACAAGGTTGGGGTTCAAGTAGTGGGTCAAGTTATAGATGGGGGAAGGGTAGACAGGAATGAGAATGCGGGGAATGATGTTAAATAGAGCGAATACTTGCCCCACACTGGGCGTGTGGGGGTTCATGATGCGACTAGGGAGACTGGGGACGCCGATTTCGAGGTGTGGGTCATCTACAGTGATGCCGTCAATGTGGTTGACGGAGGCGAGGGAGTCGTAAGAGTCGTTAGAGTCGTCGGTGGCGGTTGAGACAGGGCGGAGGATGAAGGGAGGGGAAGTGGAGCGGGAACGATCGGAGGGAGAGGTCGTGTGGTAGAAGTCAGCCATGATGTAGTGAGGGGATTTGAGGAAGTGGAATTTGCGGACGGTCAAGGACATGTAGCTGGGGAGCTGGAGGAAAGTTTTTTGTCGACGGTGGCCTCGTATTTATACGAGGTCACTGGCGATGAGACAAGAGCCCTGGCAAATGGTTCCGACGAGAAAGACAGCGAGAGAGATGGCTAGAAAGGTGGTGGTTGCGACAGAGGTGTAAATGGCTACTTCTGCCAGAGTGGGGTTCAGGGGGGTCATAGCCACTTGCCTGGCCATGCCAAACCGCGGTTTGTCTGCTTTTGTAGCTCTTGGTAGACTTGTACTCGCCAATTAGAGTTGTCCGATCGTTTGTGCTGCGGCACAGATCGAGACGAGCCTAAACTGGGCTTCTTCGATTGTGTTCCTTGATCGTCGATTGTTGATTTTGTCCTCCTTGACTGCGGAGGTACTGATCGCTTCTTTAACTGTGTCATCCGTTTGTCGATTGCTTTCATGATCTGGGGAATTTCCAATTGTGTAGATAGAAGTCTTCTTCCGATTGGATGCTTCTGAAGCTTCTTTTTGATTTGGTTTTCTTCGGCGGCTCTATTGTATTCCAGCTCGATCGTTAAGGCTAAGATCGAGGCTTCCATTCCTCTGACTGCGGAGGGGTGTCTGTGATAAAACTCCGTGATGGCTTCTTTGGCGTTTGTAACGTTTGCTGCCGCTTCCCATGAGTTGTCCGATTCGGGGTAGCCTTTCCATTTGATTAGATACTGCAAGGTCTTCCATCGTCCAAAGCGTCGAGCTCCGACAATGGCTTCGACTTCGAATTCTTCTTGCCCTTCGATCAAGTCCGGGGCCGGTTTAGGATAGTTTGGACCATAGACCTCATTCTCCTTGTAGGGTGTAAGCCGACTAGCATGGAAAACATTGTGAATGTGTTTCCAGCTGTTGGGCAGTTTCAGCTTGAAATTGATAGTTCCGATTGTGTCGATAATTTCAAATGGTCCAAATCGTTTAGGTCGCAGTTTCTCCGAAGGGTGATCGGTATGGATATTCTTTCCATCTAACCAAACTTGGTCTCCTTTTTTGAAAGGCGGTAGTTTTGTTCCGAAACGGTCGTGTTGTATCCTCATGGCTTCGGCTGCAATTTCGAGGCTGGCTTGCGCTTCCTTCCTAGCGCGTTGCAGAGCTTCGAGGCGTGCGTCGGCGGTGGGGACATTCGTGTTGCCTATAATGGCTGGATATGCTCTGGGTTGATATCCGTGTAATAGTTTGAATGGGGATTTCTTTGTGGCTGAATGTTGGTGTGTGTTGTGGGCATATTCTGCATAGGGAATTAATGCTGCCCAATCGTCTTGCGATGAGCTGCAAAAGGCTCTAAGATATTGTTCCAGTTCTTGATTCATTTGTTCAGTGGCGCCGTCTGTTTGTGGGTGATAGGCCGTACTTAATGCTGATTGGATTCCGAGTTCTTTGAGTAGGGCTTGCGCTACTTTTGATGCAAATTGGGTTCCTCTGTCTAATATGATTTTATCGGGTAGTCCGTATCGTCTCCAGGTATTTTCCAGTAGGATTTGCGCTGTTCCATCTGAGTCGATGGTTTTCAGACACGGTGTGATTATTGCTGTTTTAGTAAATCTGTCGGTTACTACGTGGAGTGAATCGAATCCTTTTGATTCCGGGAGATTGGTGATAAAATCCATGGTGATTGTTCCGAATGGTCTATCCAGAATCTCCATTGGTTGAAGTGGTACCATGGTAGGGTGCGTGTCGTTTTTTGTAGATTGACAGATTGCGCATCCTTCCACATATTGATGAACGGTGTTTGAGATTCCGGGCCATGTGAATTCTTGTCCTACGGCCGCTAGTGTTCCTCTCTGTCCTGGATGCCCTGCAGCTAGATTGTTGTGATTTATCTTGATGATATCTCTGCGTAGTTGTTCATTTTGGGGAACATAGATTTTTCCTCTGTGTAGAACGAGTCCTTCTTTGTTGTTCCATTCTTGTAGTCCTTTCTTCATGCTGCGAGGGCTTAGTGTTTTGACTTTGGTTAATGTTTCTAACAACCATTCGTCTTTCTTGTTTGCTTCGATGATTCAATTTTTTAGGTCTTCGTCGGTTATTGTGACGCCTCCTCGTCCGGTTGCTCTAATGTGGAATATCTGATGGGGGTCTAGTGATTCTTCTGTGCTAATTGCGTTGACTTCCGCAAAAGGTTTTCTAATCCTTTCTTGTTTTTGATTGAAAAGTTTGGGTTCCAAAAGTGTTTCGCCTGAATTGTCAAATTCCACCCCCTCTTTATGGTTTGGATGCCGTGACAGACCGTCGGATTTATTGGTGACTCCTGCCTTGTGCATTAATTTGTAGTCAAAATGCAAGAGGAAGAGTGACCATCGTGCTTGCCGACGGTTTAACTTTTGGCTTGAGCGGAACCATTCCAGATTTTTGTGGTCCGTCCAGACGTTGACCGGGGTTTCGGCGCCTTCTAAATAGTGTCGCCAAGCTTCGAAAGCTCGAACGACCACTAGCAACTCTTTATCATAGATAGGATAGTTGCGTTCTGTTGGTGAGAGTGATTTGGAAATGTAGGCGCAAGGGTGCCATTTTCCATCGGGGGCAACCTGTGATAATACTGCTCCGGTAGCGAAGTCGGATGCGTCGCATTCAATGCGGAAGGGATTCTTGGTTTCTGGCATAATAAGTACCGGGGAGGATATAAAGGTTTTCTTTAGTATTTGGAATGCGTTTTCACATGCTGGCGTCCAATCCCAGTTACGATCTTTCTGTGTTAACTCGAATAGTGGTTTGGCTATTTTCAAGTAATCTTTGATAAACCTGCGATAGAAGTTGCAGAATCCTAAAAATGATTGCACTTCTTTGACTCTGGTTGGTGTCGGCCAGTCCGTGATACCGGCTACTTTGATTGGGTCCATTTTGAGGTGTCCGTGAGATATGACGTATCCGAGATAGTCGATTTTCTTTTTGTGGAAATGGCATTTTGACGGTTGCAGGTACAAATCATTGTCTTTTAAGATTTGTAAAACTTGTCGCATTGTTTTGATATGTTCGTCCATGGTTTTGGAGAATACCAGTATGTCATCCATGTAAATTGCCACTTTTCCTGCGTAAATGAGGTTTTTGAAAAGCGAGTTCATCATAGTTTGGAATGTTGCTGGTGAGTTGGTGAGTCCGAAGTACATTACCAGTGGTTCATACATTCCTAGGTTTGTGACGAATGCTGCTTTGTGGACGTCCTTTTCGTCCATGCATAAGTTGTTATATCCTGTGTCGATATCCACAAGTGAGAAGTATACGGCTTCTGTTAATAAGTCCAATAGTTCTTGAATAATTGGTAGTGGATATTTGTTCTTGATAGTCATTTCATTGAGTTTCCGATAATCCATTACTGGTCATAATTTCCCGTTCTTCTTTTTAATAAAAAAGAATGGCGATGCTATGTGTGATTTGGATTCCCGGATGAATCCTTTTTTCAGGTTTTCGTCAATAAATTTCTTGAGTTCTGCTTGTTCCATTGGGCTAAGACTGTATAATTTAGGTCTGAGCGAGTGTTCCATTCCATCCTTGAGTTCAATTTTGTGATCCCAAGGGCGTTTAGGCGGTAGTTTCCCTGGTTTTCGTCCTTCGAAAACTTTTCTATAATCCCAATATTCTTTGGGAACTATTTCTTCAAAGGATAATTCGGGTTTCCCTTTTGAAGCTTCTTCTGCTAATTTCTGTGAATTTGTGTGTTTGGTTTGTTTTCCAATAGGTTCTTTCCTAGGTACCGGTGTGTTGGTTACGAGGGTTTCTGTAGTTTTGGCTCGGTGGATGTTGAATTCTTCTTTGCCGTCATTGTATAGTTCGAGTGCCTCTAGTTGTCCTGTGTTGAGGCATGTGACGAGATAAACTCCGTCTTCCTCTAAATCTGTGGAGGGAAGTGCCGATAGTCAAACACCGTCCTCTGGAATATCCTCTTCAGCCCATGTGGGTGTCGCGTAATGTTTGGCTTGGGCTCTGAGATATTCTGGATTTCTTCCTTCAGGTTGCGAACCTCAGATGTCAGGTTTTATCCGCGGATGTGGTACTGTAGTATTTCCCACTTTCCGGCCTGGCTGTGTTTGTCCTGGTTTTTGCAATGGTATTGAATAGTCATTTTTTCTTGGTACTGTCTCTATGTGTTGTATTTCTGGATTTTGACGTCCTAGTTTTCTTGTAGCCCTTTTTGCTTTAATGGGTCCTCCTTTGATTTGACAGGAGGGTGGGCATCTAGTAAAATGTAGACCATAGGCATGCCAGTCGACCTCTGGGTTGTGTTCTAACAACCAGTCGGTTCCTAAGATGACGTCTTCTTTCCTGATTTCGGCTATATAGAACTTTGCCGATTCGGTGTGTGTTCCCCCCTGTTCGCCTAGAACTTGTAGTTTTAGTTCTGCAAATTTTGTGATTGGTCCTCCTTTAAATTCCGTGTTTTGGACCGTGTTGACTGGGATGGGGGCTGGGGTTTTCCGGGTTTTTATTCTGTGCGTTTCCACGAATCTGGGGTGCATGAATATTCCTGTTGCTCCGCTATCTACGAGAGCTTGAGTAGCAGCTTTTCGATTCTTGCCTATTAATATTGTCTCGATTCGGAGTGATAGTGCACCATGTGATTTCATTTCCGAGAAATACAATATATCTGGATGTCCATGCTCTTGGTCAATGTCTTCATTGGCCAGCGGAGCGTACCGATTTCCTGCAAGAATCCTACTCTTCACATCCGCTGCCGATGGAAGAGTCTTTAAAAATTCTTTGATTCGCTAAAAGCACGAACTTCTTCAATTTCGTCCATGCTGAGGCCCATCATCATTTGTTGGATGTGGGCGACCCTCTGCTTTCCTTCTTCTTGATCTTCTTCGTCACCTCCTTCTTCTTCTTCCATAGCGCGCATCATGCGGCGCTTTGGTTGGAATCTTCCTCGGGAAGGGGGTAGGAATCTTTGTTTGGGCTGAGAGGGACACCCGCGCGCCATATGCCCGGGTTTTTTACAATAGAAGCACTTGCCTTCTTTGGCGAGTCGGCTTCTTTCCTCAGGTGTGAGCTTC